CTTGAAAGTGACCAGAAAATGCCACTGAATTCACAATCCTAAGCTGCGGGAACAATCGAGGGTCTATAACTAGACAAATCTGGCAAACGTTTTTGAAGTTACTTGACACCAGTTTTAGGCAGGTAGTTTGGAAACAATTAGGCTAAACCTGATTCGTCTTGGTTCTTCTGTAACACAAACTGATGTGTCGCCCTGTGGCAAAATAAGCTTTGGGAGGTTTACTTGCAGATTTCAGCCTGGTCTTTCAAGTTTACCAGCCTCCCAGAACAGCAGGTCTAGCTCTTGTAGACTGTCACCTTGAACCTTGTTGTGATAGGAGAGGTGTTTCTTGGAGAGCTAAGACTAGATCTGGGAGTTAAACACGCTGCAGCATCGGAAGAAAAGGCTGTCATGTATCATTTGAATATTTTGCCTAATATCTCAGTTGAGGTCCAGATATAGAACTTAATCTTCTAAACCAGCGTTTCCCAATCCGGTCCTCTGGAATCCACTGACAGTCCATATTTTTGTTCAATCCCAGCTCCCTAGTGTCTGGCAGGGAGCTGGGAGGGAGCAAAAACATGGGCCGGCTGTGGGTCCCCAAGGACCGGATTGGGAAACGCTGCTCTAAACTGACATTACAGTGAAACCGACTTGACCCGAGCGGTCTGATGCTTTCAGCAGGAACTGAGTGTGCATGCATGTTCCACATGTGCAACACCTGCTGTATTCCTAAGCTGAACTTCTTATCCCGAGCGTCATACAAACCCAGATGTGCCTCTGTCTGGACTTCGCACAAAGAAATGTAGGTAGTGAAAATACATCTTAGATCACATAATGAGCTGCTGTAGGACTGAATAAGGCAATGTACTTCTCTAAAACCCACTTTTGGTGTGTAAGCAAAATTGTAAGACAAAAAAAAATGCTTTTAATAGAGCTGATTACCAAATTTGAAAGTCACCCAATACTGGTTATGGAACAACATGTGACTCTTAAGTCACGCTTAAGTCAATGATCCAAATGGTACATTAAATTGCTACTTGTGTTACCAGATCATGAGTTTGTAATATAAACAGCAAAGTCTATTCATCTCTACAGCCTTATTACCATTGTCATTAATACAGCTGGTGACAAATAATTCCAGGAAAAATAATTAGCTAATATTAGTCTACTTTCTAGTTTTCTAGACATTCACATTCGAATAGCAAAAAAATGAAAAATGGAAAAAGAATGTTACACAGCTCCTTGTTCAAGTTTGGATGATTCTGGGTAAGCACTTCTTTCACATGTATGTAAATGTAACAGAACCAGTGTTGTTGTCACAGAAATGGAAAATATCACCTAATGTTTGTATGACTATGGATTAATATGTATCTAATCTCCACAAGGATAAAACACAGTTTCGCTTTTTCACAATTTCCCTGCCAGAAATCCTCACATACACTCACATCTATCACGTCTAGCTGTGGACCCCCCAGTGGCCACATACGGCGCAGCAGGCTGGGTCACAGTGTGATCACGCGGGTCAGAGCCAGTGTGCTCTGCCAAGGACCGGTACGGAATAAGAGGGGAGCATTCGGAAAGGAGTGGGGGGTACACGAGGGGGGGGGGGGGATCTGCGCCAAGACATAAGCATATCATACAACCGGACAGTCACTTTACAATAAGCAGGGCTCTGTGAATAAGGCCATTCAGCATTTGCCGTGGAATTAAGTCCTTGTTATCAGCTCATTTAATCTGAAAGGAACAATAATAACTTCATATTTAAAGTAATTGCCTTCGAATTCCTGTCACTCCTGGAACAGGTCCCCTCCAGATTAAACCGCATTTGAGAATAGCAATAAAATAGTAATTCAACACCCCCCTCCCCGAAAGATAAAACCACTAAAATTGCAATTTAGAGTTCCTCCAGGATAAAACCACGATGGTAAATGACACTAAAATGAGACCTAATTTACGCTGTAAAAACTTGTGAAAATTTGATTAGGGTTTTGTATGGGTTACGGTCGATGAGACGCGCCGAATAAAACCATCTGGGGCGTCGTAAAATCTCCCAGTAAACATCGCATCGCGACACATAGTAGCAGAGAAATAAAACGCTAAAAGTAGTTCTTTCAGAAGATTGATTTACAGGGCGAATTTTTCAGCAGACTGGCCAAAAACATCCCTGTATGCAAAACCAGGCTTTTATATTTTGAAACTCTAACTTTTTGACTGATAACATAAATAGAGGACTGACAGCTTCAATTCCCTCTGTATATTTAATAAAACGCGCCTAGAAATACGAGATACGAGTTTTAAATATAAAGCAACATTACGTCTTGTTGTAAATATTAGGTTTTATGTTATTACATGTGGAGCAATAAATATGTGACAGACACTGATATTTTCTTGGAACATCTTCCTGTTTTACATGCTCTTTCATTGGCTTTAAAGATAATACTTTTCCCCTCGTAGACAGAATTACGCAAACCTCGAGAGCAAATTAATTAAAAAATGAGTTACTTGTCGACGCAGTTGTGCAAGGCTTCTGCTGGAAAACAGCGGGTTGCGTGAGTGAGGCTCTTTCATGCATCCTGTGACTAATGCATCGTCATGAAACCTTTCAACCCCCCCCCCCCACCGGGACGGGACAGGACTGGGGGACCCCGACGCACTGCCCCAGAAATTCATAGCTGTGATGGCCCCGTTTAAAATACTCATGCGTTATAAGTTGTCATTATACCATAATAGCAATAATTATTTTTAATAATAGGAAAAATAATCAGTATGACAAGGAAGGGACGCGTGCTCCAATTACACATAGGGAATTCTATAATAATCGGAATCGTAATCGTAATAACGCAGGGAGCGTTATTAGTTTGTTGATAGTTAATCCTATTCTGAGTCGACTGCGAAAAGTCAACCCGGTTTTACGTGCTGTGGGCTGTTTCCGACGACATTCACACGTTATCGAAACCCATGATTAGTCTTGCCTAGTATCACAGCGAACTGATTTTTATTAAGTCGGAATGCGGAATTTGCACGACGCTGAAACTCCATTTTTTTATTTTGAATTGCTGGGTGCATGTTTTGTGAATCTTTGAAGAATCGAAAAAATGTCTTCATATTCATAAAAAATATATATTTTTTGTTCTTAAAAATCTGTTTCACCAAATTTAGGACATCCAACTGTTTTAAATAAAAACTGTAATTATATTCGTCAAATGTCTGTATTTCTGTGTTTCTTTCGAAACTGACAACATAGCATATAAAGAAATTAATTAGGGTGTTTTTCTAGTTTTAAAAAGCGAATCAAAGTAACGACGATTAATGTGCGCAAATTCATAAATCGTGTCCCCAACGGCAGTGTGTCATATCAAAACAGCGTACGAAATAAAAGTGCATAAAGAAATAGCTCTGCCTGCTTCAATATATCTGTCAACATACATACACAGTTTGGCTATATGAGTCAGGCTCGTCATAAGCTCCGCGCTTTAATGACGATAATTACATAACCCATTCTGTCTCTTGATTCGGTATGCGAGAGGAATTTCTAATGAGATGTGAGATGACGGTGGCAAATAAATGTTCTCCTTATTATAATTTTAATCAAGGTGTACGTTTTTGCCGATTCAGCCAATTTATATTTCACACTGAACCTTCTTGTAGTATTGCATTATATTTCAATTTAGTATATTTTGTTTTTGTGCTTTCTTTGCCTAAAATCGTATCACTTAATACAGCTCTTAAGCTTTCGGTTTTCATGTTGTTAAATAGTTTAAATACAAATGAACAGGTGCTTAATAGAACTGCATTCTGCAATACCAGATATTTTAAGGTCTTTTCAGCAATCAAAACTGTCGTTGGGAAATTAATCTTACTGTTAGTAAGTTGTATAAATAAGGCTAAAGTTAAAAATTGCTCTGCCCAACTTGTGTGTTTTAAGTGAATCTGTCACTTTGGAGAAAAAGGAAGATAAACTCTACTGTGTAATTGTGAATTCTGTAATCATATAATCAATTGTTAGAATCCACAAATGGAAGGTACAACTAACGTTTATTTGCGAGCATTTTTATTTATCCGGGTTTGATTCGATTTATTCCTGACAGTTAGGCTACAACCACGCGCTCTGACAATCCAGATCGTCGTTTGTCTGATTGGTTGCATTTTGTATTCAAATACAGTACCTTTAAACTTCAAAACGCCAATATCCATAATTATGAAAGCTACTAAAATGAAATATTAAAGTACGTGCGCCCGTGAAACCTAATGTAGCGCATTTTACATTACGGTATAATTAGCCTATTAAATAGTTTTATCAACACCTGATGATGCATTACAAAAATATATCCGTGAAATATAAGTCATCCGTAGACTATTGAGGGTTTATCTGCATGGTTTCGGTTGCTGTCTAAGTTCCTCGTCCACGCCACCCCGCAAATCTGCCTTGTCCGTACGGGAGTAATCGGTGTATAAATGCAGTGCACCTGTTTTGTAATAAATATCGACAAGGTGGACCCTTGTCCAGACTGCATTCTTAACAATTCCCGTATAATCGCAAACACCCTTACCCAGCAGTGAAGTTAAGTATGCACCTTAATCCTGCGTTTTTTTTTTTCATAACCATTGGTCGTTCCGTCTTAACTCATTCCTATCACACTTGTCTCTAGCCTTATTGCTTCTCGTGTTATTTCTCCGTACAGAATTTCACTTGACTTAGCTTTGTAATCACCTTCAAGTGTTCGTGTCAGTTTGCACCATTGTGCACTGAATTCGGCCTGTGTTTTCCAACAGGATCAAATAATGGTGTCTCTTTAAAGTGCCATACGATACCCTTTAACTGTGCATCGGCATTATATCGGATAACATCATATATTACTCGAGTACTGTACCTGTTAATAGTGTTAAGAACGGCACAGAAAAAATCATGCAGCAACTTTCACTAAAAGTGGAGAATAGTGGAGAATAGGGAAAATCTAGAATAAAGGAAGAATGGCGTTGAATACTTGTGTAAAAAGTAAAAAGAAAATAAAACTTACCACCAGATAGGATAACTTGCCATGACATGCGTAAGCCCACAAAGAAACAGGAAACATCCAAGGTAGATCATCCTTGAAAAAGTTTCGGAAAACATTTTCCCCTCAGACACACGCACGCACACACGCGCGCGCACACACACGCTTGTAATGGAAAAAAATCTCAATGCAGACGAAATCTTTTCTCTTGTCTGAATGTAGCTTCTTCAGAGACAGCCCTTCGCGACCAGTCAAGGCAGAACACAGGAGTCAAATATTAAAAGTTTAAAGCAGCTTGCTTTTGGGACCCAATCAGCATGTATTGCCAAAGGGGAAATTTAGATTACACTGTTCTCTAGCGCTCTCGTTCCCCGTGTCAGTCAGGCTGAACATACACAGGAATGAGCTAATTGCAAGAAGATAGTGTTTTAGTACTCATTAGGACTTGTGGGCATCGGCATGCCGTGTGTGATATATAATGTTCTTTAAAGGCAGAAGGGGGGTTAAAGGGGAGGGGGAGGTGGTGGGGTTTAAATAGACATGGGGACCCCTGTGGATTGGGTCGCTATAACAACCTGTCCGGATTTCACTCCCAAGTCTGAAGCTGCTAAAATGCAAAAATATAAACGTGTGAATTGTGGATGTGCCCTATAATTTTATGTCCTTCCCTCCTTTTTCTGTTTTCCTCGTGAAGTGCGCAAATTTTAAAAACCAAATGCCAAACGAATCATTTTTGTTTCAAGTATACACCCACAGTGTAGAAATATTTTCCCCATTAATCTCCGAATAAATGTGTGTTATTTAATAGATAACCTAAATTGTACCAAATTCACCAATCGTATTGCATTGCATTACTAGGTGAGGATTAGCATTAATTGGATTTATTGAGAAATTTAATAGCTTGCAAAGTATCACAAACAGAATACATTTTATGTGTGTTGTCATGCAAAACATTGACATTGGCGTTTTTAATATAAAAGCAATGTTTAATCAAATGAAGGACATATTCGTACGCTTAAACTGTAACAGACTGGAGGATTATGCACAGAGGGATGCTTCCCGGCCGCAAAATGAGGCTGCACGTGCGCGCATCCCTTAAGATACGCATCCACTGACATCGCGCGCAGTAATTTCAATTAAGGATTTAAGGGAAACCAAGCGCTGGCATTTCCGTTATGCTTTATTCACAAATCAGCCGTCCGATGTGTTTAATTTATTTTACGTCTATGTAAATACCTTTAAATGATTGGATATTTATAATATAAATGCTTAAACCCAGTAAAATGTGTTTACTCAGATTATAGTAAAGACAATTTAATCGTTTTAAATGGACTACAGCGTTTGTTTATAAGTTGCCAGTTCAATTTTCTTGTACCAGTATGAAAGTGGTCGCATGCTGCTGGACATTTCGTAGTTTTAGGATTGAGTGCGGCTTCGTGAGCGGCGGGATCGCTGTCTGTTTCTTGTCGGCCTGGGCGAATATAATTACGAATTTCCGTTTTGATATTCCGCCTTAAGTTTATTTAAAACGTCAGCGTGTTTTATTGCCTCGACGTAACGCTGATTTACCACTGATTGTAAATTATTTAGAATGTTCAGGTTCTGTTCCCTGTGAATCATACCTCTATTAAACCAATACTCATAATACAAATTTAAATTGGAGATGGTTAAACTTCGTTTCTTAAAGCTATCGGTATTTAGACTTATAATAAGTCCAATAAATTAGACTACTTGTAATGCGGATTGTGTTGATGATGCAGAAGAAAATTTCCCAGTACATCCCCAAAGCCCATCATATTATGCAAACTCATAATTTTACGAAATTTTGTGCTCTCTGGTATTCGCAAATTTCATTTTGTTTCGTAACGACAAACTAAAAATAATGCTACATGCACTCATGGTTCAATATAAAAATAAAACTCAAAACAGCTCTCATAAATCATAAAGTCAATAATGTTTAAAACGGCGAAGTATGCTAAACTACTGACAGTCTATAACAAATACAACATGCAGGGTCACGTAAACAACACGGACAAAAATATGAAAGTAGAATTCATAGGTTTTTAAAATTGGTGAGAACGTCCGTCGGGCCCAATTCATTTTGCGCTATTTTGACAGTGGTACAGGCGTTATTGTCTTCTATTGGGACTGCTGGCAACTGTAGCTTTACGCGGGCACTGGAAACCTGACAGCCCTCATTTTAAGGAAAGAGCAATCGGATGTTTGGCATTGAAACACAACAAACGCACTGACCGAAACTTTAGCCTGCATAACAATTAGCGTCGCGGGCAAGAATTGAACCGCGTTCAATATCCTTTGGGAAATAGCCCTGAGCGGATTTGCAGCGCAGCAAACGCAAGTGATGAAAATGCCACTCCAGCACCCAAGAGCGCAAGCGATCCCCCTTCTGCTGAAATGCAGGTCCGTATTTCAAATCAGTTGGCAAACTTTATATTTATATATCAGAGGTTTTGTGTTGGATATCTTCAATGAGATTTTAATTCTATTTCACTTCAAAAATGACACTATGACCGTCTTATTTAACAGAGCTTCACATATGGTGCGAAACGCTGAAACTCACGAAAAACCTGCTGGTGACTAAGCTGAATTAAGGTATAGTGGAAAACGCAGGATGTTCTCAGTTTAAATATGTTTTTTTAAAGGCCTATGATTTACAGATTATTTGAGTTTCGAAGCCTGATTGAGTTAGTCATCCTGTTTAAGGTTCTTGGGCTGCAAAATCTTCTTCATAAAGTAATTTTACACTTGGCTAATTCCGCTGCCGTGGTAATGCAAGGCCCATACCTTAGGCTACTGCGTCCATTAGTCCATGGGGATGACAGGTTAGGCAGTGGATCAGAGATGCATCCCTTTTTCATTCTGTTATCATACGGATACAGAAGTTATTAAAAAGCAGAAACATTTTTTTTCAGTGAAATGCATACTCTACTAAATTCCATATTTGAAAATATTCTCAAAACCCTAAATATTTTTAACATAGGCCCAGGCTATTTGGAAGTCTTCGCAATGGAAACCTTCAGATCTCTGCTACCGATAATACGCTTATTCGGTATAATAATCCAAAATACGTTCCTTTTTATATATCTACACATCACTCCACGCAACACACCAAAAAGCCAAGGCCTATGTTATAAACAAGAACGTGAAAATGCCGCTGCAATTTAAGATTTTAAAAATGAAACAATCAAAACGCATGACAACAAACGTTAAATAAATGATATTGTACTCCACCAGTACCATAATTGTCTGTGTCTTGACAGCACCCAGGAAACGTTTTATTAGGGTATAAAACGGCTGATAAAGTGCAAGTTGTATATATTTTTTTTACTAGATTTCGCCATCTAGTGGCGCTACCCAGAAAACATATTCGTGTAGAATGAAGCTGCGCTGCCGTCTCAATTAGTCCCTAATAAGTCCCACAAATGTGGCAATAGGTTGTGGAGAGGAGTGTTTTCCAAGGAATATACTTCACTCTCCAGCTTTTGATGCAACCATTAAAATGGATCATATGTAATCTTATAGCGTCTATAGATCATCAACGACTAGTTAACGGCTTGCGCAAAATTCCTTGTCTTTTTCATTTTCCCCGGCTGTTAGTCATTGAGATTTGTAATCTGGTTACTAGTCATGTACAAGCACATACCTGTAGATCATTAAACCGTCTCATCGCTTTTCTTCTGAACTCATCTTATGAAACAGGTTATTTATACGTAATTGGAAGACGGGGTGTGGAAACATGGCCGTATGTATATGCCCAATAATAACATATAATAAGTATATATAGATAAATATGACGTAGAATTAAGGGCTCATCGGGCTGCGCTGTGACAGGTTAAGTCCAGTGAGTTGCACCCAACTTTAGCTCGCTGTTGCGTTTTCTCAGCGTTTTTCCTGGGTCATCCTATGTCCTCCCACATTTTTCTGGTCACGTGTTAACTCTAAATTTCCCCTACGGTGTGGATGTGTGAGTGATCCCGAAGCGCTCTTAGCGGTACGTGCTATTTGTTTTGCAGGACGGGTTGCTTTCATAGAGACCAATGTAACTCGGTATGAGATCATTAAAAATGGGTTGGGAGGATTTTTTAAAATACACGTATCGGTTTGTAACACGTCTGGGGCCTGTTTCGCAAAGCCGGATTTCTTGCTTAGCCGGATAACTTATCGGATTTAAGGTGAACGAAGATCCATTAGCCCAGTTAAAGTGGGGTCCCTTAAATTGGATGTTATCCGGCTGAGCAAGAAATCCAGCATGAAGCGAAAACTTCAGTATTGATCTCAGGGATGGATATTTTCCTATATAGCCTACTGTATTTATTTAAATGTTCCTGTTTAAAAAATATATATGTTCTTATATGCGCCAGTGAATTTATGTTCCGTGGAAACGTTAAGCAGCCAAAGACAAAGGGATGAGCATCATTAAACCGCGAACTATCTGGATTATAGCAACCCCTCCATGGCGTTTCTCATACCAGTCATAACTATTAAAACAGATTTCCCACTCCCCTTCATTTCTCCCTACAATAGACACCTGTCTCCTTCACACATAGACGGCATTGTCCAGCTCCCAGGAACCAACTTGTCAAGCAGCACAAGAGGGACTTTTTCATGGCGGGCCAGGACTACGCAGGTCCTCTCGCCTCCACCCCCATAATAACAGCGGCTGTCCTGGGACGCCCGACGACCCCATGAAAAGCCAACTGTCTGGGTGACCTGGTCAGAAAGACCCCGGTCTGGTTGAATGGCACGGTAAATTCGCCAGCATGAATATGCGGCTTTGTGCACGCAGAGGACGGCAATATTGATGGGTTCCCGGGGTCTACAGCGCTCGTCGGGGACACCTGGGAGGTAGGAGGTGGAGTGTCAATGGAAACAAGGAGGTTTTGTAGCAATGGCACCACCCACCTTCCATATTCTGCACTGTAATCACCACTATACACTAAAGATGGGCATTTTTTCATATGAAAGAAGAGTGGAAGTTATGATTTTAGGTTTTAGTGTAGCACCTGTTTTTATGAGAAATCACCTCTTGCCCGGAAATAAACACTGTAATTGCTTAGTTGTCATGTGACTTCCCGGATTTGATGTTACGTTACAAATCCGTTATCAGTGAGTTAGCTTTCAAAGATATATGGTCGCGAGATATATATAAGTCTAATGTTTCTATGTTGCCTGCATGGTTGCTTCATTAAGAAGGATGCGAGCGCTTGCATCTAAGAAATTGTTTGGCTATTGCGTTAATGATGAATTGATGTTAGGCTATAGAAGCGCAGAGAAACGCTGATTTGAGTAATTTTTGCAATTCGAAACTGGCCCTTCAAAAATTTAAGGTATCAACGTTGAGCCAAAAAATTTCTTGGGGGGAAAAAAACAAGTAAGCCTTTACAATTGTAATCCATTTAATGTTAAAAAAAAATGTATATTTGACTGAACATGCCGCATTTTTGGAACAAGGTGAGCTGTCAGACGTCTCAGTATTTTAGAATTCTGAATTACACCGAAGGAAGGATTACGATTTATGATGAAAAAAAAAACAAGATTTGGAATCTAGTTGGTTAACCAGTTTGCAACTAAGGCTTCAACGTGCATGGATTTTCTAATATACTGGTAGTACTAGATATACAAACAAACAGAGGGATTTATGTGAGAGCTACTTGCATGTGATGCCAGACGCTTCAGATCCAATCACTGGATTGCATATGTGGATGCGTATGTTTGTGTGCATGCTACTGGCTTATGTTCGTGGAGATATGAAATTTATTTTATTCACTTTTTGGTATTTTTGCCAGTTGTGGAGTTTGCGAAAGCGGAGTACGAGAGCTTCTGGCGTTTTTAATCTCATCCTAACAGTTACAATGTGTTGCTCTATGTGTTCGGTGCTCATCAAGTTGTCACGGAGTGATATTTGAGCCCCGTGACTCCGAGGGATGTAATAAACCCTGGAGAAGGTGACTGACAAGTTCGCGTATCTGTTGGGTGACAGTGGTTTCTTTATTGCAGCCCTCAAGAATGAGTATATGACAAATCTGTCTGTCATCAAGTCTGGTATCAGTCTGGAGTGCTGAAGATCACATGTAATTATCTTTAAAATACATGAAATGATCCACTTTTGTGTGCTTATATTGCTTTTATTTAATATAGCTCAGTTTTCATAGCCTCCAGTGCAATAAGGGTTAATGACAGGTAAACCAAAATGAGTTCAGTGTTTATATGGTTCAAATGCATATGACTTGACACTCATTCTTCCTACATGCTGCTGCTGTTATAAACACTCTTGTTTAATGCTGTATTGTTCTGGGTGGCACAGGAACCAAAACCATTTCACATGAGGCATGAAGGAAGAATTGAGGACCGTATTTGGGAATTGCAGTGGAGATGGGATAGGGGTAATCAGTGAATGGGATTGAAAACAAAAGTCAGTGAATCCAGTCATCCAGTGACTAGGATAGCTTAGTGGGTACCTCTGTTAACTCACACCACCGGGTTTGGGGGTCCAAATTTGCCCCAGCTCCCAGTTTCCATGTCCTTTTTTAGGTGTACCTGACGATAGCTATGTGGAGTTTCTTTGTGTTGTGTGGTGTTCCCCCAGTTACTCCAGTATGTAGGTAGTTGGCCTGGCACTAAACTGCCCATCGCATGTGACTGTATGAGTGTGTGCATGTATGTACCCTGAGAAGAACTGGTGTCCTGTCTTGGGTGTATCATGTACCTAGAGATGGTCCCAAGGCCGTCCCATGACCTTGACCTTGATAAGTTTTTAGAAAACGGATGGATGTATGGAAAAATACTTTTCAGGCTCAGCAGTACCTGGACGTTCAAGTCCTGCCCCCCACCCTTTTTGTGTGTGGAGTTTGCATGCTTTTCCCGTCCTGTGGTTTCCTCTTAGTCCACAGACATGCAGTTAGCATCATCTCTAAATTATCTGTACCATCATTGTACAAGCGAGAATCCATTGCTCTTTTCAGTCAAAACACTATTTATTTTTAAACATTGTGTTTTATAATAAATATATTACAAATTTTAATTATGCATACAATTCAAAGTAGGCTTACTTATCTGGAGTTTCCCTGGCACATATTTAACACTATATTTACCTATGCTTCTGGATTACTCTAATAGTATATTGAAAACGGATATGAAATGGACACATCCCCGTCTTATTCAGATCGAATGTCACCGTGCTTTTTTTTTCTTTAAAAAACCAGCCGCAGCATGTTTGCACCTTGTGACGTGTGCGGACGCCGCTCGTGCGTGCAGTGCGAAGCCCCACCCACCGGCGCAGTTCCGCGAGCGCAGCGCGCGCACATCCACGAGCCGAGCGCTTCAGCGACGTGGCCTTTAAGCCGCCATCTTGTGGAAACGCCTTGAGGAGGAAGCGACGAGCCTGTCGGCGTAGCTTTTGGTGAGGCGTTTTCGGCACGTTTCTCGTTAAAGATTTCTGCTTAAGTAATTAACTAAGCGAAATATATCCTACGCCCGGCGAGGTAACGAAGTGAAAATAGCCGCGTGGTAGATTCTGGGATTTCTTCTTAAAAGGTAAACAAGTAGTTGTGCTAGTCGGCTTAGCTTGTCGGCTACATTCGTTGAGCATGAAGCGCTAACGGTGGATGATAGATTTTTTTGGAATCAAATATGTATGTGGACAGGTGTGAAGTAACAAATAGGCGGGTATATTGTATTTTGGGTCTAGAGTCGTGGTTAGCAGCAGATATTTATCTGTAAGAGAAGCTGCTTAGCCGGCTATCCAGTTAGCCTTCTTAAGGGACCTTTGGTTATGGGGGGCGATCTCCGCAGTTATCTTCCTTTGTCATTCTGGCGAGCTGACGACGTGCCCCCCCTCCACCCGGACTTGTCCACAGCTAGCTAGTGACCCCCCAGTCGTAGATCCTCGCTGGTTAACGTTAAGTCAGAAGTTAACCAAAGACTTCACGGTTGCGGCCTGGCGAGATTTAACTACCTTAGCTTAAATAGCAGGCTGTTCGTTGCCGGGGTGCTTGGTTAAACCTATTTATTGTGAATATGTTGGTGCGTTAATGTGTTTTAGATGTTTTAACATTTGTATTTCTAACTAGCTTGTGAACGTTTTTTGTGGTTGTTCAGTATACCCTTACAGGTTATCGGTCAGTTAATCGTACGGCATCAACAAAAATAAGTACTTTCCTATTCAGTCCATGATCTGGGATTCCGTTTGCAAACTAAACTAAGTTCTAGCTGTTTTTTTTCCCGTTCCTGGATAATCAAGTTGAAGAAACGTGACTAGTTTTCTTATAGTTGTATCGACTAGGAAATAAAATAACAGGCCAAATACCACACAATACAGTCACAGACAGCAGTCTTAATTCCAAATCAGTAGTTTGGGTGACATTTATATTCCCCTGTCAGATGCTCAGCTTTGGTTGACTGTTGACGATTCTGGTCAATTCTTTGTGCACTGTATTTTAACTAAGAATTTGAGCATATTCTGGTCTAGTATTTTTTTTTTGTTTAGGCTATGATGCAAACAATTGGATTTGTGTCTGTATATCATAGTTTTTTTTAATCAAGAATATCTATAACGTTTGCCACAAAATGATGAACTTCCATTCATTCAGCCATTGGAATGGTTTAAATTTCTGTCTCATGAAACCGGTCACAGGGAAGAATATTGTCATGGTGCTCAGGTGACATTTCTGGCTTTCTATAGTGACTTGTTGCTTGATAGCTATGGAGAGCTGGTTATCAGTCATCTGTTAACACAGAGTGTGATAGTGTTCTCATAGGATAGGATTTGCGGCCTATCAGTGATAATCCTCATGTTTTTATGAAGTAGTTGCCCAATACATGGAGAGTGTAAAGTCATACATTCTTATCCCGTATGTACAAGCACTGCATATGAAGGTTGACTGTGAGTCACTCAAAAAAAACTTCCTGTGAGTTTGCTAGAGCACTGTAAGGGGGGCTCATGCAGCCATGATGAAGTCAGCATTGTTACAGCTTATAACTTGGAAAAAATACACCATATGTCCACGTGCTTAGTCAAAATGTACACTTCAGACAGATTGTATGGTACTAAGTGTTTTTCGTTTTTTGAGACTCGAGGTGTCTGTACTTCTATAATGCCATGGATGAAAATTATGTTTATCAGATCTTTTGCATTGTGTGCTTTTCAATTTTGAACAGTACCCATCCTAAGTGTGTTTTTTTTTTTTTTTTTTTTAGTTAAAATATGTTGTAGCTGACTCACAGATTATATTGTTTCATTTTCGATAACTTGGAATGTGTAGGTTGCTAATGGCTTATCCTAGCAGATCCTAGAAGAGACATCTTTCATATGGAGGAATGGATTGGAGATTATTGTCCATTGTCATAGGTTTCTAGCTCCATTAGCAGTTGAACAAGAAAACATTGTCCTACTCTATAACCCCAGGTTGAAATAAATATTTTACTCGGTCTTCTCTCACCTTCTTTTCAGATCACTGTTTGGATCTTGTCAAACATGGGAAATATATTTGCAAATTTATTCAAAGGCCTCTTTGGCAAAAAGGAAATGCGAATCCTGATGGTGGGTCTTGATGCTGCTGGAAAAACTACTATTCTATACAAACTTAAGCTTGGGGAAATTGTAACCACCATTCCGACTATAGGTAAGCAGTTACCTTAGGCTGGTTTGTCACTGTTGTGTGCGTGAAACTCTTGTCTCCACACAGCCTGTGATCTCTTCAGTAGGTGTTTATTTTGCTTAATTGTGATCATTTAATTAGTTTTAAAATAAGTAATCTGAAATTTCAATGTCAGGTAAGGGTCAGATATGGATTACTCATACTTGCTGCTTAAATGCATCTGCAAAATGGGGTAAAGTGTCAAGACTATTCAGATAATGGTCTAACAAAGACTAAAGTTGTCTATGAATGGCCAAAGGGCATAGTAAACAAAGTGTAGGTGGTTAAAAACCGAACAAAAGGTAGAGGCATGTAGAGTACTATGGGCTTGAACCTGCTGAGGATGGGGGAGAGGTTGTGTAAAAATGAACTGATTTGCTTGTATGTTATGCATGTTCAGTTTCTTTGTTTGTACATAGAGGTGGTGCTTGTTTCACCATACCAAGTGTTTTGTATGCTGGTGTGCCCTGCCTTATGGACCGTCTCTTCTGCATTGCTCAAGGTTTTAATGTTGAGACGGTGGAGTACAAGAATATAAGCTTCACAGTGTGGGATGTTGGTGGTCAGGATAAGATTCGACCTCTGTGGCGCCATTACTTCCAGAACACACAGGGTAAGTTCTGCGCCGGCATCTAGAGAGAGCCATTCGGCTGGTTGTTCCTTGGTTGGGGACACTGTAGCTTCTGAGTGAGTAATTTGATGAGTTGGACTTTTGCCAGTAGCCTGAAGGGGAATGGCAAAAGGCTCGAATGTAGAATAACCAGACTTATAATGAAACCAGAATTCAAGTTTCTAAATCCAGAATGACCCAGCCTGAACCATATCATTGTTATTCTGCAGACGTGAAGTAGAAAAAGTCTTGTAATAGATAAAGTTTTATTCATCTAAAATTGACTTAAAGTGTATGAAGTGTCCCAGCCGTCCTAACACTAACATTTGATAGCCATGCTACTGGCTCTAAGTTCAAATATGTTCCTTGTTTGTTTTGGTAACTTATTACTTAAGTGGGTAAGTGGGGGGGTGGGGCAGTCAGTTATGGAGCAGGATACAGTAATGATAACCAGTATCATAGCAACACCCTGTATACTCCTATTGATTTCCTTTAGGCCTAAAAGCCCCTTGTTATAGCCTAGTTGGTGGTGTGCATGCAGTGCAGTGACTCAGCATATGAGTTCCGCCTCTGCTGTTTTTGAGGTGTCATTGAGCATGCGATCCCCCACCCCCGCAGGCCTTATCTTTGTTGTGGACAGCAATGACAGAGAGCGAGTGAACGAGGCCAGGGAGGAGCTCATGCGGATGCTGGCTGAAGATGAGCTGAGAGATGCCGTTCTATTAGTATTTGCTAACAAACAGGTACCGTGGATTGGCCCAATGCAGCACAGTTCTCCCTCTTCCTGATTCGCCATGCCTAATTCCCCCCCCCCCCCCACTCTGTTTCAGGACCTCCCAAATGCCATGAATGCTGCCGAAATCACGGACAAGCTGGGACTGCACTCTCTGCGTCACAGGAACTGGTATATCCAGGCCACCTGTGCCACCAGTGGTGATGGGCTCTATGAAGGACTGGACTGGTTGTCCAATCAGCTCCGAAACCAGAAATAGCTCCCTCCTCCGACCCGCCCCCTCTCCTCTGCATCTTCTCCTCACTCTTTGCTTTACTCCTCTGATGTTGCAAACTGTGCTACTTTGTGGTATCGAATGCCGGAAGCTGTCCTCATTTCATCTCTCGTCAATATAAATTATGAGCCACACGTTTTGTTTTTTTTTTTGTTTTGTTTTTTTTTTTTTGCAAGCCTTGGAAAGTCAGGATTCTTATTTAATGTAAATAGTCTTTTCTAGTGAGGCTGCTTCTGGCAACTCTTATGCAATATGTGCTCTGCCTTTCCGTTCATGTCCCTGCTGTACTCTTTTGGACAGACCTGCATCGTATGTAGTCCTGGAAAGGGATAGAAGCAGCCCGCCGATATTCTCTTAAACATTCACGCGGTGGCTGTACTGGCCAGCTTTTCCACGTTATTTTGAGTACACTGAAACATTTTCCCTTTTTTTTTTCTTTTTTTTTTTGTTGGGTGCCCAGTACCGGAGTGAGGTGGCACATCCTTGTAAAACACTGAAAGAAATGGAAGAACTCAGAGGCGGGTGATGAACCACTCATAGCAATGGCCGCCCTTCATGAAAATAGGCCCTGGCTTTGGTGATCTTACCAGACAAAGCATGGAACCGCTTAGTGCACCCTGTGTTAATAGTATGGTATGCTGTTATGTTTCTGAATTAAATGCATCCAAGTCAACTTCATAAAAAAAAAGTGACAACTTGCAAACGCGATTGTCAGTTTTCTTACGTTAGAGGCACTTTGAACGTACCTACTAAGCTCCCCAAGCTTCTGAAAAGGATAACGATGCATGTGAGGAATGTGGTTATGTTCTGATCCAGGACCTTCCTGGCTTAATGCTATATGCCAGCAAGCCAGTTAGCAGTCTGTTTTCACCTGTGCCCTAATCAGATTGATATATATATATATATATATAATGCATTTTAGTTAATCTTTATTCAATTTTTACTCTAGTTCCTTCAAAGGGTTCTCTTTCTGAACTGTTCTGTCGCTGTTCTTCTGTTCCTAGCTCGGTGGTGGAGTTCCTTTCGCAGCATGTCTCTACGGCCTTTTGTTGCTTCTGCTCCTCTTGCTGCAGTGTTATTTTGAAAGCACTACTGCAAACAGTTTGTCACCTTGAGGGTGCCCCTCTGTTCTTACGATCTGCAGCCCTTCCGGCAGAGAATCTCGCCCCCGGCGAGCACATTCACAGCCGTTTCCCTTTCAGCGTTCTGCAAAAAGAAGCAAAATGTGGCAGATGCCAAGCATTTGTACTGCAGCAAGAACCTATATTTTTTTTTATGTACTGGAAATCAACATATAATTGCCTCATTCCCCCCAAGCCCCCCCCCCCTTTTTTATTTTTAAAGTCTTGATTGATTTGTGTCTGGAAAGACACCAGTATGTGGGAAAGCAGACTCTCATGGTGTGATTTACATTTTTTATGTAAACATATTTTGAATCATTTTAAAAGAAAAGCACTGTAATTAAAGCGTAGAATGAAGGTTTTCTCTTTGTCGTTGTTTTCGTTTCCCTCCATCTCGCCCGCCCCCCAACACAGCTCCAGACTGAAGCTGTAAAATGAATGTAGTTGAAGCCATACAGCATATATTTTGGGTATTAAATTGGGATTAACGGACTCAGTTTGGTCTTCAGCTTGGATCTGTCCATTTTGATTAAATTAGCACGGGTATGAACAATTTCCTGTGCCAGTCTCCACTTTTAAACTTGTGGCCTGCTCATGCTATATGAAAACAAGATCTTTCTATTAGGAGTTATCATAGTAGGTGCTTTCTGCTCCATGCATACGTCTTGCGATGAAGCCTGTACACCTGCATATAGGTAAATGCCTGGCTAGACACTACGTTTCCATTGCCTAATGACCTTAATCTTTCTACTATGCTGTTGTTCCGCTGCATGAGAGGTTTGTGCCAGCACGCCAGGTTGGCCACCAACAGCAAGTGGGTGACATCACAATATCAAGCACCACTTCTTTTTCAAATCAACCTCTGTCAAATCACCTCTGCAATGCTGTAAAGGAACACCCTTGTGCACAGGGGAGACCTTTCGGTATGGGTAGTTCCTTTACCTATTGACTTTGCAACCTGTGTTTATTCAGTTGACGCAACATTGCCCAGTTTCCTACGGTCTTAATGTGGCTATTCCGGTTCCTACCTCTTTCACCGCTTCCTCATTCTGAAACAACTAGTGGTTCATGCTCTTTGTGTTAAACAATAGCTGTCATATTTCAGGGGTGCTTAGATTGTACTGCCTGCGAAAGCTGAAGTGAACGTTAGCGAATGCAGCCAATCAGTTACCAGCACAGATGGGGGGGGGGGGAGAAGCTATTGCTATAGAAACTCAGCCTGTGCACACAGAGCTGTGTGCTTGGCTGCACTGGCATCAGCTTCACACCTTACCCACCCGCCTTTGCGTTCACGCCGCAGTGGTGAACATGCAGGACTCTGAGTCCCGGTAAGCGCCAGACAGGTGGGGGCGGGGGGGGGTTTTGCCAGACACCTGACACTGGTTTATCAGTTTCTGTCAGCGGTAGACAGGTCTCTAACTGTCACGCAGCAATGCGGCATCTAAACTTCGGCCTGCGGACGGACAAAGACTCATCTCAGCTCTTCCCACCCGCGATTGAAAAGGTCAGGTAGAGGGTCTTATTTCATGAGCAGCCCCATACTTCAAATAAAAGGCTGTCTGCATATGTGTATAAGAGAGCAATTACCAAGTGCCATAAAACACGATAATTTCAGTTAATTACATTCTCGATGGCCTTTAACGTGCTGTATAAGCTTTGCCAGAAAGTACTTAAGAAGGAAGTGAGCGTGCCTTTGATCTGTAGCAAAGGCCCTAGAGGATTGATTCACAGGCATTACATCCACACTGCTGGTGCATGGAGCTGAGGAGCAGGAAGCACTCGCCCATAAGTAGAGATGTGAACAACTCCAGCAGCATCAAAGTCCCATAGTGGAGCAAGTCAATGCAACAAAACTCATAGCTACCATTCCACTGAACACATCCCACATGAACCCTTAGAAAGTGATTTGCGATTGTAGGTTAATATTTCTATTGATACTTTTCAACTGCAATTTCAATTTCAAAATTCACATGAAGCTAGATGCACTCTATTCAGCGAGAAGCAGTAGCATTTCCTTGGAGGACAGCCTCAATGTGTCTGTTCAATCAGGAACATATGTTTGAGATTTACATGTGAGATTTATATTTGCAGTATTTTTCAGTCTTACTAGACCTTCTTGAAGCTCAGGCTTCAGTATTGTCATGCACAGAAGCAGTCTAGTCAGTCCCAATCTACACCGAGATGGGGCTATTGGTCAACAAGCTCTCTTTGGGCATCTTATGTTGATTGGTGGGTTTCTGTTAATCCATTTTCGCACATCAGTTGAATGACGTAATGACGTCTCAGGTCAAAGCCTATTTTAATTTCTGTCTGATTTGATTTGAAATTGTTGCAGGAGAAATTTACCCCCCAATATTTAATTTGGCTTCACTCATCTCCCGCCCTAATTAAATAGACCTTTGCATTTAAATTATTAATGTGTCCCCCACAATATTAAACTCTCTCCTAAATCCTTGTCTGCAGGTTATGCCTCACGTCTACCAATACTGTATCGTACAATCTCATTCATGTCTACCAATACTGTATCGTACAATCTCATTCACGTCTTTCAATACTGTATCGTACAATCTCATTCCCATATGTAATGATAATTGCTGCTGCTGGCCCATCATGTGTATCACTTGTCTTTAATTTAATTCATATATGGCTTGTATACTGTATATTTCCTGTAAATTATTTGTTCATCGTCTGTACTATATATTGTCTAACTTGAGAGACACCATTGACCAGAACCAAATTCGGAAACACTTTACTTGACAGGGCACAAATACACATATAGTAACTGTTTGGGATAAAAGCTGCATCATGATTCATTAACAATGAACAAATATGAGATCAGTATTTAACTTGTCACTTGTTCCTTCAGTATAGTTCCAGAATTAACAGATATAGTAACAAATATAGCAACTACTTGAGAAAAAACATGCATCACGATTTATTAATGATGAATTAACATGAAATCAGTATGTAACTAAGACTTAGTTTGTGGTTAAGTAATAGCATAATACTATATTTGTGCCCCGTCAAGTAAAGTGTTACCCCAAAACCCTTGAGTGATTTAACATACTTTGCCAGTAAATCTGATTCTGATTCTGATAAATCCCTTGATCTGGATTTATAAAAGTACTGGAGAGGCCTTTCTGAAATACTACTAGATTGCCTTTTTTTCCAAGTGAATTTAGCCAAATGAGTGATCCATTTGACTTTGCATCTTAAAAACATTAGTAGTTTATGCACAGAAAACTATATATAATACACAAGCAACAATACCAGTGCAGTGGAACTAGTTAGATTTGCTCACAATCCACATTAAAGGTCACAAAAATGTAACCCGTTCCTGCCACTGCCACATGTCATGGTGTGTTTGGCAACAAGCGTCTGGCCCTGATTCCCAGCCCTTTGTTCTGCAGCATTAATGCCTGGAGGACTGTGGGCTTCTAAAGCCCTTGATTGAGTCTATGTCTCCTGGCCCATTCATATGCACCAATTTCACCCTCTATAAAACCCGCTTCCTCGCGTCGTTCCCACCGCAGCACACACGCTTGCACCTAGGTGACGTGGGCGCGCACCGGCCCTGAAAACGACCCCAGACGTAACGACTCCCAGACTCCACTTTCCTGTTCCCCTGTCGCGCTTGCCCCAGGGCAGGTGGGCAAAATTAAGTCCACTGAAGGGAGAGGAGAGGCGATCAGAGGGAGTTTCAGGAGTTCGAGGACCAGAATACGTACCTACGCAGGAAAAGTACCCAGGATTCAGCACTGAAATGCTGACAGCAAATTTATATTTACCATGTGCACGTAGGAACATCTCCAGACAGGACCGTGAACAGGCTTCCTTTTCCGAAGTGCAGAGGGATGTTTTCAGGGGCAAACAGAGCGTAAGGGCAAATATCAATGGACCGGATTCGTGGGGGGGGGGGGGAAATGAAACACAGGAAACAGTGATTCTGGAATTTGCCATCGAAATGGAATCTTGGTTCCTGGAGGTCAGAAAATGGAACACACCAGTACATGTGGGGAACTGGGGGAGGGGGGGCATATCAATACAAATAAAGCCAGTCGTCAGACTCAGGTGACTGGCTACTAACTGCCCACCCCCGAAGTGTAATTTTGTGATTTTGACTTTAATGACCCATAAAACATGTGTACACAGGATTAACTGGTTTTTTTTCGTAATCTTGTCAAACGGCAAATTTGCTTCTCTTTTAACACTGAGCTATAGCATAAGCTTTGTCTTGCTATACATGACAAACCGTTTGAATTTTTGTGCGACACTGAAGGCTTTAAAAAAAAAATTTACTTCCTATGTCCATCAAGGTTCTGATTCTTGTGAGTTTTATACAATGATTTTTTTCCCCCCTGAAACACTCAATGAAAAAAATATGCATATTGTCATAATCTTGGCCCAGGATAAAATGCGAGAAGATGGTTGAATGAATATTTAGATATTAAAAGTTTGAGAATTTTAAATCAAAACATGTTTCTGACGAGCAATGCTTGGATCAAGAAAGTTAAATTTTATTTTTCACTCGATGTGACAGCTCATATTTGTCTCCGTAGACTTTAGTAAAGGTAGTAGGAATGAGTGGTTTAATAACTAGCCAGGTCAAGCTTATATACCTTTCAATTAAGGCCGTGATCTTATGAAGTCATCCAAACAGCTAAGACTCCATCTCCAAATCAGCTATTCCTCAGCTTCTCCCTTGTAATTATGGGTCTTTTCCCCATACATCTCACCTTGGGACTGAAATTATAAAGTAGATTTTTTTTTGTGTGTCGGGTCTCCTGATTGGTAGAATCTCACAAGGTGAACTTTGGGCTTCAGGCTATTATCCATCCACACGAAACGTTCTGTAATTATCTCGTCTTGGACCTCTCGCCCTGGTATCCTGGTCCCAGAGGTGATGGCTTTGTTAAAGCCGAAAGCGATGTGTTGCCCACCAGTTCGCAGTGATGGACAGTGTGTGCGGTTCGTAACCATCTGGGTGAGGGTCAGCAACTTGCAGTAAAGCCCAGCAGGGGGTGTTTCCACATGTCTTGAGAGTAAATTGTTTTCGTAATAATTATTTATAATGTTACATTCAGTGCTTAGCTTGGTGCTGGTGATTAGCAATCATTGTGCAGAAGCTCATTAGAATCTCATTAGATTCATCGATAAAGGAGGGCAAAATATCCGGAACTTTATATTCTTGGTAACATAACAGTGAGTTAATACTTATTTGCAGCATGGTTACACATTAAATCACAATATTACATAATTCTAATACTATTTCTTATCTTTATTTAAGATCAGCTCTTTGGTTGGCCGAACAAACACAGCCGTGAAAGTTAATTCTGAGAACGCTATCGCAGTTCGAGCTGGAGTCGTTTCGCATAACCCTGCCCGGGTTACTTAACAACGAATCCAGGCGGCTGACATGTGGGTGCGGAAGCAGACGGGGAGACCAGCCTTCCTGGGCCCCAGCGCCTCCAATCGATACCCATGGGGTTAGCAAGTTCTTTTGAGTTTAGGCTCATTCCCAGAGATCTAGCTCCTCCACAAGAATGATGCGCGTAAAATTCTCTGCTGCTGTCAATAGGGGGCGCTCTGTTGGTGCCCGTGGTCCTTGATTTCCTATTTATTTATTCCTTATGTTTGATAACTATTATTTACAAATGCCATAGTTTTCCTACATAGTAACACAGGGTTTGGCCAGTGCTGAACATACGTTGGTTGAACTCTATGCCTCACCTCCCCTGCCCCCCAATCACTCACGCACCCCCCCGCCTCCCCCCCTCACATGGTGCATTGTGTTCCAGCATGACTCTTCATCCAGAGGCCTGAGGTCTTGGTGTTTTCTGCCCCCTCCCCCCAGCCACCACCTCTCTGTGGGCCTGTCCACCCCTGGGCCTCGCCTAGCAACTCAGCCTGTGGCATGCAGCAGCGATGCCAGCAGCAGGGGGCGCTCCTTTAACGAGTGACAAATGAAGAGCCACAGGAGCGGCGGCGGGTCACGCGGGTGTCCGGAGCAGGGGGCCCTTCTGCTTTCTCGCCAGCACCCCCTGCTGGCCTGACATCGCGGTGTGTGTGTGTGCGCGCGGCGGTGGCGGTGGCAGCTTTTCGGGGATAAGTTGCATGAAGTCCCCCCCATTGTGACTGCTCTGCTGTCTTGGGGCACCCCCCCCTGCCCCCAGATACTAGCCAACAGAACGTTTCTTCTCAGTCCATCTTAATGCAGGCACTAATTGTTAAGATATTGTACATTTTCACTTCCATACTTGAAGAAATACAGTAGTCTTTTATAAAAAGCTTTATGTTCTTATACTTATTGTATTTCTCTACAGTTGTACGATTCTATGCTATTATTCCATCTTGATCTTCTTGCCCCAGCTCTTGGGGTCACATGACGCTTCTCATTACCTCTGTAAGGAAATGAGGCAAGATTATGACAAGAACCTGAGGCAAACGGTTAGAAGCCAGAGATCAGAGTGTAACTAGGCATTAGTCAACAATCAATTGTGCCACAGCAAGAAACAAATTTATTTCACTCATCTGTTACAGTAGCATACAAAACCGTGGAGTCACAACGACAACTCAAAGAAACTACTTTACAAATTACACAAAGTATCAAAAGCCCTCAATATTGTGAACAAAATTTCCCTCATGTCGATTTTAATTTTAAATGTCACAGAAAAAAAATGGATATGCTTTGTATAAGGACTTCAATACAATCCATCTCCATCTGAGTTATGAAATATAAAAAAATACAATAATAAAAGCATTAAAAATCATCTTGAACACTGCCTCAAAAACGTTTTTCTGCCGTACAGAACAGAGACTCACGAAGCTTGCCAAGAACAGAAAATGTAATATGAATTTTAAGTCAGAAGGGAAGCATTAGATTAACATCATCAAGAATACTTAGGATTCGGCACAAAAGGCCATACTGCCCTCTGCTGGTGAATATTCTTAACAGCTACTGGTCAGCTGTGGTGGAGGGTTTGGGAGTTTCAGGCAGTTATGAGAGGGAAGGGTAGGATATTTTTAAAGTGTTTTTGGACTGTGGCACAATGATAAAAGTGTCCAGGATTTCTGTGGAGCCAGGAGAAGGGAGGGCGCCCCCTTTGTGGTCCATCAGCTGTCAGAGTCCGTGTCGTGGCGTCTCTTCTGACTGGCTCCGATGGGGGGGCGGCCGCTGTAGCGACGGGGTGCATCCACGCCCCCATCCGAGGACGACCCGGTGTCATGACGCCGCCGCCGCTGGTGCTGGCGGAGCGGGGAGGAAGGGCAGGCTCCGGCCTTTGCCCCCACTGATGAATAGCCGTCTCGGGGTCTGGCTCCGCTCTGTCGGCCCGATGATGGATGAGGACGATGGTGGTCCTTTCTCCTCCTGAAGGTGACACACACACACACACACACACACAGACATCCACAGATGAATGAATGAATGGAGCGCAGGAATGAATGAATGAATGGAGATCCTCGTGGGTCTGTCACCCCCCCCCCCCACCTCCAGCCAAAATATACATGGAGTAACCCTGTTCGTTCAAAAGTAGAACACTTTATAAACACCATTAGTTATATGTATATATATTAGTAATACAGTCACACCTTTTAAAAAAAAAAAACAAAAAACTTTTGTATTCATCCATTTTATTGATGTAAATGCTTGCTACTGCCACTGAGCTAAATACAGACTACGTCAGCCTAATGAAAGATGTCGATTACATTATGAAGCTAAATGTAAACGATTAAATTAACACACCTTTTTAAAAAAAAATTGTTGATGTAGGCCTATTTTATTAACGCTTGCTTCCGCTATTGGGCTAAAGATACATCAATAATGTAATAAAACATGCCGGTTATACTATCAGGTGAAATGTAGGTGATTATTTAATAGTAATAAAAACACCTTTAAAATATTCGGAAGTGTACAGTGTCAGAAACACTGGTCTAAGAAACTCATCCTGTGTCGTGACAAGTGTGTGACCACCGGAGTACCCCCCCCCCCCCCGCATCGCTTCCGCACCAGGCAGCGGCAAACAGAAGCTTTTTCTATAAGTACAGGATCGGGGCCAGCACATTTTTCAGTCTTTCGAGTTGAAATGTTCAGTTTGTCAAGCACCTTAAACATCATTGCTATTATTTTAAACAAAACTGAAACGTGTAAGTTTTGTCTGAAATAACGAAGTTTTTGCAGTTTTTTTGCTTGTGCTGTGATTCAAATAAACACAAACATTTACCTGCACCTTTATTCCTGTTTACAATCTTTTACATAACTATCAATGAGCGTGGGAAATGACGAAAATGTAAGCCTTAAAATTTATTATTGTGGCACCAAAAGCACTGCGAAAAATGTGGGTGCACCTAAATTAAAAAGTTAGAAGCACCAGTGCAACCAGTGTAAAACGTTAGTCTGGAGCCCTGTCTATTTGTTATGGAGACAGGAAAACGCTCATGGATCCTTCAGTTTTCATATTACAACCGTTCCCACGACTAGGTCGTTAAGGAAATGGTCGCTATGTGAAAATCTCGACAACCTAGGTGTGACTGCGACTCTGCTTATGTCTTTGCTTCAACATTCCATACTCAATTGTTTTTTTTTCCTTCATGGAGGTCAACTTTTCCAACAACAGCTTCGACTTCAAAGATCTCGTGCACTGTCGTCAGGCATACGATATTTGGTCGTAAATGAGCCACTGCTCGGAGAATGAATTTATTATCACATTCCTAAATAGTCACTAACTGAGGCAGTCGCTAAACGACGAGTGGCCGTATTCGTATTAGCATTTACTGGAAATTGCATGGAGAGCATTAGTGACGCACCACAGGGGACCCAGGAGACACTGTTGATGTAAGAAGATGCCATGTTAAGTTACTTTTAGATTGGACAGAGAGAGAGTGTAAAATTGGTTAAATCCTAATTTCTTCCTCGTATGCATTGTAAACATCTAAGAAAATGCATGACCTGTTTCAGAGAGCAGCTGCGTGATCGAGACGCTGGCGCCACCCTTTGGTGGAGACATAGTATTAAGAAAACTCCATCAATTGTAAGCATTATTCGATATAGGCCTACAGTAAATGAAATGCACTGAACACTCAATATAGAGATCTATTTTTTTTTTCAAGAAACTAAATAATGTAGAAATAGACATACATTAGTGGCCAAGATTATGGAAACACTTCCAATTTTTAGAGATGGCAGAATTGCTCGTTATCGTCCAATGTATAATCTACATACCATTCGTTATTTATAAACATTACCGCCAATATCTGTGTGTGCATTATATGTATTTATATATATATATATATATATATGCTTGCAGTTAGACTGCAAAGTTGGGCAACATCAGTCTTTGAAAGTGGAAGATCCAGTCAGTGTTTGAGTTGCTGTTCAGCTTCTACAGGTCGAGCCACACCTCATACTCTTTAGAAGCTCAAAATCCCCTAATTAAGGATGTCAGGTCTGACTTGAAGGACGGAAGAATAGAAGCTGTTACCTCTCGCTGTCATCTTCAGACTCAGATCCTGAGGAGGAAGACTCCCTTCTGTGATGACTTTTCTTCTTTCTCTTTTTCTTCTTCTCCGATTTGGACTTCTTCTCCTTCTTTTTCTTCTTTTTGCTGTCTCGCTGCGTGGAGTCACTCCGTCTGTAAAAGACGCATTTGCAGATGACACTTGCCATGTACGGTCGCTACAGAGGTGATCATAGTTTTGATTTTTTAATTTAGGTTTATTTTTGTATTTTCAATTTTCACTTGAAATCCGGTTTAGTTTTAGTTAGCTTTTATTAGTGTTCATTTTAAAGATATACTTCCATTTAGCATTTCTTTTAAGTTATAGTAATATATTTCTAGTGATATACTGAAAGCTGCATCGCTGTTCATGTGTCTATTTAGAAAACACTACTGTACCCTACACACAGAGCACATTACGCACTAATGTTGTCAAAATAAGCAATACGTGTTCCAGCTATTATTAATGCAAAATAAATTATTACGTTAACTAAAGTGTTAAAAACTCAAAATGTAAAGTATTTGACATGTTTTATTTCAGTTAGTTTAAGAAGCAATGTTTATAGCTTTTAGTTGTAGTTTGCTATTTTTGCACCCTATTTCAGTTTATTCTTATAGTTTTATCTTTCGTTAATGATAAAGACAGGATCATAAATTAGGGCTGGTCACCTTTCTTCATCAGCAGCTTCCCCCTTGTCCTCAGAAGTCTTATTGCTGGGCGACTCCTGATTATCTTCACATCTATGATGCTAAGATAACAATTAAGGTGATTTGTACATCATATATCTGCATTAACTGAAATTCAGTTGGCCAGCTAACAACAAAACAGAAGACTTACAGTGAAGACCGGCAAACCCATTTTCACAGCCTCCTTTTCCTGCTTGGAGAGGATGACTTTTCTTGCTCCAGCACTACAATAAGAGTAAAACTCTGAATTGTAAGTGAAACGTAAGAATGTAATGAGAGATTTCACAGTGACATTTCAGGCAGGCATTCTGCAAGGAAGACTAAATCGTTCATTGCAGTGGTAACATTGAACAGCTAAATATTTAAGCAGAAGTGTACGTGTTCTTTCATGTTTGGCTAAACAAACCCTCGGGTGGCCAGTAACTGCTTTTCTCAGTCCGTAATCACAAGGAAACAGCAGCCAAAGAACCCCAAGGCGCAGAGAAGTTTGAACCCAAAGTTGGATTTTCACCCAGCTTTGCTATCTACTGTCAATAAATGCTCAAACATCAGTCGCTTTGGCCTCCTAGGGGAAAGAGCACCTGGAGCTGCCGAGACCAGAGACTCGGTCCACGTTTCGGGTGTCGCTGTCCGCTTCCTCCCTTTTGCACAATTCAGACAAGTCCTGAAAATCAAGCACAACGTGACCGTCAGCTGAAGTAATACATAACATTTGCTGACTGTAAGGATTGTTGCATGCACCGTATTTCCTGTATGCACTGTATGTTTCTCTGTATCTTTTTAATCCTATTGTACTCTTATGTTTGCACTGGATAGTTGTCATTCATTCATGTTTGCACTGTATTCTGTTAACTGTAGTCGTTTCTGTGTTCACTGTTTGCACCGAACCACAACCAATTCCAGAATATTCACATACTGGGAATAAAGTGTTCTAAGTTCTGAGGTGGAAGCTTAGCCTGTTCCACAGGCCCTGCTCTGTGGGCAGGTGCAAATGACGTCAGTACTGCAGGCTAGAGATTCTCACACTGCGTTTATTCGGCAGGAGATCCTACGATCCGTCAGATGGAGATAGTGACCCATTCTTGCAACTCTGTGTTCTGTCCACTCCCTTTTTCACTGCAGACCACTGATTTGTGGATCATCGATAGAGTAAGAATAGGAGTAACGTGTAACTTTTTAAAATACAGACCTCTCTAGTAAGACCGGTTGGTTGTTTCTTTATATTCTTGTGGCCTCTAAGAAAAGAGAGGAAAGCAGTTATTTGAGCAGACGAGCGCTTTCTGCAGTGACTGCCGCTCACTGGGAAGCCTGCACTCACAAAGCCACCATAAGCGCGTCTTGCTCCGCCTGGCGCACAGCCGCCAGCTCCGCGTCCCGGGACAACTGCGCCCCGCCCTTCTTGTCTTTCGCGTACCAGGTCAGATCGCGACCCTTCTGCCAGCGGCCGACTGGTGCCATGAGGGAATTCCCTAGTGGAGGAAAGACAAGTTCACAGCGAGTGACGATTAAGGTACAAGGACATGATGAGGCCCAATCAGCAACAGCTGGAGAAGGCGGATAACACTAAGGTGTTAATAAGATAAACCCTTAAAAGCATAAAAAAAATCATATGTGAAGCAAAGGTCAACAAAATTCAGATGTGTGTAAAAATACAAATGTAATTGCAAATGGCAGAATTTAGCTGTTATTTAGACTACAAACTATGTCAAACGTCCAGTGCACTCATAATTAAAACTAGGAAAATACATATTTCAAATATCATAGATGATACACTGATTGTTCTATTGAAGTAAAGGCGAAATACTCATACATATCTGAGGAATACTTCCAGGCTTCCGTAGAAGTCGAAGCTTATAGTATAATTTACTAACTTTCCAACCACTCGTACTTTTCCAAGATTTCGTAAAGCCGTATCAAACTGTAGATTATTCCAGCACAGCACATGATATCAGTAGGGGTCATTCACTGTCATAGCTGGGTGGAGAGATCTGGTCGACAGCCCAGGTTTTCGCAAACGTGGCGGCCGAAACAGACTATAAAAGGCGGCCGGGCCGGAGGCTCGGCGCGTGCACCTGCGGACCCAGCGCAAGCCACGCGGCGGCCTTTGCTTAGGCTCGCGCCACGGCCGGTGGTTCTACTTTCGATTTGACGGACTATGAGGTGGCAGAACCGAGCCTCGTTATAAGGTAAGGAGAGACTGTGCGGAGCAGCTATGCGCAACAGAAATGGCTGACAAATAACCCCGTAATCTGGGATCGGCATTACACGTTATTACGTTTAGTGTAAGCAGGGTAATGCCGACACAATTTAGTCAAGTGTTTTACGGTTTCAGTTCATGCGTGTTTACAGTGTCTTTCTGAATTTCGGCATAAAGTTACCCTTGAAAATTGAAATGCACAAACCGGGACCAAGTGTCATTCGTAATTCTTACCCAGATAGTTTTCCCTGTGTTTGTCGGTCTTAACATCATCCCAGTTGAACTGGTCTTGGCCTCCCCGTACACCTCCAGTTCTGGACGAGCCAAACATTTTGTCCAAGTTAGTCTTCCCTAAAAAGTGTCCTCGTTTATATGGCGCGAGTCCATCCAAATGCGGCCTTCAGGCTTGCGAAGTCCCGGATGTTTCCTGCCGCTATGCTCCTCGGGTTGAGCGCTGCTCACTCGGCCGTGTAAGATCGTCAGTGGGGGAACTGCATTTAAATGGTAAGGAATTGGGGAAAACGACCCGTTAACCATACAACAAATAGAGAAACTATTCCGATGTGTCTTCCTGTTTAGCGTTTTATGTTGCAGAGCGACAGCGCGCTGTTTATACTCCGTTTTCAGTGCGCTTTAGAAATGCTCCCCCTGTGCTGCTATTGATACATCCGCCCGCATCTGCCGGGGTTTATTACGGCGCGCTTGAAATCGAAAACAGAATTATAGATTGTAAAACATGCTTTTATACATTGATGGCTTTTTAAAGCTAACACGGAGTTCAGGGGCTGTTTTCTTGCAATAATTTTACTTTGCCTTGGCAAATGTTTAATTGTAAACTGATCAAAGTATCAAAATGCATAGCTAATAAGACATTTCGTATGTAACATTTTAAGTTCATGGAGTTGGTTGTACTGCTCACCTGGATTTGTTTCTGAACTGGATAGTGCAAGTACATTTCTACTTCAAGTGTTATCTCTTAGATTTTCATGAAGTTTTAGTATTACTACTTAGAAATAGGCCTGTTCCGCTAAAGATTTGGAAGCTCGCTAACGAGCAAATAGGACGATTGCGAAGGCGGCGTAGTCACCATGGTGATCCGGTTTCTTTCGTCGCACTGTGATGACGCTAGAGGTATGTTGCTAATGGCTCTCATGCGGAAGGCAGCCTGTATAAGTCTTAAAAGGGGCGCAGGAGACATTCCTGAGATCCTGCATACGATTAAGTCCAGATGTACATGAAGTTTTTATCCAGAATCTTCTCTGGTAGGTTGCAAAAATTATTCTGACGCTATACAGTTCTGCAACTGCACTTACATTTTCACTCGGCTTCACATCGCTAGCAGATCTTCATGACTAATGTATATGCTTAGCCACCACTTCTCTAAAATATGTAGAATTGGACTGAACGATTTAGTGTTAATGTCAGTTTGCAGTGGGTTTTTTTTGTCATTATCTTACTGCTTACGAGCCGTTAAATATTTTCAATTTTTGTGCAGAATTCATTTACAATGACTTATTGAAGCATATATACATGAATGTGTATGAGGTTTTTAAAGGAATGTGGTAGCAGATGTAAGGTGTTCAAATGAAATGATAAGTTGGATTATTTTGAGGACTAAGTGATATCAGCACTGATTTAATTGTTTCAATACACAGTCTAGATGTTTTACTGGTTAATATTATGGAGGCTATATGGGATAAGTGTTAATGGAATTGTGAAAGATTAAGGATAAGGTAAATTTACATTAATATAAAGATTTTAAGTCTTTAAAAATTCCGCTGTGTTTGATGGAATGCCTCACATTCCATCAATCAAATTGACTTGATTAGCATTAAGGTATGATTCCAGTTTAATAGGTCACATGACGATCAGGTGGTCAGAAATGGAATCTATGAGCCTATGGTGAAATGAATGTCTTGTATTCAAAGCTTAATCTTGCCTAACACCCCCCAGTTTGTAATACTTTAAATGATGCTGAAATACACACGATCAGAACAGAAGAACAGGAACCTTGAAAAGGCATGCAGTTATGACCGTGAGTTTTCATTTGGGAGCCCATTAGTAGATACCCTACTGCCCAGCTACGCTGCGTGTTGATAAATGCGACCTTTCTCCCTCAGCTTTACTTCATCCCCATTATTTTTGGCCATGGCTCTGACTGCAACAGATGGAGCCTGGGGCTGTCCATGCTTTCCACTTCGAGGGCCTCTGTCACCTGCAGCTGCACCAAGCCAATTTTAACACCAGCAATCTTATAATAGTGTGAATCAAAATATGGATGATATGGATGACATGGCTTGACATTCATCCAGTACAGCAATGCCGGAGACAGCAAATGCTCCTTGTTCTACTCCCTGTCTGGTCCCAACTCCCCATTCCATGTCTATTTTTTTAATCTTCAGCTCAGTTGAATGCTTAGGTCTATATGATAGGTTTATTTGCCAGATTATAGGACTCTCTTGTAATACCTTCTAAACCGCTGCATCCTGTGTGTCTGTGAATACAGTACAGTTAGAACAATCTACATGTTCAATCCCCATGATATTCCAGCTATATATAACATTCAGACAAAACACATAATTGCCTTTAAGTACGGTTCTGAAGTGTGTGTGTGTGTGTGTGTGTGTGTGTGTGTGTGTGTGTGTGATTTTTATTCACATCATGGTAATGGGTATGTAACGATTCACCCAAGTCACAATATGTGCTTTAATGTAGCTGCTGTTTGCTCTGGCTGCGACTTGGTCTCAGGTCACATGTTGCCTGTTGAGTGGGGCCTGAACAGCTATCTCCTTGTCAACAGCGAGCCCACTGGTAATTATCTCTGTGGGCAGAGCTGATTGGCTCAGGCTGTAAACCTTGGCTGCAGCATCTTCCACTTACTCTTCCTTTTGGGCCATTAGATAAGGCTCAGTACTGACTTCTTATTCCTTTCAAGTCAGCTCGACTCGCAACACTGTCTGGGAGCAGGTAAGAGCAAATATTTTTTACTGTTCCAGATGGCCTGGTGTGGGTTAGGTCTTGATATGAACAGAACAATAAAGCTTGTGAGGGAACTGAAGGGTATTAACGAATATTACTATAAACACATTGTAACCACACTCGGAGTATTTGTAGTACACTGTTGAAAATCTGGAAGCAGCCGATAGTAACTTGGTGTGTCATAATGATACTTGTAAATGAGTATGTTTCCTGAATATTTAACTTTAATACATTTCAGTAACCTTTTCTACATCTTTGCGAAAGTGTATGTGTGTGTATATAAAATATGTGTGGGTGTGTGATTTTTTTTTTTTTGGGGGGGGGGGAGAATGTAACCCAGACTGTCTTTGGGTCGTAACACAAGAGAAATGACTAGGCACTTTTGTTCTGTCCTTGGTGAATGAGGATAAAGTGTGTGTGTGTGTGTGTGTGTGTGTGTGTGTGTGTGTGAGATAATCAGGAATTTTAAAGTATGTGCCCAGTTTAGCTATTTTTCCATTCAAAACAATTCATCGGAAAAAGGTGTAATTAAAATCTTTCTCCACAGTTTGGCACCTTGTGCCAAGGGAGTTGATTAGCAGAGCCGCAATCAGGTGTAAGGAGCTGGGCTGGGTTAGGCTTGTTTGGGCAAGGCAGAGCAAAATGGATTTTACACTGTTTTATGCACGTATTTGCCCCCCTCCTTTTTATTTTTAACTTGCTTGTATTGTGGTTACAAGATCTACTTTTGGCCCTTTCTCACCAATGAAATGAGCAGCGGTAGTGAGCAGCCAACACTGTAGTATTACTGCTCTTACTTTTTGTGGCTGCTATTGGTCCCCATTGTGCATTGTTCATGTATTTTCTCACAATTACCTTGAACTTCATTGGTCGCTCATTGGAAAATTAGACCAGTAGCACCGAAGTAAAAGGTGACGTCTTGCATCTGCATATTAATGACTCACCTGTATGTTGCTCCAGGCAAAGGTGTTTATTAAATAAATGTAAATGGAGTGACAGAATTGTACACGGGAGCTGAAAGGGGAAACCTTTTATTTGGAAAAATAGATCAGGGTAGCCCCCCCCCCCCCCCAAATCGGCAGTGGATGCACCGATTTGGCTTGAGGGACTATGAGATGTAATGCAGTTGTATGATCTGTGGCTGTTTTGCTGGCTGACACCTAGATGGATAATTGCATTGCTGGACCAGCAGTGGGACACGGAGCTCATGCTTAGTCAATCCCTGCTTGTTGCACATCATCAGCAGTCCCCCATTGTGGTCACCAGGACTGTCCTCTGCGTCCTTTATGTAGATGTCGGGTTGCACACAAGTTTGCTGTGGGTGGGGCGCTCTAACTCTTAGATGTATAATCTCACATGATCTCCATCTGTCTGTCCCTTTGTGAACACCAGCAATGGCAGGTCCAAGACCCATCGTGTTGAGTGGACCGTCTGGAGCGGGGAAGAGCACACTGTTGAAAAAACTTCTCAAGGAGTACGACGGCGTCTTTGGCTTCAGCATCTCCCGTAAGGCTGCACGCCGTTCGCTCTGTCAATGCTGGGGTGGCGTGGTGAGTTTCTGATGTCTCCGGCTAATTAGAGCCCCACCCCCCCTTTCATCTCAGACACGACGAGGAAACCGCGGCAGGGAGAAGAGGATGGCAAAGGTAAGCGTGCTTAAACGTTGATGGAAAATGCAGTGGATGTAAAAGGAGAAGAACTTCTTCCAAGCCTGACTGCTGATGCACTTCACTGTAAAGACCTTCTAATGCACTGCACCATCTGTCAAACCTCTCCCATCGCCACTGCGTGAGCAAGGGCTTGGAAGGGCTGGGGATGGGGTCTGGGTGTGTGTGCACATGCACGCACCGCGTGCATAATCCTCTTAGCAGGTTTGTGGGATCCTCTTGCAGAGGCTTTTAATTGTCACATGTTTCTCCTTGCAGATTACTATTATGTTTCTCGGGAAACCATGCAGGCCGGTATTGCTAATGGTGAATTCATTGAGAGTGCAGAATTCTCTGGCAATATGTATGGGACGAGGTATGTATGCCAGTTGTCTGTATGGGTAATATTTGTTATCCCAGTCTATGTTTGACATCTTAAGATGTACAGATAGCAAATAAAATACAAGTTACACAGGAATGCTTTGGTTGCTTTTCATGAGGAGCTTGTTGCGAGAGAGATAAAGGGCCGTCACTATCGATTTTATATATAAATTTTTTTTTTTTTAAATCAAGTAATGCAATTGGTTTAGTCACACATACAAAAACACTTAAGTTGCATGTTTTTGGATGGCTGAAGGAAACTGGAAGGTATGCCGAAAAAGCGCACACACACATGGGGTGAACATGGAAACTCCCCAAGCGGGGACAGCGCTACCCACTGTGTCACCCTGACAAGCTTGCATGATGTGTGATATTTATTAATATCGATATGGGATTTCATGTCCTTATGATTACTTCTCAAGGATCGCGAGTCTGCTGCACTCACACAATCGATAAGCTGCGCTACAGCACTTTTACTCCGTCATAGGAAACCAAACTTTGCAAGCTCTGCACTTTTAATGATTTACATGGATGTTGTGATTCGTTACAACATCAGAAACTGACGAAAGCCAGATGACAGCGGAAAAGGTTAAGATGCACATCTGTGGCTAACCTCGCGTCATTGGGTCAGTCTGTCAAACCTGAACGTCGTCTTTTTAACATGTATTTCCATTGCAGTCATGCTGTGCCATAAAAGCTCTGCTTTGCAGTATTGACAGACTGCATTTTCATTTCAGACATGCTTTAATATGACGTGCCTACAATCCACCCGCTGCTGTTACTTTGTATTTGCATCTCCGTCCGCTATGTGCGGATCTTCATTCCGCCATACTGGCAAGGAATCGATTTTAGGGAAATTTTTTAATCTGCTTTTCAATAATTTTTTTTTTTATCGAGTGTGTGTGTGTGTGTGTGTGTGTGTGTTTGTGTGTGTGTGTGTGTGTGTGTTCTCCTCTCACGTACGGGTGTTTCAGTATAGTCCGTTGACACAGGCCTTGCTGAAAGACCCCCCCTGGTGATATTAGTCTGCCAGCAACTGGCCTTAAACATTACAGGCATGGTTCCCTAAGTGATTTGAGCTATGCATCTCCCCATCTTCAAACACAATCTGAATTCTACATTAAGCTCAATTTAATGTTCCCTTTGTGCTACCTGTATCTGTGTTACTTTTTAAAAACCTGCGCAGTGAAGGAACTGTGTTGCTGTTGAATGTTACCTTATGGCCAATATATGGCATCGTTGTCTCTCCAGCAAAGCAGCAGTGCAAGACGTCCAGGCAAAGAACCTGATTTGTATCCTGGATATTGACATGCAGGGTGTGATGAATATCAAGAAGACAGACCTCAAACCGATTTACATCACAATCCTCCCGCCCTCTCTTGAAGCCTTGGTAAGAAAGTTGCTGCAGTCTGCTTTTCTTAATGGGGAGAGTCACGTTCTAAGCTCTGGTGGCATGATTTCCCAGTAGCCGTACAGAACTTAAATTTTAACCATCCATCCATCCATCCATCCATCGCCAGAACAGGGATATGGTAGGAAATTTAGAAAGTATCAAAGTAATAAAGTGTCTTCTGCTGGCACAGGGAAAATGTTTTTTTTCCTCCTTTGTTAGGAGAAGCGTTTGAGAGACAGAAAGACGGAGTCTGAGGAAAGTCTGCAGAAGCGTCTGGATGCGGCACGTGTTGACATGGAGCTCAGTAAGTCTGCTCCTCCTCGGTGCTGGTGGGGTACACTGTGCTCGCTCCTCGCGTTCCCTGTTCAGCCTTGTTTTGCTATCAGGAAGGCTGGGTCAGTTCTAGGAGAGGAACCGGACACTATCAACACTGACGCAGAGGAAAACACTGTCTAGACTTTGGTCGATTTTCACGGACGACGTCGCTCACCCGCTTCAGTGTTGTGGTTAGGCAGAAAAGCACATTCAGCTACAGATTTCTCAGTATGAAATGGTGAATCACCCAGGGCATATGCATAGTGCTACCTATTTTTTACAAATATTTGTATATTTCTAGTACAATATTTACTGTACTTGGTCATATTCACCCACCTATTTTTTTTTTTTTTTTTAAATGCAATTGTCCATTTTTGGTTATGTGTGGTTGTTTACCGTTTTAGTCTGTAATCACAATTTCCTCTGGAATAAGTTTTCTGAACATGCTGTTGCAGGATAAATGAGTTTATAGGTTTTTTTTGCTTTTTTTAGGCAAACAACCTGACATTTTTGATGTATCGATTGTTAATGATGACTTGGAAAATGCATACAGACAGCTGAAAGATGCTCTTATTGCGGTGAGTTTGCCAGTGCATTAATCCCAGCGTACCCTTATTCTCCTTTTAAGCCATCGTCTCATGCATCATCTGCAGTCATGAGGCTGTGAGAATTAAACTCATCTGCGTTTTCTCTTCGGTCAATAGGAAATCACGAAAGTCCAGAATGCCAAGAAATCCTAAGAGGACACCAGCATGGTGCCATTCCAGTTACTCCGTACTCCACCCCCCATTCCATCCATTGCCCGCTTCTGGATACTTACCAGAAGACTTTATTTGTTTTGTACTGTACCTGCTTAATGGAGATGGGCATTTTACTGTTTAGGTGAAGTAAAATCCAGTTACACTGACACTTTTTTTATTTTATTTTATAAATGCAGCTAAATGTCTCACATCCACTGGCCTCTGTTACAAAGGACAAAGCCCTTCACATCATGAGCAAGAGCTGATTGCTTGCTTGTTTCCAGACTTGGTACCGTTTGCTGTGCCCCGTAGGAGGAAATGCTGTTGTGTTGGTCTGTCAGTGAGTTTGGCAGAAGCTAATGGTCAATGTGGGTTCGTCTCGACGCCGCAGGAAGTCCATCTGTTCCATTGTCAGCCCTTTCCACAATTTGCTTTAAGAAAAGGTTGCTGTTGTAAATTAATGTACTGCATTTTGGATAAATACACATTGCAGAAACATCTAAAAGGGTCACAGGGTTAGTACTGTAACATGCTGGGCACAATGCAAATTAAAACTATTCTGTGGGTTGCTAGTGCTCTAACACAGAGGCAGAACTAAATTGAATTCTGGCTCTTAATGGAAAGAACCTAATGCCATGGAAACTGGCCTCCACGTGAATAGTAGTGACTGAAACAGGTAAATGTCTTTTAAAAGGTAATTTTTTTTTTTGTGCATTTAATACAAAATCTTGCTTCAATTGTTTAGCACTGAATTGTACCATTTTCAATCTTAAATCATCTTAGCAGTACCTGCACCTAAGAATCTATGTCAGTATCCTTTAGAGGAGTCCATTCAAATACAATTTTCTTTGGAAAACTGTACTGCGAAGGTTTTTTTTTTTTTTTTGGTAGTCTAATGGCAGCTTTTTAAAAATATATTTAATGTCCTTAATGAAGTCTTGTGTAATTCAAAGATTCCTTCTAGTTTACCTTGCTAATGGGGGGGGGAAATCATTAACACTCCATGTTGTGTTTATCATGCATGTCTGTATTTTACCCTTGTTTGTGAAAATAAAAGTGGGGGAAACCAGAGTTTAGTTTATTATCAGTTACTACCACATCTTGCCTTACAAAGGTCTTGCCGTTCAAACTTTACAATCGATATAAAACAAGCAAACTTTTCTCTTTTTTTGAAGTTTGCAGAATTGCCCACCATGAGGGCTGCGTGCTTCTGTGGCATTCCATCTGGATGTATAATGTTCTGTGGTCAGCCTCTCTGCCATTACTCAGGCAAGCAAACTGCACACTCCACTCACCTCAAATATCACTTCAGAGCTGCACTCTTTCTCCATAAGGAAGCACACTGTACCTATGACAGTCCAAGGCAGGAGGACTATCACTCCAATTGTGGCGTTAATCGCCGGCCAGGGCCGCGGGCTGTGAATGGCACCTGCAGTGTGGTTTTGGACCTTTCTTGCTCGGCATCCCGGGCCCGGATATAGAGCCGCAGTTTGTCTGTGGGAAAGCAAACTACGGTATCCCAGTGCTTGAAGGGCTGGCATGCTCCTTGTATCCACGGCAACCTAAAACACTCAGCAGCTGATGGCCTTACCCTGTAATAACAAACACATTAGTATTAATGCTGCGTAATGCTATGATTAAGCCTAATAAACATGCTAATGCTAAGGCTAGACCAAATGCTATGATTAAGCCTAACAAACATGCTAAGGCTAGACCAAATGCTAAGATTAAGCCTAATAAGCATACTAATGCTAAGGCTAGACCAAATGCTAAGATTAAGCCTAATAAACATGCTAAACGCTAAGGCTAGACCAAATGCTAAGATTAAGCCTAATAAACATGCTAATGCTAAGGCTAGACCAAATGCTAAGATTAAGCCTAATAAGCATACTAATGCTAAGGCTAGACCAAATGCTAAGATTAAGCCTAACCAACATGCTAAATGCTAAGGCTAGACCAAATGGTAAGATTAAGCCTAATAAACATGCTAATGCTAAGGCTAGACCAAATGGTAAGATTAAGCCTAATAAACATGCTAATGCTAAGGCTAGACCAAATGCTAAGATTAAGCCTAATAAACATGCAAACATGCTAAGGCTAGACCAAATGCTAAGATTAAGCCTAATAAACATGCTAAGGCTAAGGCTAGACCAAATGCTATGATTAAGCCTAATGAACATGCTAATGCTAAGGCTAGATCAAATGGTAAGATTAAGCCTAATAAACATGCTAATGCTAAGGCTAGACCAAATGCTAAGATTAAGCCTAATAAACATGCTAATGCTAAGACTAGACCAAATGCTAAGATTAAGCCTAATAAGCATACTAATGTACTACTAGTATTTTTTTCCAAATCATCTGATGCATGAAGTTGGTCAACAAGACTACCTATGCAGTCTACACCGCACATATCTTTAAATACTGCAAATTAATATGTGTGTTTGTGTTAGCATTCGTGTTAATGCTAAGCTAATGCTAATCCCGTCCAATGCTAATGCTAACAACACTACCTACATGGCCTGCTACTTGCAATGGCTTGATCGCAGATCACAGATTTTAGTGGAGGGAGTCATTTCCTTTATCATCTGCCATATGGCCTGCCTTTCTGGGCTCACCGAGGCTTGCTGCTTAGAGTCCTTTTCAGAAAGCTGAGGGCGCCCTCAGACAGGCTGGGGTAGCATTTCCCAAAGTTGACCTTTCCTCGTCTGCTGGTTACTGTTGCCTCCATGTTAGCAGGTGGGTGAAAAGGATCATCAGCACTCAACCTGTGTGTGCAAACGGGTGTGACGTGTGAGCAGAGAGAGTAATAGAGCTATAAAGGGCTATAAAAGCACAAAGGGATCTGGAGCAAGAACGACATTTCTGCTAACATAGAAACTGAAAATACCTTCTGCATTGTACTGATACAGAAGACGTTTATTCAACTTTGTCAGTACAGCAATGATAGGTATTATCATAAAAGAATCAGCCAGAACGTGAAAATACACAAGACTATAATAGTAATACTTCTGAAGCAAACTTGACATCAAGCCCACAGTGTGACCTCCTGCGTAGGTATACTCACATGATGAAGGCTAACACTCCAATTGCCCAAATATCGGTCTCCGGTCCAACCCCTTGGCCATCTAGGATTTCAGGAGCTGGTGCAGAACAGTCCAAATTGCTAAGTATAGCTGCTAAACAGACAGCCTGTGGCTTTTTACATTAATACTTATATTTCTCTGAAAAATTCTAATGAGCACGTCATATTCCATAATGCAAGTGCGACCCTGGAATTCTTGAAAACGTATTACACATTGATTTAAACTGAATTAAGAAAATCAGCATAAACACACAATAGTTTTTCATTTTATAAAACACTAAGAATGCCGAAAGGGCCACAGGCAGCAAAGGTGGCAAACTCCTTGGATAGTTATTAAATGAAGCCATTACTGGTTTTCTTCGTATAGATGCCAATAAAATGCATTCTAATCGTATGAAAAAAGGTGACAAAGGTTTAGTTTGTGCTCTTCAGTCTGCTGAGAGGTGATGAAGAAAAGCTTGTAACAAACACAGCAGTAGAGTCAAAATCGCACCTGGACTTCCGATCAGGTCCCCCAGGTGTCCGCCGGGGAGGGTCTGCCCCGGAACGAAGACCTGCGCCGAGCCGAGGTCCACCACCTTCAGCTGGCTGTCCTCCCCCACCAGCACGTTGTCGGACCTGAGGTCCAGGTGCGCCACGTAGTTGCGGTGCAGGTAAGAGACGGCGCTGATGATCTGCTGCAGAAGCCTCTGGACGTGCATCTCGCCGTACAGGTCCCTGTGGGCGGGGCAGCTGTCTCACACATCCACCATACAGAATCTCCGTTCAGTCACCATTTATTACACAACTACCTCTGTGCCACTGATCAAATCTTATATTGAGAGTTAGTCCTTCACAGACCTGATATCATTCTAAATATGACTCTGTTTTTTTCTCTTTCTTTCTCATAATTACATCTAAAAAACTGGGGCCATCTTACATTCGAGGACTAGAATCTGAATGTCATTATACACATACAACAGTAGATGGCGCAAATGAGGGGTGGGCAATCTTATCTACAAAGGGCCGGTGTGCGTGCAGGTTTTTGCGATAACCTTTAGGTCAGCGGTTCAAACCCAGGTGTGAGGACTCTTCAGCCAATCAGTCATCTAATTAATAATCTAAGCAGGGAGTTGGAACGAAGGAGACCTTTCCGCCAGGTGGTGTAGCAGCTCGCGCCCGGGACACAGTTCCTGGATCAGCATGAGGTGGTGGGGCCAGATTAGAGTGCAGTGCAGCCGGGCCAGGTGGGCGTGGCACAGCTTCCTCAGCAGCTGGTACTCGCGCAGTGCCCACTGGCGCCACTCTGCTCTGTAGGGCGTGACCTTTGCCGCATACAGCATCCCGCTTGGTTCCTCTCGACATAGTATAACCACACTGAAGCGCCCCCTGCAGGAAAAAAGGCACAATTTTTGTGCAAACTGGTTGCTCAATGCTTTGATTGAATCTACGGTATAATCGCTATTTAACTTCTGACAGCTTATACTTAAATTAGCTTCTGCATATGGAACAATAAATTAATGGGAAAAATAAAAATGAGAGGAAAAATATTAAATACAGTGGCAAGCTGAGGCACGATATTGAGACTAACACTTTTCTAAAAGAACAAACGAATCCACTCATTCACAGAGTATACAGTGCAAACAGGCTAATTGTTTTTGGGTGTCATCATCGCCATGACGATGGGCAATATGAACAGCAAGCAGCAACCGAAAAATCAAACCCAGAACAAGCACACGATATCGATTAATAAAGATAGGAAAGATAGAAAGCAAATACACTGAAAAAGCAAACTTAAAACTAACTGGCATTATGCCCTCCGCAAAGCATGCTGGGATTCATGTCACACAAGTACAGCGAGTTCAGTATGCTACAATATAACAAAATCTTTCATAATGTCGCAAATGCTGTCTTCATTAAATGAGGAAGGCTGTTAATGCAGTTCTTCACAAGTAAGTCCATAGAGTTCCCCTCCAGCAGCACAGAGGCAGGTGTGATGTTTCAGTACCTGTTGATTTCAGAGAGGAACGTATACTTGGTCTGCGGCAAAGAGGAAGGGAGGGTGACCTGGCCGGTAGCATCACAATCAGATGGCCAGGGGGTGTCCATGGAAATAAGGGGTGCATGGGAATCTGGGAGTAAAGAAAAATGTGCCCAAAATTATACATTACTTTCATATGCCTATATCATGAAATTGTACTTAGCCAAATGTTAATTAAACACTGAGCCCCCAAGGTTAATCATGGAGAGATTTTAGTTGCTTTATATAAACGGAAAAGGCTGCAAGGATAGCATAGTATTCAAATCTCAAATAAAGAATAGTATTATTTGTGGGGTTTTTCCCTCAATTGACCAGGAGAGGGTGCTGTTCCTTGCCTTGGTGCTCAGACCCGATGACGATGGGAACTGAAGGCTCGCTGAAGGGGCTTGCTCCAGCTCTGTTGAGACAGGCGACCCTGAAGCTGTACGCCACCCCCCGGGAGAGATCACTGGCTAGGTAACAGCTGTCAGCAATGCCCACAGCCAGCTGCATCCACACTCCGCCTGCTCACCCAGATACACAACGTCCACAAATTCTACGGCACTCTGCTGATCCTACAAAACCTGACCGCAAAGCTCTTGCATACAGACCCCGAATGAGATCCTGTTAAAGGAAGAGCTGTTTTAGCGGTAGCCTTACCATCCCTGCTGTGCTGAAGGGAGTAGGTAAGCTCGGCAATCGATTCTACTGGTCTCCAGACCAGCAGGAGTCCATCTGCATGAAGCTGGTAGACATCAAGATTGGATGGACATGCAGGCAGCTCTGGACACAGACAGAGGCACAAAGGGTTAATATTATGCTCAACACACACTGAAACAGGTAGTCTATGAATATCCCTTATCAGGTATTGATTTTCGTATCATTGTTTCAGAAGATCACATTTTGGCTGCAAATCCTGTTTAAACACAAAAACTGACTATGCAATATCCACGTCCGACTGAAAACGAACACATCTGATTTCGACTAGCCATAACTCGCTCTACCAGAATTATTTCCAGCAGGGGTTTACCGGACACGATGAGGGTGCAAGAGGTGGAGGCCTGGCCTATAGTATTGCTGGCCACACAGCGATAGCTGCCAAGGTCGTCTTCTTTGGCTGAAAAGATGGTCAGAGACAGAAGCTCCCTGTCTACAATAGCTAGCCTGATCTGGTTGTTACTCTTCAGTCTCCTTGCCTCTGGGTTAGAAAGGGAAACAGAGAATATATTTAAGGGGAGAAGTGAAATTAACAACAACAAGAGAGAAACAGATAAAAGAACTAGCTGTTCTGTAGATCCATCCGTTTTCCATCTCTCTGGAAGGATCCAGTTAAGTGTAAATGGTACAGTGATCCATGTTATTCACTTGCTGCCAGGTATTCACAAATACTTTGATCTCACCCAGCACTGAACTTCCTGATCAGTCAGTATCTCAATTAAAATGCATCAATGCAAAATGAAGCCTGCGTTTTATGAAAAGCTAAAGACACTGCTTGATTGTGACACCCTTGGACTGGACACAAATACGCCTCTCTTCGGTTATCATGCGAGTTAAGTTCTAATTTAACCGACTGCCAGTGCCTCACAGAAGCCTTACCCTTATACCACTGTATATCGGGGGCAGGATGGCCTGTGATCCTGCACTTGAGCAGGACCTTCTGGCCTAAGGACACTGCCTGGTCTGCCAGCTCCTGGATGAATACCGGTTCTGAAAGAGAGGGTCTGTTTTTGCACTGGCTTGATTCCCCTCAGGCTACATTTCTGCAGGTATTTCTAAATCACACGATACGGACGGTGAACAATTATGATTCTGCAATGCTCAAGCCATTAGGCTCAATCTTACCATTATTACACAAACTGGCAGGTATTTTTGAGAAACACACTATTTTTGATAACACCTTACTTGACGGGGCACAAATAATACAGTATTATGCTATTATTTATCATATTACTTAACCACAAACTAAGTCTTAGTCACATATTGATCTCATCATTAATTAATTTGGTACAGATGTTTTATCAAGCAGTGACTACATTTACTATATTTGTTAATTCAGTGAACCTTTGTGAACTACTGAAGGAACTACTGAAGGAAGTCATAAACAACACGTTAAATACTTATCATGTTTATTCATCATTAATGAATCATGACACATTTTTTATCAGGTAGCGACTATATTCATTCATGATTTTGTACTTCAGTAGCAACTGAATTATTACTAAATATTTGTGCTCCATCGAGTAATGTTTCACCCTGTTTTTGAGGTTCTTGATGTGACATGTATGCTACTTTAAAAAAAAAATCTCCAGATGATAACTTGCACCTTTGTTCCTCTTGAACCCAAGCAGTTTGAAAGAGAAGAGTCCAGACGACCTCTTTGTTGAACCTTGGGTATCAGTGTCCGCCTCAGCAGAATTTAGGAATATTGCTGCTTTGCCGAATGGGAAATGGATACAGGAATGCATGCATAGTAATGAATACTAAGAAGAAGAATGTTAAATGTTTAGTAATTTCATTATTGAATCATAATAATATAATACAATGCATTTTAGTCATATGAAGAAAGACTGACGTTGATGTGGAGTTTCATAATAAATTACCTTCTCTTTTGTCGTCTTTATTGGATGGTTTACCCAAAACAGCTTTGGTCATGTTGGAGATGGACACTTTCACTTTCTTTGCAATGGAGAGGTCTTGGGTCCTGTTCTGCTCCTGCTGCTTGGACTCAGGGGAATCTCCATCGGAGGCTTGTCTCTTCACTACCTTCTCTAAAGGCGTGGATGACAGGTCTGTCCACGACTGCCTACGGAAAAATCGTAGGAGCGCCAGCTTCCCAGATTTACCATGGAGTCCGTGTGCTTCCAGTGCTAAAATGGAAGCTTGTGGCCACAACTGGTTTTCAGCATCTGCGTGACACTCAGTAGGGACCCTAACTGGAGAATTCACTGGATAATCACTATCACTGCTATCCATTGTGGGTAGGGAATACTGTCCCGAGCAGGTATGTGGCCCAGGTTCTTCAGAATTTAATAAGTTAGGTTCAAAAATGGATTTCTGTGAGCCAGTAAGGGCACCACCTAAGTTCTCTTCAAGATGGTTAGAGAAGACTTCTTCAGCTGAATCAACTGTGCCATAGTCTGAACATGTCACCGTCTTGGGCACCATGTACAATGACTGAGATCTTACAAAAGGCTCACAAGGCTCTTTTCCTTGAGAGTCTTTAGAGACGGCTTCTTGATAGATATCTGCATTGTCATTGTAATCTTCCGTTGCTTCCAATGGCTCTTCCAGCTCAGTTGGAGAATAATTTCGGTCAGATACGTAGCCATAAGGTTCCTCATACGAACAAGCGCTGTAAACCCTAACTGCAGCAAACTCTACTGGCTTTGAGATCCTGCTGTCTGACATAGCTTTGTGAATCTTAGGGAAGTCGGTTCTGGTCTCTGACTCAACCGTCTCCCGAGCCAGGAACCACATTACACTTTCCCTGGGCCTTTCAAAGGACTCAGGACCATGCTGGGATGTCAATAATTTTCCATCCTGAACCACCGGAACTGGAGATGTGGATTCTATAAGCAAGGGCTTCGCAGGAGATGGTTCCCATTTCATTAACTGCCTGTTGCTTTCTTGAGGCTCTTCCTCTAGTCTTTCAGAAGAAAGGTCTCCTTCTCCCATTGCCGTAAATAAACCTGTAGAAGCCATTTTGGGAAGGCTTTCAGCACAGTGAACCACACCAGTATCACACCGCGATGTATCTATTTTATTAACGTTATCTGTTGATTGAGGAGTATCTAATTTAATGGCTTGATGATCTAAAGGACATGTAGTGAGGCTTTGCTCGACTTCGCTTGCAGCTGTAGCTTGACAGGCTGTCGTAGAACCAACAGCCGGCACTTCTGCTGGCTTCTCAGAGACTCTATCCGAGACCTTTCCCTCACACTCGATTTCACACCTCTCTGCTATTCCCACTGTAAGCTCCCCAAACTCAGGCACAGAACAGGCTCTTCGGAGATGCTCCTCCGACGACTTGCTCTTCCTTGTCGTCCACCTGTTAGAATGAGAAACCGTCTCTCCTTTTTCAAAGGAAGAGGAGTTGCTCGACATAAAAGAGGGCGTCAGCGAGCTCAGACTGTGACTGCGGCACACCTCGACTTCGGGGCCGTCCTCCTCGGGTAACGGCTCGTCCAGCCTACCGGACAGACTGCTGCACAGCCGCATCCTGGTCCTCGCATGCCTCTTGGTTAAAGTCTTCTGCCGCAGCAGTAAGCGACGGGCAGATAAGGGAGAGACCTCCTCCGATCCCTCTGTGCTGGTGAGGAACGTGCTCTTGATGATACTTTGTCTGGGAATCCGTACACCAGGAGAACCCTTGTATTGGCACTCATTTGCCAGTTGAGTGTCACCCGCGCCATACGTTTGGTCTGTAGTAGCTGCCAGTTTAGATGCATCAACAGCTGACATGAGGTTACTTACGATGCTTTGCTGTTCCACTGTAGCCCCTTTACCTACAGAGTCCACTTCGGAATGACTTTCAGGTCTTTTCCTGGCTGCTCTCTGCTTGGAGATCTCTGGAGTCAAGCACCCAGCCTCCTCCCCTGGTCCCTCCTCCGTGCTGCACTGGCGGCGTCCCACAGAGGAGGACTCCCATTGGTCCAGCTCTTCCGAGGAGGAGCTGCTACTAGCGGACGGGCTGCCGTGGTGACGGGAGACGGGCGCGGAAGCATCCTGCTGCGGGGCCGCTAAGAGGTCTGTGATTGGCCGCAGCACAAGGATGGAACCGTAGCACGTGAGAGAGCGCTAGGGGGCGACAGAACACAACCTTAAAGCACTAAATCACTTAGTCACAAATTATACACAACACACTGTTGGTCTCTTCAGGAAAAAAAAGGCAATATTTAAATCTATTTGATATGTAATTTTTATTTTAGCGGACATTTTAATGCTAAGTACTCTGCCAAGCCTGGGATTTGAACCAGCAACCTTCTGACCATACACTACCTCATTATACGCCAATGCTTACTATGAATTGAGTGTTTATATACAAACTCACACTCCACCCCAAGTCCCATCCAACAAACTGGTAAAGTGAAAATGGACCCAGACCCAAAAAAAGTCAGAGACTGTCACAGTTTCTTGTTATGACTACACAGAAAAAGTATCCTTCAATTAAAATGAAGAGGGCAGTCCTATATGCTAGATGTCAGTTACACACACACATATCCAAAGGCGCATATTACCTGCCATTTACTCCGTGAAACAAAGAATTTCAAATTCTTTGTATTGATTCTTTCAGATTCATCATCTTCCGGTTGAACCTGAAAAGATAAAAGCCTTTCAGCAAATGAGATCTTCTATACTTGTGTGTATTTTATGCTTTGTAAGGCACTCCAGTGTATGCTTGTCATCTTGAAATTTGCTCTATAAATAAATTTTACTTACTTTTACTCAGAATTTTGCATGAAATATACTTTAGTTAATATACATTTTTGGCATTACATTTTTTTTCATAAGGTTTTCCACACAAAAATGTCATAACTGCAAAATTTAAAGAATAGTATTTTAAATATAAACTACAGATTGAACAATTAAATTGAAAATCCAAAATAACTGTTCCAAATTCCCCAAGTACCAAATTCCCAAAAAAACAAGGTGCAATTGCCCTTGAGAAATATCCAGATTTTCTGATCATTATACAGGAAACAGGAAGTCACCTTTACCTGGAACCACTGGTCCTGCAGGCACTCAGCTGCGCTGGGCCGCACCCTGAAGGGACGGTCGTGAAAGTCACATGACTTCCCAGTACTGTGGGAGCAGCATCTGCACATGGATGTGATTCCCATCCACATAGCTGGGACAGGGTGACAAGGACAGAACGACACTCACGTGGGATCAGCCTGGAGCAGCCTCTGGAGGAAACGACAGGCATTCTCACTCCTGCAGGTCACATGGGGGGTGTCCCAATGCAGTCTAGCCTCTCGCACCCTCAGCAGGGTCGCCCGGTCGCTCTCCCCCGCAAACGGGCAATGGGCCGTAAGACTGCAGGGCACGCGGACCGGACCATAGCTTTTTAGCATAAGTATAGCTTATTAGCATAAGTAACATTTTAGCATAACTGTATAGATTACATTATTAGAATTTATTTACAAATGACAGATGATATATGTGCAAATACAGGCAGATGCTTAAATGGTACAAAAGACATATCCAGGGATATGACTCACCATAGGTAAGAAACAGCACCGAAAGACCTGACAGCGATGGCAAGATGATCAGGGAAAAAACTGATAAATATCAAAGCTGTTTAATATAGCGATGAATCACTTTCTTTTTTTTTTGTTGGACTATGTTTTTGTCTATTATTAATGTGCAAAAATGGTAGTGAAGCTATTCTCCTTGTTACTCCTAATGATACTCATTTTTATGCCTACATTAGAATCACTGTCACACATAAACATCGTAATAGCACCGAATAAAACCTCTTCTGACCAGATATCGGTCGCCTTGGAAACAGGCTGCTGGCAGACGATTTCTGGCGCCACAAATTCCGGGGTCCCAAATTCACTGTACTGGGGTCTGTACAGGTCTATCTCCTGGGCGAATCCAAAATCGCAAATCTTGATTCCCTCCCTCTTGGACAAAGCCAAAACAATACTGTCAGGCTAAAGTAAGAAAAGGGAGAAGAAAATGCTGCAGGTCAAGATTTAAAACCACACAGTTCCTCATTTGTTTTTTGGAGTAACACTTTACTTGACTGGGCACAAATAATATATTATAATGCAATTACTTGTGTATTAATTAACCACAAAGTACGTCTTAGTCACATACTGCTCTTACGTTAATTTTCATGAATCATGATGTATTTTTCATCTCAAGCAGTTACTACATTTGTTACTGTATCTTAATTCTGTAAACCTTTGTGAATTACTGAAGGAACAAGTCATGAATAACACAAGTTAAATACTGATCTCATGTTTGTTCATCATTAATGAATCATGATGCATCTATTTCAAGTAGCGACTATATTTGTTCATGATTTGATCATAATTTGTACTTCAGTAGTAACTGGGTTATTACTAAGTATTTGTGTCCCTTCAAGTAAATAGTTACCTTTTTTGGTATTGTGCCCTGCATGAAGATTAACATTGCAGGCTGTGATGGGACAGCATGGAAGGAAAGAGGAAGGGAGAGGGTAGCAGTTACATACTTTAATATTCAGATGGAGAATGTTCATGCTGTGGATGTGATCGATCCCCTCCAGGACCTGGAAGATGTACATCTTCACCTGGAAATGAAAGGCAGGCCACTTCTGTTACTCACACTTAAAGCAGAGGAGCAGATACTCAGCACACTATGTCTTACATTCATAAAGTACTATAAAGTAGCATTGCTTAAATTACAGCCATGAAGACCTGAACCTACCTCCCTCTCTGTAACAGATCTCTTTGACAGTAGGTGCTCGAGCAGCCCTCTCTTGGAGCAGCTAGCGGGCCGGTAAAGGAGAATTCGGTGCTGGAAGGAAAGTGCATGTTCCTGTCCGCTCTTGTTACTACGTACTTAGTAAATAAAGTGGGGTTAGAAAACTACATCCTGCCTTTTGCAAATTCGTTAAACAACCACCCATCCATTTTCTGTAACTGCTTGTCCTATTCAGGGTCACGGGGGGGTCTGGAGCCTATGGGTGCAAGGCAGGGAACAACCCAGGAGGGGGTGTCAACCCATCACAGGGCACTCTGACACACCATTCACCAACACTTTGGTGAGTCCAGTAAGCGTGTTTTTGGACTGTGAGGGGAAGCTGGAGGAAACCCCATGACAACATGGGGAGAACATGCAAACTCCACACATGGAACCCAGGTGGGACTCAAACCCAGGTCCCAGAGGTGTGAGGCAACAGTGCTAACCACTGCACCACCATGCCGCCCTACTAAACAGCTAAGCGAGTAAAATTTCCATCTTCGAGTTTTTTGGAGGGTACACTTTATGACCTAATAGAGACAACTGAGGATGAGGAACAGATTACTGATGAAGATTAGATTGCAGGTATAATAGATGGGACATTCTGCACAATCTAACTCCACCGGTTAACCAGCTAAGTATATTTAATATGGTTTTGTAAAGTCCATTTTTAAGAGGGAATCAAAAAAAGTAACAAATTCAAAATATAATTTGAGAGAGGAAATAAAAAGACACCCTTACTCCTTAACTGAGGCTATCAAGAAACACTCTTAGAAACATTACATTTTATTTACTCATCAAGTGCTTTTATCCGAAGCAACGAACATTTGTACGAAAGCAGGGTCCGGGAGCCCCTGCGGCATTTGAGGATCGAGGGTCTCGCCCAGGGGACCAAGGATGAAATCCCTTTGGGATTCAAGCCGGACGACCTACCCATCAGCTGAATCACACAGCGCCCCCTAGGTGTCTGAGCTACCGGCTACACACAGGCGGCGTCAGGCGGATGGCTGGGGGGAGGATACAGCTCCGTCAGCAGGACGAGCGTGCGGTGGGTGCAGAACGAGTCTCGCAGGCAGGCCACCCGGGGGTGCGAGAGGCGGGAGAGCAGGTTCCTCTCCCTGAACGCCCGGGCCCGCCCCTCACCCCTCAGGGGCAGAAACTTGGCCGCGAAGCTCTCTCCGCTCTGCCTGTGGGTCGCCCGCTTCACCACCCCGAACGCACCCCTGCAGGAAGGAGGGAGGAGCTCTCATATTCAGTAACCGTAAGAAAAACACTCACTGTCACGAACAGGTTAGTATATCTGGAAAACCACTTTCCATCAAGCATAGCCTCCTGGCATGAGTTACCATCTGCTCTGGTTACCCTGAATGGGAACCAGCACGGGTGGCAGGTACCTGCCTATCTCTTCATGGAGATCGTACTGGAAGAGCAGCTTTTGCTTCTCGCCTTCCTGGACCTTCTCCAGCTCCGTCATCTCAGCACCTGCATGACGCAGTTATTAGTGTCCCATCCCCAAAACTCCTGTGTCTATTACACCAGCGTCCCGGCCATAGCCGCAACATGGAAGGCGTTATGGCTACAGTCAGTGCTGGTCAATCAGGAGTATGTACCGCGAGGAGTATGTACCATGAGGAGTATGTACCGCGAGGAGTATGTACTACTAGAAGTATGTACAGCAACTGAGACAAAGTGAACTTTGGTGGTGAGACTCAACATTGGCTTTCACTGCTATTGGCTACAGCTATGTTTAAATTCACAAAGCTGACTCCATGTAACGACTAATGTGCATCTATGAATACTGCTCAGAAGGGGAAAGTTCAGGTCCAGAAGGTACAAATCCAGACCAAGATCTTGCTTCAACCAGTTGAGTACTCTTGTGGCTGTGGTTCTTTATGCTCAACTGGTTGGTTGAAACAAAATCTTGGTCTGGATTTGTACCTTCTGGAATGGAACTTTCCACCTCTGATTCTCCTTAATGAGAACTTAGTCGCCCACTATCTAAGGCACTGGTGTCACCAGGTCTCTGCTTTTGCAATCCTCAACACTCATCCGCTCCCACTAAAAAGCATCATTGTGGTATCCATGACGATTAGATATCAGAACAGTGTAATGATGGGTAAATGATGGCATCACTTCCTCTTCCTGTCTCACCTCTTCCTGAAATGGGATGGGCTGTGCAGGACACCTCTTTCTCAACGGTCCTGGGCAAGCAACTGAACGCGTCGTTGTTTAAGTCACCGCTCTGGATCAGAGGACAGCAGGGGCCTCCGTCTGCCGCTCCTGCGTGATCCTTGGCTGAGGAAAGTTCTCCACCCTGCAGTCACAAAGGAGAAAAACACACAATGTGCCACAGTAATACATGGCAATCTTCACTGATGTGCGTGATGTAGCTCAATAGTTAACAGGACACAGCAAGGTATAATCTTAACTCATACCACACATTATAATGAAAGTACAATTCAAACAGTATTTCAGGTAAAGATTACTTTGTACAGTGAGGTGGGTCGGCCAGTGATATGACTGTTAACAGAGGTCTGGTCACTACTCTGGGCTTGCAGGTCCATGATGGTCTCCTGGCTGGTGCAAAGGCCTAGAAAGCCACAGAGAAACTGCATGAGCCAGGAACCTTTGGAATCGCAGCTTGTCACTAATCACATCATCTGAACGCCAATGAGGTTCAGAAAAGACAACAGGTTTTGCAAAGTTACACACACAATAAACATACGTACCAGTAGGTGGCGCTGACTCCTCTCTTGTCACAATAGAAACTAGTTTTTCTTTGGTTTCAACACAAACTTCGCTTTTGACCTCCGTGGTCATGGGTCTGGTGCTGTTAACGTCCGTTTTCTCTGGGGCTGAGTTGTCCCTGGACAGGCAATAAGGCACGGTACCAGTGCTATAATACTGGCATTTACAGTTGACATTTCATTGCAGAATTTCATTGCCTTCTTAAGTTGATAAAATGAAATGTTATCTCCCGTTACAGAAATGCATGGTTTCATCAAGGAAAGCTTGTGTGTAAAAGTTTATCACTGTACAACAGAAGGTCTAAGCCGGGGGAGTCGAACCAGGGCTGCGGCTCTGAACAGACGGACTGGAAAACTCTCTTGCAGAAGGCTGTGGGGCTGAAGTCAATCTGGTACCACTTCTTCACTGGGATGCTCCCAGGACTCACATCTGCAGGTGGTTAAACATGGATGTGGGTCACATGACCGGTAGCCCAGCATCTAACTCACCTCACTGGGGAATGCAGAACATATTTATTGCTAATCTTGATGTTCTGACACTAGCTGCCAAACATACTACGTATATATTTTACTGAGATATTTAACAAACCGTTTGTAGAGTACCAACCATGCAAAGGAGTGCTGCTGGTGGAGACTTGGTCCATCGAAATTTCCTGAGTTCCAAGGCTGCTCATAGTCTCATCCTCACTGGTGTCTTCTGGGGAGACTCGTGGGAAGTTCTCCGCCTCTGCCAGGCTGATTACAGACATACCTACAGACACGTCGAATCAGGGCACAAAGAAAAATAACACTAAACGCCCACAAGGGAAAACGCCATGTTTAATCCTTATTCCATTCTCCACTTAAGCACCATGTGTCTGGATCAGCACTTCGATTACAACAGCTGTCAAATGTTGATTCCAAAGCAAGGCTGCTTTATCCAGAAGTTCTTAAATTCCAGCACAGAAAAATATCACGGCGTGTTCCAGGTCTATCCAACACGATTCATATAAACATTGTCTTGTCATCACCAGTTAGGCTTCAGCCTTTAGACGTTCTAAAGTGTCTGACTTCCACCTGTGTTTCTCCAGACCAGGAGCTTAAGGTTCCTGGCATGTAAGACTGCACCTTGGCCCCCTCTGATCAACGGTTCCAAAAAGCACATGGGCTTACATCTTATTTTACAGAAAACATAGATAGCACGAATTAAAGCACAAATGAACACCAGCATTTCTAACATTAGCATTTCTGATTCAGAAAGACACACTTTTACTTATTGTCTTTTTGTGAAGACTTTTCTTCTGCTTCTAGGTAGGGATTAACACAAGGGCAACGTCAGATCATATTGCACATATACTGAACCTTAAACCAGATAAAGTCCATTATTCAACAATCTAACGTGCAAGGGACAATCTGCCACGGTTCCTTATATCAAGAAGGGTATACTGAAGAATCCGATGCATTACTGAATGTTAATGTTTGTCTGAAGCACAAATTGAATACACTGAAAGATGAACTGAACATAGAATATTATGTTGAGTCAAATTACTCATGAATTAGAAGTTTTATTTGGTGTCGATAATGAAAGAGATCCAAACTCGGTTGATTTCTTGGATTCAAGATATTTTATTTCACCAAAGATAAAAGGTTTATTTGGTAACACACCTGGAATACCTCAAACACAACTAATTTCCACCATTTTGGCTTCTAATCTAAACATTCACTATAATTCCATATACAGTTGTGATTTTTTTTGTATCCAGTCTTCAACACACAATTTACTATCATCTTCAGTCCACTTTTTTACAGTACGCCTCAAGCAACAATATTCAACAAAACAATACAGCCACAAAAAAAAAATCTCACACACATTTCAACCAAGGCAGCCAGTTGTAATCCACTGTGTATCATGTGCAAACTCAAACTGATAAAAACCCATTTTACTGCAATAATCTGAGAAACGGACTGAGTGACCCCATGCTGTACAGTCAGCCATGATCTGGAACTCATGCCCTGTACTTCACTGAAGCATTTCTCGATTTCTGATTTTTACAGGACAAATATGCAAACCTTGCAAATGTCTCTTGTTCCTCATCCTGTTCTTACACCAACAGCAACTTGTTAAATTTTCATAGTACAAATTTTAGAGAAAAGAAAAATAATCTACCACCTTACACAAAAATTTCAGCCGTGGACACTGTCTCGACTGACGCTGACTCAAGTCAAAATACGTTCTATTTCTCAGTGCAGTATTACAAACTGAAATTAAGTAAATGCGTTCTTCACGTGACCTGGAGCAAACACATACCTTAAGTCTTATACAACTATCAGCTGCAGTCATTCAACCCTATTAGTGATGAATGTATATCATGAAGGGAAGATGACAGCCATGATGTTTATGAGGACATTTTACACATTTTTAATATACAGCAAATATGTAGCACATTGCTAAACATTACATAAATACTTCAATTGGAAGCATTTTTTGTCATTTTGAATGATTTTCTTGGTACATTGGTATTAATGAATTTATATGAAATGTGACATTTTAATATACAATACTCCACAATACTCCATCATTTTTCAGCACTTATTTCCATACCGGAGAGCACTCACAGCACGAAGGGTCTTGGCAGTATTTTTTATGGCTTATCTCAGTATGTCTGCAATCCCATGTGCTGCGATTTCTGAAATGTGTACAACAAGTAAAAATAGCTAGAAGATTTAAGCATCTTCCAATCGTCCATGTTTAAAGGTCGCTAGCTAATATGCGTCTCAGTGCACTTCAACTTTGAAACGCAAACGTTTTTAACTGATCACTCAGATGATTGCCTTCTAAAGTTAATCTAGGTCGAGTTGAATGTACTGTAAGGTACCGTGTCTCCATAACATGAGGCAGTAATGCAGTTTTGGGGTTTACAAGATCAGTGATTTGCTCCCAGGAAATTCCAAGTTTTATAATTCCATACTTCCCAAAAGTACACATTCTCAGCAATTACCTCCAAAACTGTATACAGAAAAAATAGAATCAGGTTCATAATATTCATATGGAATGGTCTGCCAATAGCAGGAAATGCACATTTAACATATGCCTTAACATTTAAGTAAAACTTACAGAAATGTTCCCATTTAAGACTAAAAGGGCTATTTTAAGTCTTTTTATAATGGGATTTTTACTTTCTGGCTACATGCTGGAACAAAAATTTGACTGTGCTTTTCCGAAACTACGCTGTTCAAGGTTTTGAAGGCTGGCCCTTGTCTCTTTTGCTGATCTGTAGAGTGACTGGCGCCCCCACTGGTGTGTAGCTGAAGGTGTGAGCAGACACTTCGGTTTTGAAGCTTGGGTGGCCCCCGTGGGCGTCCCTCTGGACCTCAGTGCAGTACGAAGGCTTGACCTTGACCTCGACTCGGCTTTTTGAGGATGTACCAGAAAGATGTATGGGAACTGCACGCTCTCCCATTGGCTGTCTGTCAGGTTGGGGGATCCCCGACATAAACAGGCTGCTGGACAGATGCTGTTTGAAGCGACTGAAAAAGCCCGGCCTGGCTTTTGGTACCACGGGGCACCCCAGGTTGAGCAATACTGGCTTACCAATGGTTGGCTCATTTATATCTCTCTGAACAACTGAGATCTCGCAGGGCTGGTTAGCAACTGACTGATTGCCGTCTACTGGAGAACCATACGTCTCTCCTTCCATGGGGATGTAGTCTTCTAGGTCCTCCAGTGTTAACACTCTGCCGTCTTGTATCAAAATCTTGGGATTCCTGTTCCTAATGTCATCAGGGTCGTCATCAGGCTCTTCAACAATGACAGTTTCCTCATCTGGCCAGTCTTGCTCCTCCGTGTCATCACAGAGAGCAGCCGCCCCCGATGCTTCGTGGCCAGATTCCCGCGTCACATCTTCCACGTTTTGCTGTCCTTCGGCGGAATCCACCCCTTGATCCCCTTCCCAAGAAAGAGGTTGGATGCTGGCATTGGACAAGTCTTCGCTTGGGAGTGAGGGGCCATTCTGTTGAACCAGCTTGTTGTTGGAGTTGTTGGAGTTGGGGTCTTCTCGTGGAGACCTCCTGGGCCGGGAGAGAGGGGCTTGCTCTCTGGCAGGGGAGGAACCCCTCTTCCTATGAAGCTTGGGGGACTTGTTGACTTTGTACTCAATTATCTCCTCAACCTCGACCCATTTGGGTCTCTCCACGGGCCTTGCAGAAGCACCTTCAGGCTCGGTGACGTACACACTGGGGACAGTAGGCTTTTTAGCTGCTTCTGTGGCGGAGCGAGCGGTCGACCTTTTCATCTCGGAGCGGGCCGCCATCGAGGCAGGTCGCCCAGGCGATGCACGGCGCTTCATACGCGTGTTCTTCACCACGGTGGTTATCGTTTCTTCGCTGGTGGTGGACAAAGCACACGCCGGTTGATAACCATCTCACAAGTCCTGCACGGCATGCTGCCTTCACACTGGGTGAGTGGGGTGTTAGTGCGTGTCCCAACAAACTCCAAGCGCCGGTGAAAGAAACAGCCTCGTGCATCAAAAACACTTCAGCACTACATGGCCGTTCAGTCAGATAAACCAGAGTACTGACCATGACTGTTCATTTCAGGTCAATGTCACTGGAACTTATTCACATTCTGAAACAACCGTCTTCCTCTAGTTCAATAATGGAGCAGGAAGAAAGGAAATTGACGCAACACTGTGGCAAAGGACCACATTAGGCATCAAATTGGTTTATAGTATATTATCATACTTTTCTCTACACCTGATATGTCAGACGCAAATGAGATTTGCTTTATAAATAGTATTTAAGAAGATTTGTTGTTGCAGAGGCATGATTTTCTATACGGGAGTTCCTTTTAGATATACCAAATCATTAAGTAATCCTAGACTATTTATTCATATTTTACGTTACAACTATAATAAAAAAAAATAATTTCCTTGTTTTAGCAACTTCAGCAATAACTCCACTCTGTAGCCAAAGTTCAGTGGCACAAGAAGCGTTAGTACTACCTTCAGCTTGAATGCCCTTTTTGATGGATGCTTGTTAATTATCGTTATGAATATGGAAAGCGTAAACTTATTAATAGTAATCGTTAATTAGCAAAGTGCACACACTGAAGACACTGAATTCAAATTTATATTGTGACCACTGTGTTTTAGTGTTTACCACCATATTTTATGCTGAATCAGACAGACAACATAAAATGCTTTTATTTTACATACAAAAAATGTCCGTTTAAAAAAAGCACAGTGAAAATCTGAGCTTCGTTATCCACTGCACAGAAAACCGGAACTGCACGTGTTCAGTGCTGTATGAGCACATATGCAGGGAATCAGGTCTTGACCACTAGAATCTTGAAATTCCACCACTGAACATTACACGTTGCCTTATTCTCCAGAAAAACAGCTCCTGAGGTCAACATAAGGATTTTTAATAAATCATTTTTAAGCCAATTTTTTTGCAATAGGTGGTACTGAATCTGGATGCCAGATGTTGGCCAGATGTCACCCATAATGACGGCATCTTTCCAGATGATTCCCTAGATTTGGCTCCTTCCGCGGCTGCTGCTTCGACGACGTCAGGCATGCAGGTGAGTGAGGGGAACCGTCGTGGGGGGGGGGGGGGAGACATGCACTCAGCCAGTCGGGGACACTTACATGATGATGGTTTTCTTTGGAACTTTAGTCTCCTGCTCTGTGACTACAAGGAAAACAGGATGGAAAGGATGGGATTAGAGAAGATGTGGGAGCTGAAATGATGTCCTGGTGCCCCTCTAATGTGCTGTGATGGCGATGGCTGGTCTCCCCTGGCTACATCTCGCTATGCAGTTAGGGCTTTGGAATGCCAGTGTAGAAACATAAAATATATGCAGCAACGTGAGACACCTGCAAACAAATGTATTGAGGTCAGATGATTTGGGGGCGGGGGGGGGGGGGTTCTAACCATGCATTGCCATCTGTAGGCTATACCCCCCACCCAAACTCGAACCTTAATTGAATTCATATCTCCATGCTCCCTCTGGCACCAGTGAGGTCAACGTCAGTTGACTGGTAGCACTGTAGCAGTGCGAGAAGGTGCCGAGTTACAGCTGGAGCTTTAATAAAGATACATTGGGGGGGCATGAAAATATTTAAGGGCCTCGATGAATGATGTTCCAGTGCTGTGAATAAAATATGGGGGGGAGTTGGAGAGAGACGGGTAGCTAACCATACCATAGAAAATGGTAACGTTAGCTAAATGCAGTGGTCCACCTCAGTCTGGTCTTAATGTGTCAACTTGCCTAAATTCTAGCTATTGTACATAAAATTATTTCGCAAAGGAGCAGAAACTTTTTCAACTTAGCTTTGCAAATGGAATGCGCCAATATTAATTCTACGAAAACAAACTACATTTTCTGTTTTAATTCTGAATTCTTTAAGTGATTAGGTCAACAAACAACCGCTGAATGAGCAAATTAATGGAGGTTAATTTCAACAAATCCACACTCTTGTTTCTCAAAAAAAAAAGCACAAGAGGGTTTTCACTTTTAGAAACTGAATTTATGATGGTTATATTAATATGTAGGATATAACTGAAGCAGATGAGCTGATGTGAGTTAGGCTGAAGGGGTGCGAAGGTAATGTGCCACATAGCTTTAGGCTACAGAATGGACAGCAAAAGCAGGTATCCCCCTGCCTGACAATGACAGTGGAAAATTCCTTCTCAAACTCCAGAATCATTTTCAGGTCCCACCGCCAATGTGAAAACCATTGTTTCAGTTTCAAAATTCAATCCAGTGTGCAAGTTCTACATTGTGATACTCTGTTGGTCATACTTAGCAACCAGAACTGCAACCAGATTTGAAGAATGAATCCACTCCCACGGTTCTTCCACAGCTTTTAATGCGCACATGAAATGCACCCTTCATTGACGCATTTCTTATGAATGTGTAACCTCCATACATAAATACAGTTTTCTTGTGTACCTTTGTTTTGATTAGACATGTGTGATCAAGTCAAAATAAGCTATACGATTCTAGTTTTTAACCTGCTTATAAGCCAATAAATTAAAGGATTTTGGCACAATTTTTTAACTGACTATCAATATTATACAGAAATAGATAAGATGGTTTTTGGTTTTTTTGTAGAGTGTACTAAGACATTGCATTTTCCATTGTGTTCTGCATTTTATTTATGAAGATTAATAAATACACAGTGAGGAAGCGAGACACAGAGAGCAGTGAGCAATCATTCCAGTGGATGAAATAGCAGTGCTGCTGACTGGGATTTTCTTAACTGTGTACAACACGCCAAAGATCTAGAGGAAAGACCACGGCAAACGGCCCCCCGAACGAGCCTGCGACTGGCACGGTAAATTCTTCAGTGACAGGGCAACTCAGATGCCCGAACAGACTCAAGTCAACCCTCCCTGCCTCCTCTCAGCTGGAAGACTGACAGGAAACCGGTGTGTGGGGGTTACACGTGCTACAACCACTGTCTGATAAAAGCTGCATGTTACCATGGATACACACTTGTGATGTAATAAGAAACTTCTTTCAAGGTCATTGTGCCCATTGGGCGAAACGACATTCAAGAAAATGGAATTTAATACTTCAAGACTTGAAACTTCTCCACACAAATTTCTTTAGAAAGCAGAATGCGAGTCTATCCCTTCTCTTACGAGTTACACAACATATGTCACAATGCCACAAAAGTAGCTGTTTTATAACGTTTATTTGCGAACCAACAAAAAAACACAATACAAAGCAAAAAAACTAAAATAATCAAGATATCTAAATCTCTAATTAAGAGAGAAAAACATCCAGCCACTCGAAGGATAGCCAATGTACCGTACAGTGCTCACATGATCACGTCGTCATGACGACACAGTGGTGACTCAGCAGTGGAGGTTTAAGCTCACATACATGTACCCTCAGTCAGAGCCCAGGTCACTCCTACCTTCGATGGTGATGGCCTGCTCCCCCCTACGCTCGCTGGCCGCCATGGCCGATGCCGGGATCAGGTCTGCGGCACATCGGGCACTGCCCAGTCGGTTAGACAGCTAGATAGATGGTCAAATGTTAGACAACTGAGGCATATGCACCAACAAGCATGAGGTCACTTAATGGGAGAGTGTAAGCAGCACCTCGCACTCATAGCGGCCCAGGTCTCTCTCCCCAGGGTTCTTGATGACTAGAACCAATACCCCGCTCCGGACCTCACTGTAGGTCTGGTATTTCTCTTGATCTGTAAGCAGCTTGCCTTCCTTAAACCATCTGTTGCAGTACAAAAGAATTCGCCAATCAGTTGGAACACAGAAAGACACATAGATACACAAGAAAAGCTGACAAAGCCTGGCTCAGGGAGTTTAGGTGTAAGGTACCTGATCTTGGGTCGTGGGGCGCACTGAATGGTGCAAGTGAACTGGGCGTCCTCCCCGTCAATGAGTGCAGTGTTTCTTAGCTTGTTCACGAAGCGGGGGGGCACTTCATCCCATAGAAACATTGGATTACTTTAATCCAGTGAAAGACATCTCACAAAATCTAACCCAAATAAATAGACAGAGCTGGCCCAAACCTTTTCAGGGCGCTAAGCAAAATTTGTTTAACCTAATTGTCACTTGTCACCCTTCTTCCCATTGCAACAGGCTGATCGGATGACAGGGCCCCCTGGTGGCCGCTGGGCCCTAAGCAGCTGCTTAGTTCGCTTATGCGAACTGTATTTAGAGTAGCTTTAAATTCTCCCTTTGGAATTTAAGCTGAATGGATTAAACAAGTAAGTCTGTTAGCTATTTAACCAGCAGGGGGCGTGAGAGGTCTGCGACCGCAGAACCCCACAGTAACTCACCCTGCACGGTGATTTTGCCCAGGGAGCTGGCAGACCCAGCGCTGCTGACGGCGAAACACATGTACTGGCCCGAGTCATCTGCTGTCATGTTGTCCAGGATGAGCGTACAGGAGCCATCGGGGTCCTCGATGATGATATGGTGGGGATCTACCTCGATGGGCCTCCCGTCTGGTAAATGAACACACGCGTGAATGGACAACGGACAGGCACCTTCAAAAAAAGTCCTGACAGCATGCGTCTGCCAATGCTGTGACCTCGATGACGGGCCGACTCGCTGGACTCACCCTTGTACCAGGTGACTGATGGCTTGGGTGTGCCTACGACCTTGCAGGCTAGCTTGACGGTCTGCCCCAGCTCCGCGGTGCAGTCTGCCAGGATGTCCACAAAGTCAGGGGAACCTATAGAGGAAGAAGTCATTGGAGAGAACCACGTTAACAACAAGCAAGTCAAACAAGGCAGATCTCTGGGACCAGAGGATGTTTAGCATGTGATTGGCGGGTGGAAAGAGCACCCGCAGTGAGAGGTATCAGGGGGCGGGAGTAGAGGACACTCACTCCACGCAGGCATATGGTAGCGCTGCTGCAGCTCACGCAAATCCCTCAGCCAGGAGTTCTTGATGATGACGGTGCGGGCCTGCAGTGTGTACTTCCTCACAGAGTCCTCGCGCTCATGCCAGATCTCGAAGGCGCGGTCGTCGCCCTCGACGGTCTCGTTCACGTCAATGTTGGTCAGCTAATGAGAAAATCAACAGCCTCAGCTCGTTCAAAAAGGCACAACCACCAGTAAATCATTAAGATACCTGGTGATTTTTGGTAGCAACCTCTGCCCTTTATGATCATAACACCCGTGCCAATTACCGTGGCAATTCACCTAGAATACATCAAAACCTATAACTTTGGTTAAAAACGTACGAAAGGTAGAAGATGGGATAGACAATAGCAATGTTCAACGGCCGTTCCTTATTAGGAGAAAATAAGCTGAAGAAACCGTTTCTCTATCTGCCTGAGCCTCACCTTCATCATGTTCTTGAAGACGTAGCTTTGGGTGTCAGTGTTGGAGTCCCTCTTGGGCTTGCAGATGATGACATAGTTCTTGAAAAGGAAGACGTGCCGATGGTGGCCTCTGGACGAGGTCCGGATCCCGGGGGCGCCCTCCCACACCGTGAAGGGACCCTGAGCCGGAACACAAGACGGTCAACGCACTGTTCATTGGGGGAAAAGTCAACGCACTGTTCATTGGGGGAAAAAAAACACAATAGCAGGTATGCATGCTTTTCCAGTGGTCCAAGGTACCTTAGGAGGCACACAAAGTATGATCAGGCAGAACATATATGCGATATTTCAGGAATCTTGAGGTTATTTAATGCCATGGAACATATTTCAAAGCAACCCAAACGGACAGAGAAAGGTAGGTGTACAGATACATCCCTACAGCACACGTTGTGTAGATGACACTGAATGGGTGTCATCTACACTTCTTTCTCCAAGCTACATGTATGCAGAACTCGACATAAAGACTCAGGTACCATTTCACTGTGAACACTGCCATATGAACCTTTATACCCTACCAACTGTGCATGCATAGATACATTGTTGCACTATTTTTGAACGTTATTTATTCTATTCTATTACAATTACTATGTATGATCCTTGACCTAGGACAGCCTGCTACCTCATATTATTGTTCATGTGCACAATGACAATAAAGTTGACTTTGAATATCCCTAAAGGCCCTGTTCCGTTGATGACACTCAATGAGAGCTGTGTTCTCGATCGTAGCCGATTCACCTGTCTGATGGGCTCGCCCAGCACCTCCAGCGTGGCGGGGTAGTTCTCAATCAGGGAGACGTGGTGCGTGTTCTCCGCGCGACGCGGCAGGGCAGAGACGACGGCATAGGCCTCCTCCAGAAGGCAGCAGTTCTGCCCATTCCTGGCCTTGTTTCTGATCAGCTCCTGCACACAGGAACGCTCATCCTCAGACCCTCTACAGAACCGAGGAACTCAAATACACCAGCTACTCCACGGCACCTAAAAACTCATAGCGCATATTTTAGAATCAATGTCTACATTGTGAAAAAACAGACTTAATGAAAGCACAATATGCAACATCATACAATAGAATGTGTGAGAAAGATGCCAGAAATGGTTAGTCAGCCACAAATGGATGAAGGTAAAATGACATCACATGACTCCCATGATATGAGAGAACCGGGCAACATTTGTCAAGATAATGCAGAATGTCATACACAAAACATAACTGGGCTTTTGCCTACTCACACATTTTCCATTAATTTCAGCTTTAAATAAAAAGACAATACTTTGTAAGAAATTAAAAATAACTTGTGTAATCGAGCAATTTAAATGTATGTTAATCTAATCTCCTACCTTGAGTACGGACTTGTATTTCTGTATCCTCTCCAGAGGTCTTTGTAAATATGCGTTCACGCTCAGCACTGGACCTTCTGAAGGTTTAGTACCTGACAGCTGTGTCTCAGTGTATTCCTGTTGGAACAAAATAGTTTCATAAGGCAGTGCTGGAAACGCCAAAGGCCTGGAGGAAACTGTGACCAAAAGAGCCAAAATGGACGCCAACACTCGACATCCGGGTTTGCCGACCTTGAAGTACTGGTGGACGTTCTTGTTACTGATGGCAGCTTCGGCCTCTGCCTGCTCCACCATGTACTGCAGGTACTTCTCAAAGCCCTCTGCATTTCTGATGAAGCGCACGGCCACGTCGTCGTCGGTCTCACACTCGCTCAGGCTTGGCAGTATGGAGCTGCAGGGTAGCAAATACATAGCAGCATAAACAGAGTAACAATATTTCAGATATTTCATGTGCAGCTGTAATGAGTGTTTTTAGTGGTATTACTGAAAAACTCAGACGATCATTCCGTCATGTAGAGTCAGGGGCGGATCGAAGAGGTGGCCAGGGATGGCCAAACGCCCCCCCACCGAAGTAAATACGTGGCCACCTCCAGTTGCCCCCCCCTCAACAAAATATTAAATCAAGCATTTAATTCTGTAAACCAGAGAACCGCCCAATTCGCCAATCAGTTGATCACAGGGTCTCCAACGCAGTCTATTAATTCATAATAAAAATCACGATCAGCAAAATATATTGACGGGGACCCCACCCCAGGTTGGCAAAATATTACCCCACTGTCATCCCCGTAAAATCATTGCGTCTAGTTTGGCCACCCCTGTTTGGAAAAAAAAACTGCAAGTAGATTGGCTATGAAGCGAATCTATCGAATAAACAAAACAAAGACAGGAACCTGCTGTGGAAGGAATCAATGTCCTTGATGTTCCTGAAGATGGCCTCCTTTTGGCTGCTAACGCTGGCTGGAACATCTGTGCTGGTCTCCAGGTGCTTCAGGTGGTGGGAAGTAAAGAACTCCATTTCTTTCACAAACTCCTCCTCGCTGGTGATGATCTCCTGAATCAGCTGGCTGAGAAACATTTGTCCGTTTATCATTATTACACATGAATATAGACAATCAACACACCATGGTGCAGAACAAACAGCCATCATCCTTTGGCTTGATTCCTTTGGGTTTTCTAGATGCCCGGTGATGTCAGTTACAGGACCTCATTACATTTCGGCTTGGTGTTGCAGGTTCACAGATGTGTTTTGGACTAAAAACAAAACCAGCTGGAGTTCGGTCGGGGTAAGATTTAACCGGCTATGTACCACAGTCTCTTCTTGTACTCTCCTTCAGAAACCTGCTCTACTCCAGGCTCCACCATCTCTCCAACAGGAGCAGCAGCGTCCGACGAGAGCTGAAAAAGTTTCAGGTTTTAATATGACGTGTGTTTAGTGTAATGAGATTATTACCCGCACGCAGGCTGTCACTTAACAAAAAATACCATCACCAGACCATTAACGACAACACCAAATTACTAGCAATTTACTATGCAGTGCAGTTATATCTTAACATGATAGAACACAAACATATGGATATGAAAAACTTTTACTTGCCAGAACGATTGCATGTAGTGCCTGGTAGATGTTATTTTTAGTTATATACATTGAGCTCTTTGTGTGACTTACCCAGCAGCCTCAAGATTGGCTAGCATTAAGCTACCTGCGGTAATTACTACGATGGGATAAATAATTTGTCATTGTGAGTTGGGATACCTTGAGCTTCTTGTCGAGGTACGCTGGTGGGACCCAACCCTGGCGAGAGGGTGTGGTCTTGGTGGGTTTGGTGCGGATGAGCCATTTGAGAGGGTGGGCCGAATCCAGAACCTCCACATACTGGCCCTCCTTCAGGGATATGGCCTCCTTACTGGGACCAGTAGGGTTATAGTCGGCTGTGGCCACGTAGATATCGAACATCTGCAGAGAGGGATGATTACATATGAAGAAATTACATATAGTTTATTATCCTCCATTTTACCATTTATCAAGACAAGTGCAAACAAAAACCTACTTAACAGAAGTTTGATTGAGGAAAACAAACTAGATTAGTAATATATACCTCATGGGGAAATGCAATGAAAATGTTCTCAATTACCTGTTAAAAATGTGCTAATTACATGATAATTGTCGAGTTGTTGGCTGCCCTGTTTCCTGTCTAAAATGTCACCATTATCTAAGGAACAATAGTTCTGCAGGTCACAGATACAGGCCCATGTTTCCGGAAAAGGCACACCTCTCCTCTGGCATCGCCGTCATCAGACTCCGAGGAGGAGTCCGCGATGAGGGAGGGGGGCCGCGAGCGGCCATGGTGAGGGGAAGCGGTCTTGGTCTCGTCATCGCTGTCGGCCCCCGGAACACGCAGTGATGCTGTGGAAGGTTTGGGGCACGGCAGAAGAGGAAAATCAGCACATACCATGGTATACATTAGGGGTTTACAACCTTTTCAGTTCTGCGGTCCGGTTTACGGCATACAGAGATTTCACAGACCAGCAAAATGCAAACAGCCCACGCAAACATGAGGGGCTGGAACAAAAAAAAGTTAAATACAGTAACCCCTTCACATTCGCAAATTTGACATTCAGTTTTGGTGACTCGTGAGTTGACCAATTAGCGGGAGTTCTTTTGAGCCTGCCAAATGCGCAAGCTATGAACAATAATGAAAATCATTTGGATCACATAAAATGATATAATATACAAACTAGTGTTATATAGTATTTGTCAGGGTAAGTACATACTAAATCTTTAATATCAAAAATCTTGGGTACACATGGCATCTTTGTCTTGGCAACCAGCCTGACTCCGATGTCTTTGTGGAATCCTGTGCTTCTCACGTTAACTTTAAAGCTTTTCAGTGTCGTTAACTTTTTAATGATGGGTCCCAAACGCAGTGCTCCCAGTGCGTACATCAGTAACTTCGTACATATACTGTAGGGGTACGGGCCTAATTTTGATGGTTTGTAAAATAGAAAAAGATAAGATAGAAAGTGACAAAGCAATTGGGCGTGCAAAATGTACAGTCTAGTACCGTTTGTTTAGAAATTGGTTTAACTTTTTAATGTTGTCGTTCAGTCTAGTAGATCGTTATAGGTTGTGCCCAAATATTATTTGCGAATTCATGGGGATCTTCCACCCCTAACCCATGTGAATGTGAAGGGGTTACTGTATACAGTTTATTTTTTTAAATAACCAACCCCTCTGCAAAACGCCCAGTGTTCTGTGGCCCAGGGAATAAGGGACATGAGTTTGGGAACCCCTAGCGTATATGACTGAGCAGATGAGAGTGAAGGCGGGAAGAAAAGTCCTATCAACTGTGATATTTCGTGTCACAGTCAGAGAGCTTCACACTTGGCAAGGAAGGTAATCAACTAAACAACCCAAAACGTCTCTTACTGTCACCTGAATGGATCTGAATAAACCTTGAGTTTTAACGTTTCTGAAGATGGAGAATGTGGTCTCCACTACTGCAGGAGGACTCCCGAAATCATCTTTCAATACCCTACGTCACCATCACACTGTTCTCATGTGCAACCATCGACGAAGAGAGTACTTACAGTCATTAGTGACATGCAGAGTATAAACAACTCAAAACAGACAACATAATCCTGGGACCACAAAATAAAACAGCATTCGTTTAGGTTTAACCGTAGACCCACGGTGAAAGTGTATAAACGCCTCATTCCATTTATAGCAGGCCTAGCAAACATCACTGCTCATGTGCAACAGAAAAACAAAATCAAATCCAGTATGAGCCTGGTTTAGAGGGCATTATGGGTAAATTGCCACTCTGAAGGAGACACAGTAGTAAAAGTCGTATTGATTTTTGCTTGCAGCTAGGAAATGTGACAGTTACAATGTCTAAAATAGAGCTGCCTCTCAGGCAAGTTCTTCAATCCCCATAAAGACTCTTTAGGAGGAAATGAGGAAACTAAAAGCAAGTAAATTGAATTAAATCCACAGCCTGCTGGCACAAGTTCTTAGTTTTTTTAAACAGCCAATTGAAATTAAAGGTGTAATGTTTTGTCATTTTAGGATTCAATATCTGAAAGTAGTTCAAGGCAGGACACAAATCCATAAATCATGGAGAAATCGGATATTTACTGATTGGGCAATTGTCTGGTGGGAGGTGGTGGGTTAACACTGCCTTGTGAAAGCCAGGTGGTGCACTGAAGAAACATCTAGAATCTAGGAAATTCAACTGATATAGTATATGGGGCAGAGTACAGCGGATACATACTGGATTTGGGCCATGACCTCATCCACTGGATCACTTGATGGTTCTGAAAGCTGTCTGAATAACAAACGAATGGTTGAGTGAGCAGGTGAGTGAAGGGATGCATGGATGGATGGATGGTGGAGGTGAAAGATAAAAGATGTAATGACAGAGCTGTAAAAAGATCTACAGGGGATCAGTGGGAAGGTCCATCCTGGTTTGGGCGGGCAACAATTCCAGATGTTTACAAAGTAGGTCGTATATATTTGCAGACACACGCAAACACTGCAAAGCAGCAATTTACCAAGCATGAGCATCAAAGAATGCTGTCCCAAAAGGTTCCCTCCAGTACTCCTTACACAACTTCAAAGGCAGTTATTGCCTCAAACTGCTGTGCTAAAATATACTATATTTATAGTTAATATAGGCCTCCCAATAATTATCTGTCATTTTCATTCGTTTTATCATTTACAATAATGTGCTAAGTCATAACTCATAAGCAAAATCCGTGCTCTGTGGAATATGGAATAAGGCACGGCGGATGCCAACTAATTTTGTCTGTTTAACTTGAAAATTGAGATTCTTATTTTAGAAATGGAAGAGTACCAGTACTTTTGGCTGCATCTGTACAAGCCGAATCTGGAACGGCCCCACAGCCAATAAGTCAAAGCACATGCAGGCCGATCCTATATACTGCTCCTCTCCCATCCTGCGTTCCATTTACCTCGGAGCTCAGAAGTTGGAGCTGGGAGTGACGTCACACCCGTGTTCATTGCCTTCCAGTACAGAAGGTCGGAAAGCCATTTAGCAAAATCAGGGACCTGCTTCATAACGCAGGATTTCTTGCTTAGCTTGTTGGATTTAAGGTACCCAGCTTTAAATGGGCTTTATCTTCGTTCAGTTACATATAACCCAGGCAGGGGCGTCAGAAGCATTTTGAATGTGGGGGGGACACACTGGCATAAAAGTAATATTTTATGTTAAATGTGGGGGGTCCAAACGAATAATTATGAAATGTGAGGGGGACACGTCCCCCTTAGATTTAATGGCGGCGACGCCCATGAACTCAGGCCACTTTAAATCCGACAAAGTATCCGGCTAAGCAAGAAATCCTGATTTCTAAAACCAGTCCTTATTCTAGCCTGCTTAACTGCTAGCCATTGTTAGCAATATCAGTTGATAACACAACGCATGGTGTTTTGTGCATAAAAACATTCTAGTAACACTTCCAGTTTTTGAATAGTACTGTGTGTACGACCGATTTAATGAGCCGCAAATAAGATGTAAGTGTTAATAAACCGTATAAAACTACAGCTTTAACTGCGTTTGATAAAGGGTGCGGCCATCTTGAATTCTGAGGTCAGGGTTCAGTAAATTCCTCTGACTTTCCGAGTAGGAATTCCAACTTCAGGGAGCGTTCAGTTGAAATTTCCGACTCTGAATTTCCGAGTTACGAGTTCAACTGGAACGCAGCATAAGAGCCACAACCATGGTGTATTTAACAGCTTGCACAGCAACACATACCCAGAATGTTACTTAGTCATAACAATCACTCATGCTTCTCATGTCAAGCACTCTTCAAGAGTCTTGTTGGATATAACAAGTATTAGTTTAAATATACCGTACTTTTTTAAAAAAAAAAAGCCAACACTAACAATTAAAAAATCTAAATATATTTGGGGCCCATGAATATATCTTAATACAATTAAAGATATTTAATCAAGAATATAATCTCTCTCCAGCTATAGAAATTCCCCCATGAAGAGTTTCAGTGGAACACTCCAGTGCTTCTCCTCATCCTCACCTTGGGTGATCTTGGCAGATACCATTTCGGTGATTTGGGTGGTAAGCTTCTGAATGAACTCCTCCGTGCCTACCTCACCCAGGAAAGTGCTAGATGATTTTCCAACTGCAGGGTATAGAGAAGGAAATTTTTATGTGTCTAGAAACGGGAGAGTGTCAATGCATTAGCAGGAAGAATACTGTGTGACGCAACACAATCTTTAAATGTGAAAACTGCTCCAACCTCTTTTAGCGCATGGTTCGTCTGTGGGTGGACTGATGGTGATCCCAAGAACCCTGAAGGAGACACAGGTAACATCATAACACCCAGCTAATTATGGAGGATGTTGTTTCAGTTGCATTAGTGCATGTAAGTGCGATTTTATTTAAGAAATCAAGCAAGACCTAGAATGTGTAGAATGTGGCTTTAGGGACAATACATAACTCTGCACCGTTGGATGTTATTGTATTCTTGTTGATATATCAACTTACTCTTGAACTGATTTGGCTGTTTGCTTCTCCACTTCAGCCCTCTTTTCTGGCACTGAAAGATAATTAAAGTCTAAACTTATGGGTAGCTTCCATGTGAAAAATATCTGAGGCACTTGGCCAAAGCATAACATTCTACACGTCAACTAATATAAATGACAAGCGATTCATGTTGGTTGATTTATGACGACATCATAAAGGAAGTAAGCGACATCATAAAGGCATCAAAAATGACATCATACAGGATGTAAGCGACATCATAAAGGCATCAAAAATGACATCGTAAAGGAAGTGCTCACCGTCCTCCACCTCCAGCCGGGCGGTGCAGACAGACTGGCCAGCCTGGTTGGTGGCGATGCAGGTGTAGGTGCCCGTGTGGGTCTTGCTTACATCCATCAGGATGAGACTGTGCTGCCGGCCTGAGCTGGCCATCTTGTACCCAGGTGTGTCTGGCTTAATCCAAAGCACGTCCTCGGCAGACTCCTCCTTCAGCCAGGTGACGGAGGGCTGGGGGGAGCCTGGGAGGGTAAGAGGGCAAAAGCCAGAAGTGTAACCACATGGAAACTCCTCTTTCACTTCACAGGATAACTTCTTCTATCCAGGTCCTCCTGGCAGCAGCAGACCAGCTCCACAACTTACCTTAAATGACTGACCTACCCTCCCTCCCTCCCTCCATCCATCCATCCATCCTAGAATTCTAGTCAGGGTTGTGGGGATTACAATACTACCCGAAACGATGTTATAAGAAAACACTAATAATAAAGAGTTGTACCCCCCACCCCCCCAACCACTGCTGGGGTGGTCACCTTCCACTTTGACAGACATGGTGATGCTAGCTCCGCTCTTCACGGTCCGGTTGGGGTAGCGCTCCAGGAAGCGGGGGGGCACCAGGGGCTCGGCACCTTTCACCAGAAACAAACACAGGCCACTCACCCTAAAGTCAAACCAGACGGAAAAGCTACTTGCGTCTGGCCAAGAAAGAAGACGCACGACTCAATTTTCAGGACAGCGTTCACTACAAAGAAGCAGGTCAGGTACCAGAAGAGGACAGCAGAAGAAACAGGAGGAGAACCTACAAGAACATCTATTTACCTTTGACTTTGGAACTATCTTCTGGAAATTTCTCTCCAGGCCCTGTGGAAGAGCGCACATTACTTCCAAGAGAATGAATGAAAGTCCTGACAGTACTGAATCAATGTTAAACGGCCGTTAAGGCCACAGGTACTGACTGAGCTAGACATTGAGCTGCTCTTGAACTGAAGTGCAAAATCAATACAACAATTTGCGTTCTGCTGCATCAGACGCCAGAAACACGGAGTCAGGATGAGAGGATGCTAGAGTCAAACTTAACAGGCACTAGAAAGTTCTTTATCGTCATACAAAATCTGGTGCTGGACTTTGGGGTCCCCCAGGATAAATTTTACTGTCTTACAAACACATCCCTTTAATGTTTTGGTTTGACGTCAAGGTGAAGCCTGGTACGGCCTGGAGACTCACCCAGCACCAGGAGTCGGGCGGAGGAGTAGGCGGAGCCGGCGGCGTTGCTGATGTAGGCGGAGTACTCCCCCGTGTCCTCCCGCGTCACCGCGAGGATCTCCAGGCCGCGCACGCTCCTCTCCTCCGTCATGCGGACCCGGTCCGAGGGCCGCAGGGGCTGCCCGTCCTTGAACCAGTAAACTCTAGGCCGGGGGTAGCCTGGCCAAGTGGACAGTGAAAGTAATTTCACGTTTTGTGGAGAAAGTATTTCTGGAATAATTTATGCAAAATGAATAAAAACGTGGTGTCATAAATTTTACTGCCAATGTGGGCTAATTCTCAGGGAAAAGTGTGGCAGTATATTTTGCATTAATGCTTTTAAAACAATATACCCACAAAAAGTGATGAAAACAGACAACCAGCAACACTGCACTTGGTTTGAGAGAATCTGGTGCATATTTGCTACAGGTAATCTGTAAGGTTAAGGTGGATCGTGGTATCTAATGAGGAGGCAGGTGACTGACCTTTGACCTTGACCTGCATCTTGGCAATGGGTGCCCCGGGGTAGATGTGCATGTCACGCAGCTCATCGACCACTTGGGGGAGCTGCTCCTCTTCTGTGACAGACTCGAAAGCTTCCGTTTCCCTGGTTAGAAAACCACACCCAAGTTACTACCCACCGTTAGCATTTGACATGCAAGATCACATATTGATTTTTCTGTTTCTTAGGCCAGTTCTATGCCTACTCTGGTGGGATTTTTTGGTGTTCCTTGCGGTTGGGCCCAACTGGACTTACCTGGACAGGTAGCCCTTGGCGCTGATGTATGAAGAAGTCTCTGTGGCATCCGCTGCAGTATCATAGTCAGAGCTGCAGGACACTAAAATAGACAAAACAAAAAGAAAAGAGAGGATATGGGATTTAACAAAAGCCATAGCTGCAGATTTAGGATAACTGTGCTTGTCAAACATTAAAATATATTAAAATGTTACCTCTAACATTATTTTGAGGATGTTTATTTGGTAGTCTAATTCAGTAAATGGAAGAAGCAATTCATTTTATTCAATATTTAAAAATATGTATTTAATAACTTAATTACATTTCCTGAGAGATAAAATTAAATATTTCAGCAATATGTGAAGGAGGAAAGACATGCAAATGGCTTTACATATCATCCAGACAAATCTTCAAAATCTGGAAAAGTCTGAAGAACAGATAATTCTAGTGAAGGAAGTAACAAGACCCCAAATTCCATAGTTGGTAGGCTTATCGTGTTCTGACATTCTCATTGGTTATTTCATTGCTTCCCTCTGGGTCATGGCAGGCATTGGTTGACAGCACAAAGAAGTCCCGCCCACTGCAGGAATCAAAGCCTTGTTTCTTTTAAGACTAACTGGAACCAGTTCACAGGTTTAGGTCTTAGGACCCAGAGGAGCGACTCACAGTCCACCCTGAGCTCCGCCACCGTGGAGGCGATGCCTCCGCTGTTCTCCGCAACGCAGCGGTACGCGCCCATGTCCGAGGGCCTCGCCGTCGTGATGATGAGCTGGTGGCAGCCCTCCTGGTCCTCGTTGATCATGTAGTGATCACTCTCCTCAATAAGCCTGCCGTCCTTAAACCAGCGCACGGTGGGCGGGGGCTTGCCGATGACCACGCAGTCGAAGCTGACCGGGTAGCCGTCCGGCACGTCCTGACTCTGCAGCTCAGTCAGGAAGACGGGGGCCGCTGGGGGAAAATAAATCACAGTCAGATCTCGGGGGGAAAATTTCTTCTGATAACATTTTTAATATATCAGCAGTACAATGCATCATACGGTGTTGGGCCAATAATTTGCATAATAAATGATTGTAATGCAATACTGCTAAATTACTAGTTTAGTTTTATTTGAATTAAATGTTTACATGCTCCCCTTGTGTTTGTGCAGATTGTACTCTAGTTTCCTCTAAATTGCCCATAATATATGGTGCTGTGCATGTGTTTCTGTCTTTGTATGCTGTGCTTCAGGCCACAACTGTACTAGATGGAATATTCCCCTGGGTCTTTGGATGCAAGCATTGTGCTCAAGTTTACCAGACGGCCCAGCCATGAATCCAGGAGGCTGTCTGTCCTGCGTGGGTGTCCGTGAACCGTCCTGTACATAGCCCATCTTCATGATGCGCAGTTCTATTTTGTGGGGGACCCCTTCCAGGATGGTGGTCTCGACAGGAACCCCATGTATGGTGAACATCTCACTGAAGCGCTTAGAAGCCACCTGGGCTTCTTCGACGGTGTTGAAGCGAATGTAGATGTAGTTGTCGTCCTCGCGGTACGAGCGGGGGTCCGGGGGCGGCATTTCGCCTTCGTCCGCGCTCACAAAGGAGTCCTCCTCCATGCCCGGCATGTCCGCGGGTAGCCGGTTGCCAAGAAGACGCCGTAGTCGCCTGCTGGCCTGCCGGAGGGACTCATCCATCTCGCTGCCCGAACTCTCCGGCTCACTGTCAGCGCTGTAGCCATACGCAACCTGCAGGGGTCGCCGGCCCGACGACTCCCGCGGCACACCAACTGTCACCTTGGCGCTGTGGGTGGTCATTCCAAATTTGTTCGACACCTCACAGGTATAGACACCCGTATCCTTGGTGGTCACCCCTGTGATGACGAGGGAGCAAGTGCCATCATTGTAGATGTCGATGTGGTGGTGCTTGCCATCCGTCAGCAGCTCGCCGTCCTTCAGCCAGCGAACCTTATCAGGTCTGCCCACTGTCACGCACTCCAGGTGGATGGTACCGTTGGGCTCCTTTGTCTGCTCCTTGAAGACCTCCTTGAAGACAGGCCGCAAATCCTTGCGTGCCTTGTAGCCTTTAAAGGCCGCCTGGATCTTAACAGCTGCCTCCTTCAACTCAGCTTCATCATCCTTACCCAGCTCCATGGTCTCTGATTCCTGAACCTGCTCCGTCATCTGGAAGTGCTCATAGAACTTCTTGGTAGAAATGCTTTGTGCCTGGCCACCAAGAGTCACAGTGGCCTTGCTGCTCTTCTTGAGGTAGGATACAAGAGACGATGGCCCAGTGAGGGACTCATCCTCAGAGCTGGTGTAAAGGGTATGGTCTACCTCTTTCTTCGGGACTGGCTCCACAATCAACTCTTGGTCTTTAGATACAGTTTTTTTGGGCTCCTTGCCATCTTCCTCGGGCAACTCGGAAATGGAATCTAAGGTCGGCTCCCGGCTCATGCGGCGCTTCTTGGCAATCGCTTCCCACAGTAGGTGCAGGTCCCCTTCTGAGGCCGCTTCTGGGGGCAGGCTAGGCTGCCCACCGTCCTCCTCTACCACCGACGCTGTTTGGGAGACCTCACCTGAAGATGGGACAGAATCTAAACTCAGCAATACCACTAGCAAAATAAGCAGACCATTAAATCTTCCTATTGCAGGTCACAGGGAATATAAAAAGCCCAGAATAATTGAATACTGGCAAACAATTAACTGGATTAATTAGTGTAACTGTAATGGGAAGATAAAAAAAAAAACATGCACGTGAATGGAAAGACAGCAGAAGAAAGGATATCGGGTTTATTTTTGAACATCTCAAAGAAAGTCTGCACTTATAGTATAAGACTACTATCCTGAAGGTCAATGAAGGACGATGGTTGGAAATGAGGTCTTTCTGTACCTGTTGCATAGAGTAGCGGCCTCTTACCCAAGTATACGGTCTGCGGTAGCTGGACGGGTTCCCCAATGCCAGCTTTGTTCAGGGCCGCCACACGGAACCTGTACCCCACACCTGAGCTGAGGTTCTCCACCATGAACTCTGTATCGCGCACAGGCTCCGAATGGCACGGCAGCCAGAGGGCGCTATCAGTCAGTCGCATCTCGACTCGGTACCCCAGGATGGGACTGCCCCCATCATTGAGGGGGGTGAACCAGGACAGGGTCACAGTTCGATTGGTCTTATTCACCAGCTCAGGGTCTTCGGGGGGGTCAGGGAGAGCTGTGGATGCAGGGGATGGGTCCCGGTTAACGTTTATAATCCAATGAGGTGACAGTTAATCTATTTATGACTATTCATTATAATGCATTAGATTTATTCATTTTATTATAAGGATTTTGCAGAAATATTCCATTATAAAAGAAGTCAACAAACCAGAAGAATATCTGGAGAAATGTAGTTAAATAGTTATAGAACTACACTGTTTACCACCATATTTTGTCATACATATTTGCAGTGGCACAAGTACATTTAAAGATAACGTCTTCTGAACTTGGTTTGTGTTTTGAAACCTTCCGAGAGGTCAGGAAGTGGATTCGAAGCACGTCTTTTTGGCTGGGGAGCCATCAGAGGGGGGTCGTACCGATGACCGTGAGCTTGGCGAGGGACAGCGCATCACGGGCCGCGAAGGTGATCTCCTGGGGGGGCCCAGCCCGGGCACAGCGCAGGACCAGGTGGTGTGAGCGCCCCTCAGTCTGCATGGTCCAGTTGTCGCTGGGCTGCAGCTCTGTACCATTGGCGTACCAGGTCACCTCGTTCTCGGGGATGCGCTCACTCAGGGTGCAGCAGAATTCTGCTCGCTCGCCCACCACTACTGCCTGATCCTCCAAGGCTTGCAGGATGTCCAGCTGCCAGCCTGAAACCACCACAGCCTCCGTGAACACAGCATTTCCTCGTTTACCCCAAAGCCAAAATGAATGAGTTTTTTTTTTTATCTATAAATCAAATTGCTGGCAATATCTGCAGTAGGACCTTTTCCACAAGAAATAATTTGATTATTTTAGGGATAATTTTGCATATTTTTAGTTTAATTCTTGTTCTGGACCACAGAGTCACAGATGCTCACCTTTGACGGTCAGCAAGGCTGATGTGGTTGCCGTGCCAACCTGGAAGGTAACCCTACCGCTGTCCACCGGGTGGAGCTCCTTCAGCAACAGCAGGTGGCGCCGGCCGTTCTCAAAGGCCACGATCTCCACGTTGGCGGATTCGTGCACCGGCTTGCCGTTCATCAGCCAGCAGCAGTTCTGCATCTCAGGCCGGGACAGCGAGCACTCGAACAACGCCTCGCCACCATCCAAAGTGTCCGCATTGTCCAGCCCCTGGATGATGTCAACGGGCTTAGCTGTTGGTGGGAAGATGGTATGAGGATGTGGTTTCAGACTCCTCAAAATATGATCACGTCTTAGTTATAATGGCAGCATTAAAACTCCAGTCTGATTTCTCGATCTGATTTCTCTGTCATCACCCTGTAAAAAACCGCAGATGTGTCACCCTTCCTCGGGTGTCAATTTCCCCCTTCGTTCGTTACAATTATGCAACAACTCTTCAAGAGTCATTTGATTTTAAGAATTCCTATAGAATCCTTAAGTTCTGTGCACGCACTTCATTTTGTGATGAAGTCATTATCATCAGTAAAAAGAAAAAACAGAGATATATATATATATATATGTACAGTGATCTCCTGCCTATCGCGAAAGTGACGTTCCAGACCCATCAGCGATACGTGAAAATCTGCGACATAGAAAGACTATATAAATTTACATTTTTTTATAGTTTAAGCCTTAAAATACCCCTTCCACACGCTTTAAACACATGTAAACTTATTTAAACACACTTTGTAAACACATATATGATATGTGGATGTCAGGCTAAGGATATGAGTAATAATAATAATAATAATAATAATAATATGTAATGTATATGTATATATACACATATCATGGCAAATATAGTTCAGTAGACAGTATAGGCTAGCTCTATCTTTGTATATGTAATGGAATATGTAAAAATAAAAACATTTTAAGCTCAGTATGGGTTCACAAAAAGTTTGCTCACAACAAATCGGACCACAAGCAAGGTACGCTATACGCAAAGAACTGTGATGCGTATATATATATATATATATATATATATATATATATATGCAGATGAGTTATTCCAGGCAGCATAATTAGCTTCAATTAGCATTAATTAAGTTCCCAAGTCCTCTTTAACTGATTTCAAAGACCGATATAATTCCCCTTATGACTACTGGGTGGATAATTGACCAGATGAAAGTAGAGATCTGTAGGCCAATGCAGCAGACGAAAGGCAGCAAGGTGGTCCTCCCAATGAGAGACAGGCTCACCTTGCACCTCTAGGAGGGCCACCACGCAGGTGCCCTCAGCCTCACAGGAGTACGAGCCTCCGTCCTGTGCGGCTACGCGGCTGATGTACAGCCGTGCCACGTTCCAGTCCTGCTCCACCACCACCCGCCGGCCGTCCGGCTGCACAGGCCTCCCGTTCCTCCTCCAAACTGCCTTCACGGGCCGCGAATACTGGCAGATGAACTCCACGGGTTCGCCCTCCGGCACCTGCTCGTCTCTCATGGCACTGACCACCTCCACCGTAGGATCTAAGCCACAGGGGGAGGAGGGGAGCCCACAGCGAGGACCAGTATCAGGTGCTGCTCTACAGCGCCCCCCAGTGTAGAGACCAGATCACAACGCCTGGAATTTTCAGAGTAGGATCATTTTTTTTCAGCCACGTATTTTAGTAAATTTATACCAGCACCTGGACTGGAATACATATGTACAGAATTTGAATACAAATTGCAAATGTCCTAAAATCATTCCATTGTTCAGTTGGTGCCCTAAACATCTGGCGCTCCATATCTCCAGAACAAAAACCACACACCCTACTCCAGGTTTTCCAGGGCTGTATGGTCAACTTGGCACCCCTGCAAGTTAAACTGCTAGGGGGTGATGAGTGCGGGTGGAAGTGCAGGCAGCGCACAGGCAAAGCCCAGCAAGGGTTAGGCAGGTTTTAGTACCCGGCAGGTGGTAGGAAATTTGGAACAGCAAACAGCCAGGGTAGGTAGATGGAAGGCTGAGGTGTAAGTGGTCAGTAATTAGTTTGTCCCTCCCTCCTCACTTGCCAAAGACCTGCTCAAACCCAGCATTTCCACACTCTTTCTGGCCATAATAACCCTTCTCATAAATCAGTAACTATTGCTTAGTGTTTAACCATATCCATATGACTATTTGACATATCTATATGCTGACCTTTGTTACCAAAGATTCACTCACACAAACTTGTATAACAACATCCATCCACCCATTTTCTATACCTGCTTGACCTATTAAGGGTCACGGGGGGGCAAGGTAGAGAATAACCCAGGATGGGACAGCAACCCATGGCAGGGCACACACACATTCACACCTATGAGCAATGTGGCGACTCCAATTCACCTCGGCAAGCTTTTGGAATGTAGGGGGGAACCGGAGATCTTGGAGGAAACCCCATGAACGACAGGGGAGACCATTAATTACATAACACCCCCTCACTTAATCGCCATCACTGAAAAAGCAGCTCAGTTAAAATTTTGGATTTTAGAAGATTGATGAGAGAAACAACCACTGTCCACTCTCTCATAAACAAATCTGTTGGCATAATAACCCCACACGTCATTGGAATACATGCATAACAGCACAGCATATCATTACCATTATAATTAAACATAATTTACTGCCCATGGTGAAGTGGGCTAATAATCGCCTAGTACACCTGTCAATACCTTACAGATTCCATACATAGGTAGTAAATAAAGTTCCTAGTCTGTCAAGTTGGTGCATGAACAGTGCAACAAATTCCCAAGACATAAAGATACCAACATTTCATCCATGTATACATCGACCTTGCTCCATGCTTATCTAGTAAAGTGTCGGAGTGAGTCTGGGGCCGACCCCAAAAAGAGCGGGCTACCAGAGAGGGAAACTCCCCGCATGGGATGCCAGTCCATCGCAGGGCAAACACACGATCACAAACTATGAGGATTTTAGAGGTACCAGTTCATCCAACTGCACATGTTGGACGGCAGGTAGAGACAGAGCATCCAGAAATAATCCACGCGATATAGGGAGATGCCACGGGTCTTAATCAATCCAACAAACATTTTTTTACCTCTGGCAAGTAATTTTCCACAACCTAAACATCCAAAATATGAGAAACTTAGAGAATCTGCAAATTCTGAGTGTTGCTTAGCAACAGCAGGAACCAGCAACATCAATGCCCCCCCCCCCCTGCTGATGAACACAAGGAAGACAAAAATCTCACAGGCCATCGTAAGCAACTTCTTAAGGAAGCAGCTTTTCATGGATTTAATGCTTCAAAGAGCTCATGCATGGTGGAGGCAGAGAACCAGTGACGCAGCGGCCCGCTGATCAGCATTACCCAGGCGACCATTAATGCTTTTCAGCTTGGGTGCTGCAGTTACACCCGGAGCAGCTGATACGACTTTCCCTCCAGTTAAGTTTCTCAGCCTCCGCTAATCAGTGACAAGCGACAAGTCTTATTAGGCTCATTTATGAACTCGACGACGTGACGACGTGACGACGTGACGACGTGACGACGTGAAGGCATGACAGATGACCCACTAATTTTAGGCTCTGCTTCTCTAAATGTTCCTTTAACATTCACAGTATGATAATATATACCATTCTATCCGTTTCCAGCAGATTCCTGGGTTGTAGTTCAGATTCTGCAACCTTAAGCGTAACATCACAAAACAGCACTTATAAAAATAACTGTGGTCGCGAAACAGAACATGTTCAAATGATACTGATTTACTTACTGGTGCTGATTTACCATTTATAACAGGCATATTTGCACACACTTTCAATGCCAAGCATGTCATGTGATACAAACACCACCCGCCATTCGTGTTTAGTGACATCACTGCAGCTCTGAAGTCAAGGGCGTAGATTTGGGTATTTATGGCAGGGACATGTCCCTCCCAGGGGCTAGACTGGCAACAAAAAGCAGCCCAGTGACCGGGGTCCCCCATGGTATATTTTGCCGCAGACTGGGAGGAGGGGCGTCTCCCCTAATGTACTGGCATATTCTGCCAATCACGATTAACCGAATGGCCTCCAATGAAATAGCGCAGCATCCATTAATCATCTCCTGCGATCGACCTGGAAACAAGCTGAGGTATGTAGGCTACGTAATGCCAGGGCTGAGGAAGAAAGATCGGCTCTCAAAAGCTCTAAGAAACTCCTGAACTTCCCGAAGGCCATTCCGTGCCTTGTCCCTACCAATATTGTGGGGGTACCATGAGTGTTTAGGGGTCCAGGGCTGATTAGGTCCCTACCAATGCTGAAACCAAACCTACTCCCTTGTCTGAGGTGTGTTTCACACTCATTTGACAATGCTGCACGCTAGAACTGAAGTCTGTGTTGACCGGCGGACATAGAGGGATGCTGAGTGAAGGACCAAGGCCCAGTTTCTCGGTACCTTTCACCAGCAGCTTGGCAGAGGATACCAGGCTGCCAGCCTTGAAGGTGACCGTGCCTGAGTCATTGGCAGCCAGGTTCTTTAGGACAAGCGTGTGGACATGGTGGCCGGCGACCCCGATGTCGGCGAAGGCACCCTGCCGCAGCCGGGTGCCATCCAGCCACCACTGGGCATCCCTGGCAGCCCCGCGGGACAGCTCGCAGGAGAACAAGGCCTGCTCCCCCACAAAGACATCTGTGCTCTTCAAGCCAGACACGATCCGCACCTCCTCCACTGTGGAGCGAGCCACAGAGAGTACGCCTCAGCCATTTTGGGTCACATGACCCTCATTAGGGTTTTCTGGAAGATTTCACTCTTGCCTGATATACTGAGGCAATCCACTGTGAACCTTTCCCACCTTCAAAAACTCTGGAACAGCATCATTCAGAGTGAGCATGTCCAACCTGGTCTTTAGCTTATTTTACTCTAACATTACCATTCCAAGGGTACATGGAGTGCTTCCTAACTTACTGGTTTTTACCACATAATGGGTAGTGTGGCTCATCTTGTCTGGAGTGTCTATGTACCTTTCACTGTTAGGGATGCCGTGGTCAGCTGGTCTCCAGCATCGCAGGTATAATAACCACTGTCCTCAGGTTGGAGGTCATGGACATGAAGCTCCAGCTGCCGGCCGTCCTGCTTCATCTCGTACTTTCTTCCGGGCTGCAGAACCACGCCTCCCTTCCTCCACTCCACGGGGGCGCCAGGCTTGGAGAGCTCGCATCGCAGGATGGTGCTGCCGCCCTCCACTGCCTCCAGGCTCTTCAGCTCCTGCTGGAAGAAGATGGGCTCCCCTAGAGGCAACGTGTTGAAAGAGAAAAAGTAAATGGATAAGACAATGTTGGGGAAAAATAGCTGGCGGGAATATGGAAGGAGGAGGAAAAGAAATAGGGGCATTGTTTTTGTGGAGTTTCATAGCTGAAAATGTTCTTCAGATCCATTCTTCCAAATTGGCATGAAGATCATGCATAGTCCTACAAAGATGCAACCCCTGCCTTCGTAAACCTCAGTGGATTGGTGGGAATTTCCAGCATAGATGCTGTGGGTTTATTTTAAAGAGTCATGCACCTCCACCTCCACCCTTGAATACATCATACCAGTCTGCTCTTTCCACAGCTGTTTTGCCTTTAAGTCACCAGGCCATCTGCCTTTGAAGCTCTGCTACATTAGAAGCTCATACTGTATGGGCCAGGAAGCCTTAAAGTCTTTCTTTGATCAAAACAGAAGAGCCTGCCGGGAAAACACTTCACGTTCTCAAAAGTTTTGTATTAGCCGCACCGCTAACCACACCGATCTTCTTGTCTGCTGCAGCACTCACCAGTGTCTTTATTGCATCACAAAGGGCTTTACAGGATTTGTTACAAAAGAAAGCCATGGAAGATGCAATAAAGAAGAAGAGGGTGTGGACAATAGGGAAAAGTATATATACCTATATAAAAGTAATTTCTAGAACTATAACCATGCCGTTACATCTAAAGAAGTAGCAGCAGTCAGCATAAGCATTAGGGCGGTCAAGGGCCAGCCATGCGAGGAACAATGCTGAGATAGAGCTTCTCATGGCTAAGAGACAGGACGAAGGCGAGCCATCGATGGAGCAAGACCACCTTCCGCCTTCTGCCTTCTTGCCTCTACCTTTGGGCTTGTCCAGCACCAGCAGGTTGGCAGCAGTCCTCTCCTCGCCCACTGTGAAAGCCACGAGGCCTGAGTCCTCTGGCGTGAGCATCCTCAGCACCAGCCTGTGCCTACATCCCTGGCAGCACATCTGGTTGAGGTCGTTGTTCTGCAGAACGTTGGCGCCCAACCGCCACTCGACCTCCGTCACGTCAGGCTGGGAGAGCTCGCATTCGAATCGCGCATCTTCGCCTGTGGTCACAGCTACGTCACGCAGCCTCTCTGTGATGCGCACGCATTCTGCCGGAGAAGATGGCCATGGGGCAAGAATGTGGGGAGGGGGCTCCATACCTTCCCCTTTGACAGCTTAAGTATTTCCACACTTGCAGTGGCAACACTTAGCCAAACTCAAATAACGGAATACCCTAAACCAGGGGTCTCCAACTCCGGTCCAGGAGAGTTACTATCCAGTAGGGTTTCTATTCTGCCTGGCTTCTGATGAGTCACACCAGTTCCTGGTATTTACTTGAGTATAGGTGTGACTCATCAGAAGTCAGGTAGGATAGAAAACCTACTGGACAGCAGCTCTCCTGGACCGGAGTTGGAGATCCCTGCCCTAAACAGATCAACTGTGTACACGCAAGTATACGCAGACAGTTCACCTACGCTGAGAAGGTGTAAATATATATTTTAGTGTTGATATCATGTTAGCAGAATTACAGAAGTACATATTTTCAAAATTAGCTTCTCATTTTGCCAAGACTCCAAAAAATGTCACCTATCACATAAAACTTGAGCCGAGAAGACATATAGGGGTTTATTTTCAAGATATGAGCAAGATGTCCTGTTCTTGTCTGGCTCTCAAAAGTATCTTTGACAAAAGTTTATTTGGAACACAAAAATATGGAGGTCCTAATCAAAAGGGATAAAAAACATGTTCAAAAAAAAAAAAAGAGTAATAAAAGGTTTCAGTGTTAGATTTCGGGTAGCATGAGTTCAGCCGCAAAGTTAAGAGTTGCTCAATGTCAAAGACCAGAAGGGGAAGCTGAGGAAACAAACCAACTACCTGTTCAAATGGGTAGTCAAGGTTGCCCAGTTACCTTTGACTGTCAGTTTGGCCTTGCTTGTCCTGTCCCCAACACTGCAGCTGTATTCACCAGCATCTTCAGAGGCTAGCTGGTGGATGACCAGCACCCGCGTGGATCCCCGGTGTTGAAAGGTATACTTCCTCCCCTGAGACAACACCCGAGAGCCCTTCTTCCAGGTCACCAGGCCTTCAGGACTGGAGATCTCACAACACAGAGAGGCTTCACCACCCTCCTTTGCCTCCACACTCTCCAGCTCTTTGTTGAAGACCACAGGAGCCACTGCCAGGACAGAAAGGATTGAAAGAAAGGCCACCATTTGTTACGAGCAGTCCTCAAAGGTCATTGTTGCATCAGATCTGCACTGTTTACCAAACCAGTAAAAACACTGCAGTGCCCACAATTGCTGTAAGATCTAAACTTGACCACACGAACAGTCTTGTTTCTCATATCCAATTTCACTTACCACACAAAGAAAGTCTACTGTCGCTTCTAAAATGTATTTGCAAACCTCGCCGCCATTAATGAGCATTATAGAACATATCTCCAGAAGAAGCACAGAGAATGATGGCCATCACTGTTCTCGGTCTTTCTGTTAATTACAGACATTGGTCCACAAGACTGAAGGCAAGCATTTTGAAAATACAGAAAATACTGACGTGCCTTGTGTCAAAGAGCACAAAGAGATCTTTAGCCGCAAATTACAGCTAAATAGGGCAGATTAGAAGAAACTGGGCACGTGGACTGCAGGAAGACAAAGGAGCCTCAATGCCATTAGTCAACACAGAAGTGTCAAGACAGAACCTTCTTCAGCTTTGACAGGAAGACACAAACACAAGCACACAAACAAATACACAGTAGCACCATCGCAAACAATCAAGGTGGAAGTAAGATCAAAAGCACCAGTGAAGGTGACCACCAACTGGTTTGAGCTGATTGCCTCCTCTCTGTCCTCCACACACCTTTGACCTTGACTGAGGCTGTGGTCTGCTGGTGTCCCGTATCGCAGGAATAGTCTCCCGAGTCCTCTAGCGTGAGATTGTTGATCACCAGTTCGACCTTTGTGCCCTCTGACCTTATCTTGTGCTTGCCGTTGGGTGTCAGGACAAGGCCTCCCTTCGTCCACTCCACGTGTGCCCCAGGCACAGACAGTTCACAGCTCAGAGTGGTGCTGCCCCCTTCTTGTGCCTCCTGGCACTGCAGACCACGAAGGAACATCACTTTGGCAGCTGTGCATGAAGAACGAAGAAGGAGGCTTCCTCTTTAGTGTCATGATGTCAAAAAAAGCATAAAATGGGACAAAACATCTGAAGCAACAGGGTAGAGAACCCTAACATTGTGGGATGACAAATGACCCAGTCCCAGTCACTGCCAGTTGATGGACAAAAGACTAAGTAAAGTACAAGGAACAAAAAGAGTTGCAAGCATAAAAAAATATGTGAGACTATTTTCTCAATAATCAAAGGCCCAGATCAAGGACCTTTGACCGGGAAGATTTATGAGCCTTTATGGTTCCAGGTGGCACCAAGCAGACAAGATTTTGATGGATGTCACAGTGCCACCTCACCTGTGACCACCAGCTGAGCAGAAGACGTGTGGGCGCCCATGACAAATGCAATGGTGCCCGAATCTTCTTGGGTGACATTTCGGAGAATAAGGGTGTGCACTTTGCCTTCCACCTCGATCAAGTTCATCTCATTATTTTGCAGTGGTACGCCCTGCAGCATCCACTGGACCTGAGCAGCGTTGTCATGGGAGACGTGGCACTCAAACCGCACGTCGTCTTCCTCACGCACCAGGCGGTCCTCTAAGCCCTTAACTATGGTGACCTCCAGCTCTGTTTTGAAAAGTCCATTAGACACCCAGGGTAAGACAGAGGACTGTACATACACACACACACACACACACACGTTCTATCTTACAGATCAAAGCTGGGAATTAAAATTTGAGTCGGTGCAAGAAACTTCCATAGATCCGAGTACACTTAGCTATTCTAAATCAAAAAGCAAGAATAAATAACACGCAATCAAACATTCCAGTTCCAAGATCCAAAAATGAGGGGAAACACAAAAAAATAAGCAGATAAAGAGATCTGGACTTGATGGAAAGAACATGAACAAGAGATCCCCCCATTGTGATGAAAATGGATGGTGTTGCTTCATGAAATGCCATGTAGAAAGTAAGTTTGCACACTGATGGCAGCCATGTCATCTCCTTGTCAAAGTGACAAGCAGAACTCAGTGACATCACGGAGAAGAAACCGCTTTACCCACAATGCTCGGCATGAACACAAGTGGGTGACACTGGCCAATGAAACAATAGAGATGAGGTAAGAGTGCCAGAGTGAGTAGAAAAGGAACAGAACCATTCGGATGAGATGCTGATAGGCGATTCTTGGCAAGAGTCATTCGTTGCCCCCCCCTACCCTGCACGGACAGCCTGGCTGACGTGGTGTGGTCCCCAGTGTCACAGGTGTATTCTCCAGAGTCTGCCACCTGCAGATTGTAGACGACCAGCTCCACCACGACACCCTCCTGCTTCACCTGGTACTTCCCACTGGACTCGAGGGGCTGGCCGCCACACATCCAGTGCACCTCCGCGCCAGGCTTGGTGACCTCACAGCGAAGGTTGGCACTAGCGCCCACCTCCCCCTCCACGTTCTCCAGTGGCGCCCGGAAGAACACCGGCAGTGCTGCGGAGAGCGTGATGCACGCCAAAGGGCGCTTTTTCCACTTTCTAAATGCACCCTCCACATGACCAAGAAAACACGACTTTTCTCCATATTCATCAGCCTCGATCACATTCACCATATTAGTAGCCTAAATGTAGTTTGGCGCAACTTTCTACGCACATCATTCTAGTTTCTTTAAAGGATAATTCAACTGAAAACATGCCCATTGAAAGATAATTAAAAATGTTTTGGCCTACCCTTCACTGTCAGCTTGGCTGTACTTTGCCGATTCCCTGCATCGCATGTGTAATCCCCAGAGTCCTCTGGATCTACACAGTGGATGACTAACTGGACATGGCGGCCATCTTGGCTCATTTCGTACTTGGAGCAGGGGCAGAGATCCACCCCTCCTTTCCTCCATTCCACTGGGGCCCAGGCCTTCGATAGCTCACAGCGGAGGACAATGCTACCCCCCTCCTCAACCTCCTGATTCTTCAGCTCTTGCGTGAAAACAACTGGGAGGGCTGCCATTTAACGGAAGATATATTAAAAAATCAGCCCTTTTTTATAATATATCTAAAACACATGATGCATACAAGGACACAACAACTTTATAATGAAATGCAAATAAGATTTCAGTTAAAGGTTACTTCTACATATATTCCCCTTCTTCGAATAGCAAAGCACTGGAAAGATGAGTATATACAAAAATAAAAGACAAGAGAACAGACTGAAACCGATCATGTATAGCTACCACTTCCATTAACGGAAATGACTTGATAATTCTCCCATTTCTTGGTGGTTAGAAGTGGAATACAAAATTTCTGCTACGAAAGGGACATTGTTTTGAATGCAGCTTAGCTGTAAAAGGGACATGGGTTGAGACACACACCTTTGCAAAAGTTTGTTACATGACGAACAACAAGGGACCTGTATCACAAAGCAGGATTTCTTGCTTAGCTGGAGAACCTGTGGGATTTAAGGTATCCCAGTTTAAATGGACTTTATCTTCATTCACTTTCAAATAGCATAGACCCGCCAGACTACCATAAATCTGATAAATCATCCAGCTAAGCAAGAAATCCTGCTTCATGAAACAGGCCCCAGCAATCCCACATGCTTAAAAACTATTCAGTTCCCGATGAGCAAAGAATCATGAGTCACAAAACTGCTCCACTGACTAACTGCAAATGCCACAAGCATATCCATTACACGCACAAGTAATTTTCTTGTAAGTGATATGCTGGGAGAAGTACAGCAGGAAAGCCACATAAAGAATGATGGTAGATCAGGAGAACCTACATGGCATCCAAGTTTTTTGTCTTGGAATTTTATGTTTAGAAGAAAATCCATGAAAATCTTCTGAGCATGAACATGTTTTTGAGGACAGAAACCGCACTACGATGAAATGACTGTTGGGATGTAGACAATCAGGGTAGACAGTTTCCTACCGTTGACTTTGACTGAAGCCACGCTGGTTTTCTCCCCTACGTCACAGACGTAGTCACCCATGTCGTCCATCTTCAGATGGTGGACCACAAGTTCCACCGTGGCTCCAATTTGCTTTATTTCATACTTGTCACTGGGTTGCAACACCAAACCACCCTTCCTCCACTCCACCGGAGCTCCAGGTTTGGAGATCTCACAGTGCAGGCTGACACTGCCGCCTTCTTCTGCCTCCTGGTCCTGAAGCTCACGTTTAAAGATAACTGGAAGAGCTGGAAGCCCAAAGGAATATAAGGCAGGTTTTCAATTCCAGACTTTTCTTTTGCACGTAAATAAGAAATGGTTAACAGCTGCTATGTAGAAAATAGCCTTTTTAAGTTATAAAATTCCTAAGTTTGTTTCCGTGGTGATTGAACATTGAATGACATCCCCTTAGAAGGTGCTTGGGAGGCAAACTGGAGTCTCAAAGATGAAGATATCATAAAAGCAATCAGATTTAACTTAGGCTCCCAGTTATATTACAGCTACAGTTCTCCTTCCTGGGCAACACAACCTACAAGAAATGCATATCATGAACTGCAGTCAGACATAACCAAGAGAAAAATATTTGCTATGCACAGGAGGAAAATATAACAAAATATAATTATTCATAAATTATTTATAATGCAACACAAAGGATAACTCAGAATCTGTAATAAAACCCGCAGAATGATGAAATCTCTCCCACATCGGGAACCCGTCTCCATAAAGCTCACTGAATATGGGACGATATGAGGCATGAGGTGACGAGGCGGGATCATCAACTCCAGACATCAGGAAATGTAAATCCCAGGTGACTGTCCTACCGTTGACTTTGACTTCACACGTGCTGTGTTTGTCCCCAGCGCGGCAGCTGTAGCTTCCTGCATCTTCAGGTGTCAGGTCACTGATCTTCAGCTCAGCACAGGTGTCCTTCTGCTCTATGTGGATTTTTCCTCCAGACCTTAGTGGCTCTGATCCTTTCCTCCACTCCACCGGGGTTCCGGCTTTAGAGATCTCACAGCGCAGGGTAACGCTGCTGCCCTCACCGGCCTCCTGGTCCTTCAGCTCACGTTTGAAGGTGATGGGAAGAGCTAACAAACCAGATTTAAAATTAGGCTCCCAAGTTTGGGAGAAAAGTCAAATTTGTGCAGCAAGAATAACAGAGTCTTCTAAAGGACAGTCACACGTCTCCCTATAACTCAACCAGAAGAATATCACCATTTCATTTAAATGCAACAAGTACTATGAATCCAATGATTTTTTTTGGAATAAAGCAAAAGGAAATTGTTCAATTAGGAAGCTTAGAGATACACCAAACTTGATCTTAATATCCATCCATCCATCCATCCATCTTCTGTAGCCACTTGTCCTATTCAGGGTTGGATCCAGAGCTTACAGGCGCAAGGCAGGGAACAACCCAGGATGGGGCACCAACCCATCGCAGGGCTCAGTCACACACCATTCACACCTGTGGGCAATTTGGTCACTCCAATTAACCTCAGCATGTTTCTGGATTGTGGGGTGGGGGGGACTGGAGTAGCCTGAGGAAACCCCTCGATGACACTGGCTGAACATGCAAACTCGTCACACATGGAGCCATGGTGGAGACTCAGACCCCGATCCCTGAGCTGTGAGGCAACAGCGCTAACCGTGACGTCGCCAAGCCACCCCTGATATTAATATCTTCAGTCATATCGCACTTCTTGAGACATCATAAGCAGAAGAACGATGTGAAAGGATAACAGCCGTGTGACTAAGATGACGCCGAACAAACAGAAGTGCAAGAAGAAGGAACGAGACGAACAACAAGTGGTAAAAAATGAGGCATACAGTGCGAGTCCTTTTTCCTACCGTTGACTTTGACCTCACACATGCTGTGTCTGTCCCCAGCGTGGCAGCTGTAGCTTCCTGCATCTTCAGGTGTCAGGTCACTGATCTTCAGCTCAGCACAGGTGTCCTTCTGCTCTAAGTGGATTTTTCCTCCAGACCTTAGTGGCTCTAATCCCTTTCTCCACTCCACCGGGGCTCCGGATTTAGAGATCTCACAGCGCAGGGTAACGCTGCTGCCCTCACCGGCCTCCTGGTCCTTCAGCTCACGTTTGAAGGTGATGGGAAGTTCTGGGGTTCCATGAAGTGTGAAATATAACAAGCATTGCAGATGTGAATGAACAATGAACTAGATCCACAGAAATGAAAACAACGATTCCAAAGCAGAAGTAGGCAGAGAGAATGTGGCATCTCCAAGTTTACAGCAGAGTCAGTAAAGAGCAACTAAAAAGCTCAAGAACTGGGGTCATGAGGTCAACATAGGAAAAGATAAAGAATCAAAACCAGCACAAAATGTGCCTTTGATCATTCTCTGCAATTCCACCAGGGGCCGCTGCCTCCTTATCCATAATTCCACCTTGGAGAATTATGTTGACCTATTTTTGTTCCTTATATCAAAATATCACTCTCGTTAATTCTTCAATCAGGCAACCATACCAGCATATCGACAGCAAACTTTAAATAATATTTTTTCCATCTGTATTTTCTAGTGATCTATTCACTGAACAAACGTTTATTAAAGTGCCGATAGTTTCCAGTCGCTCTGTAAAACCAAGGATTCCTCCTACCGTTGACTTTGAGGTGTGCCGAAGTCACTTGGCTTCCACATACGCAGCTGTAGTCTCCTGCATCCACATGTGCCAGGTCAGTGATCTTCAGCTCAGCACAGGCCTCTCTGAGCTTCATATGAAACTTGTCTCCAGACTTGAGCACATCTTTGCCCTTCCTCCACTCCACTGTAGACCCAGGTCTGGAGAGCTCACACCGCAATGTAACGCTGGTGCCCTCGTTGGCACTCTGATCCTTCAGTTGCTCTTTAAACGTTACGGGAAGCGCTGGAGATGTTTCAGACGTCAGTAAAAATGACAATGAAAAAATGGACGCAAAACCTCTATCAATTACAAAAAAAACCAATGCTCTTGCTCAAAGTTGTAATTAACAGAGTTAATAACCAGTTAGATAACCAGTTAGAGTTAATAACCAGTTAGAAGGAGTTATACACTGATGACGAAACTAACAAAAAACAAGACAATGTACACAGCCAGACACGCTCAATATCAGGGGTAGGCAACCCTGATCCCAGAGTGCCGATATCCAGCAGGTTTTCCATCCTACCTGGACTGTGAGGAACCTGATCTCAGGTAGATAGTCAGTCATCGGATACCGGCATTCTAGAATCAGGGTTGCTTAGTCCTGCTCTGCACTCATAGTCCATTTTTTGGTTAGTCAATCACGTGAACAAGTCTACCAAGTTCACAGAAAAACATTACATTCTTCACCCAGGAGAAACAAAAATAGTGTGACGGACACAGTGGTGACATCCTACCATTGACCTGGACGTTAGCCGTGGTCCGCTTGTCCCCACATTGGCAGCAGTATTCCCCACTGTCTTCAGGCTTAACATCACTGATCTTCAGCTCAACGGAGCAGTCCTTCTGCTTCATCAGGAACTTGTCTCCCGACTTCAGCACCACTCCACCCTTCCTCCACTCAACGGGGGCTCCAGGTTTAGAGAGCTCGCAGCGCAGGGTGACGCTCTCGCCTTCCTTGGCCTCCACGTTCTTCAGCCTTTCCTTAAAGTCGGCAGCCGCAGCTAAAATCAATAAGCACCGTTTTACTGTGCAAAATCGAACACAGCAACATTTCCCAAAGGTGATGGTGAAAAGCACAGCTGCTTCATGGATGGTGTCTGGGAATTGTCTCTCAAAAATCTTGATTTTCAAACCCTAAAACCAAAACTATCCCCATGACACTTCTTGTGAAGGATATCCTCTTATTTCCAAAGATTTTCTATACCCGCTTGTCCTATTCAGGGTCACGGTGCCCCGGAGTCTATCCCAGAAGTGTCAGGGTCAGCCCCTGCTGTGGTCCTTCCGTGTCCCTTCGCCGTTTGACCAGCAGGTGTCGCTGGTCATCCCGTCCTTCATGTTAGTCTTTGTTCTCCCCAGTTGCCTGTCTGGTCATGTGGCTCAATGTGTTGAGCATGTGGTTGTCTGTGTACCCTTCTGTCCTGTGTATGAATCCCACCTCCTCTGTTTTTGTATTTGGCTCCCTAGTGTTTCATTTGAGTTTCTTTAGTTCTTGTGTCTGATTTTGTAGTTGGTTTTGGTTTTGTTCCTTGTGCCCCTGCTTGTGTCTTTACCTGTTTAATTCCCTAGTGTTGGTTTCTGTTTCCCTGTGTCCTTGGTTAGTTCTTAGTTTCCCTGTGTTGCTCCTTTGAGTTTATTAGTTTCACCTGTGCCCCGTTTCCCTGGTCTTTGTTAACTAGCCTCACCTGTCCTGTGTTAGTCTCGTTACCCCTTTAGTATTTTAGTTTCTGCTTCTGTTTAGTTCTTCAGTGGTTCATTGTGTTGTTGTTGGTTTGTATTGATTGTGGTTGAGTTGTATAGAGAAGTTTGTGTGATGTGTGTATTTTGCTTACCTGCCCAGTTTTTGTTATTTAGTCTTTATTTATCCCCTTAAGTGTTTGACCCTCGTGGTCCTTTTGGTTTCACTGTGTTTGTAGTGTTTTCTGTTTTATTTACTAAACCCCTTCTGTTCCTGGAGCCGCCAGTGGGTCGTCCACCCCTTTTTGTGCCCGATGCCTCGCTCCCGCGCCCGAGCCGCCCGCGCCCATGACAAGAAGCACAAGGCAGGGAACAACCCAGGACAGGCTGAACTCCACACACATGGAGCCAGGGCAGAGACTCGAACCCTGGTCTCCAGAGCTGTGAGGCACACATGATCTGTCCATTTTTATATATATCTATATCTATATCTATATATCTATCTTATACATAATATTATAGTACTTATACTATTTCATTAGTCAAAACTAGTTCGGTATCAGACAGAGACAGACATTTTATATAACACGTAGTTAACAGATTAAGTGATACGACATGCTGAGGAGTTAATCTTTCATGGACAATTCATTGAAACCCTAATCATTCTACTTTGTGATTAATATTTAAGAAAATAATGAACTAATGGCAAGCAATAAAGCGACACGGAAGTAAAATATCTGTAGGTAACAAAAAAGATGATTTGGCGTTCTCTCCTACAAAAGATGGCTGATTTGGATGCAGCCCAGCAGATCCTGAAACCAGGCCATGGACAAACAGGAGACCTACATTCTTCAGTTGGAGGTCTAAGCCTTCTTGTGGTTAACAATTCAGGCATTTCCCCTTTCCTAAGTTTCTAATATTCTCAGCGTCACTCTCAGGGTATCCTTCCCACATACATGTTATGATTTTCACAGAAGTATTAACATATCCATCAGTCCAAAACAGTATCCAAAAGTACTGTATATATTGCAGGGATGCATAAATTGTGTAGTGTGCTTGAGTGGTGTTTCTCAACCAGTCCTCTGGGACCCCCAGACAGCCCTCTTATTCGTTCCCTTCCAGCTCCCAGCCAATCACGAACGGCAAATACCTGGTACAGGGGTGTTGGGAGCTGGGAGGGAGCAAAAATGTGCACTGTCTGGGGGTCCCTGAGGAGTGGGTTGCTCCAGAGTACCAATTCCGTTGGAAGTATAGCAGCTAAAAATTGCTGGGTTATAAAAAGAAGAGAAGAGCATCATTCCGGCAGACAGAAAAGGGGATTGCAGTGTAAGAGGAGAGAAGAAAACAAATATACGAAAGAGTGAGGTGACTGAGCTCCATGATGTGGTTTTGAAAGAAAGTCTTCCCTTACCCTTCACTGTCACCAGGGCTTTGGTGGTGGCCAGCCCTGCCTCACACTCATAAACCCCTGTGTCCATCTCCTCCAGCTTCCTAACCGTCAGCATGGCCTCCTTGTCAGAGCGACTCACAGCCCACTTGCTGGAGTCCAGGATCAAGCATCCATCCTTGTACCACTGGACGTCACAACTCTTAGAGATCAAGCATGACAGCACCAAGTCCTCACCCTCCGTGGCCTCATAGTCCTCCAGTCCTTTAAGAATCACTGTGGACCTCTCTAAAAAACACAAACCAGACAAGGCTCTTCTTTGTAATTCTAGGTAACGTTCATGTCACTCCACTGCTTCTCAGAAAACCTCCCAGTCTCCCAGTTTTGTTTAATAGGTAAACCAGTTCTAAAACAGAATGTGCAGTCTCTATTACACTCTGTTACTGTTTAAATCAGCCGAAATAACTGTGCTTATAATCAGGCAAAGAGGAGCAGATTTTAAATAATTGTGATATGAATAATACAAAAATTTCAACACAAAAGCAGATGCGACGGAGCATTTAGAGCTGCAAAATATGGACACCAAGGATGAAACAAAGACAGAGCAGTGTCTTATGACGCTACAGAATGGTGTGGCGCTCTTCGACTATCCACTGGGTGCAAGAAGGTCGAGAAGGTATTAATTCCAGTGCAAAAAAGAATCAAAGAGAGCAGAAACTGAAAGCTTCCTGGCAGAACTTTCATGATGATGGGGTCAAGACAACAAAGCATTGGAATGCTAGGCGATGAAAGGCATGGTTACCTTTGACCTTCAATGAGGCATATGCAGTCTTATCCCCCGCCACTACAGAGATGGTCCCCGAGTCTTTTTGTGCCAGCTTCTTGACATTAAGGGTATGGTACCCACCAGGAAAAGCTTGGATTTCATTGAGGTCATTGTTGTGCAGGGGAGTTTTGTCAAGGTACCACTGCACGGCGACGTAATCACCAGGGCTAATGCGACACGTAAATGCGGCCACATCCCCCTCGAAACACTCAACATCTGCCGGTTCCTCTGTGATTTGCACTTTCTGACCTGGATGCAACATAAACATTGAAATGCATACCGATGACCTGACAAGATTCAATGGACTGGATTTCTCTCATTTTTAGAAGAATACTATCCATGTCAAAACAATCAAAACCAAAAGGAATTCAAGGAATTCAACAAAAGAGCAACATGCATGACAAACTGCAGATATTACAAGAGAAAGGTAGGGGAATCGCAGAAATTTCTCCCTTCCAAGCATCCAGCTGAAGTCTGAACTGAGACCACCACTATAAGACGATAGCATGCAAACAACCAACACAATACCAGACAAGGGTCATCATACCATACCAACCAGCTGAAGATAAAACATGAAACAAGAGAAAACAGCAATGCCAGAATTGCAGAATCTTCTAAACAAGAACTGAGCAAACAAGATGACTGTGTGTAGATAAAAATATATATATTTAACATAACAGCTGAACACAGCTATGCAACTGATTCAAAAACAGCTTCAAATGCACATAAACCTGATCTGTCATACAGCCCTTTTTTTGAAGAAACACCACAACAGACATGCATAAAACCAACAATAATGAATCCACTGGTAATTTATACTGCAGTAAGCAAAACATGAGCAACAGTTAAAAGGCCAGACATTCCCAGAAGTCTAGCTAACGTTATATGACGCTTTTCTCAAAGTTGGCAGACAACGTTCTTATTGTAACATTGAATGTTTCCATACTTTAATTGTAGCATTTGATAAATAGTCCTAGAATGAAAAATTGTTAGCAGGGATATTTCTTGAACATTCCACAGCTTCAAGTCATCTTGGATTTCAAACCAGGCACCATATCCCAAGGTCCAGATACCAATCAGAGTACTAACTTCTGACCTTTAACTCAGCGCCTAGTGCCGACTAAACCGTGGACCACTCAGGTCTTACCTTGCACCACTAATCGCGCCCGGGTCTGAGCAGAGCCCACGTCACAGCAGTAGGTGTCACAGTCGCTCTTCTCCAGTCCCCGGATGTTGAGGGCGAGGACGTTCCCCAGCTGCCTCATCTCGTACCTGCCGCCCGCCTTCAGTTCTGTCATTCCCTTCCGCCAGGTCACCTTGCTTGCAGGCCATTTGGTTTCACACTCCAGTGTTGCTGTGCCCTTCTCCTCAGCCTGGATGTCCTGCAGCTCCCTTGTAAAGATATGTTCCCTCTCTAGAGGTGGGATTTAAAGAGAGTAAATTTGACCCCTCCTGACAGATGAAAATGATGACAAGGGCATTGGGTAAAAGCTTCCCCACACAAACCCAGAAAATATGAGTACTGTACGCTTTCAGCATACATAGAATTGCAGCGTTATGGAGACCCTCTATCTTGCCTTTGACTTCCAGCTTAGCTGTTGTAGTGGCACCATCGATCTCGCATGTATACTCCCCAGAATCCTTAGATGTGGCTCCACGAATCACCAGTTTTGCAACGGCTTCCATCTGGGTGATGTCATACTTCTGTCCCTTCCGTATAGCCTTACCATCCTTGGACCATTTGATGCTGACACCTGGCTGGGTGGTCTCACAGCTAAGCTCAACATCCTCACCCGGAGCAACACAGAGGTTCTGTAGCTGTCTGGTCACAACAATGGCTTTCCCTGTGGGAGAAAAGTGAGAAACTCAGACATGGCACCAACTACGTCAAGAAGAAGAGCGGAATTGAGACAACTCACCCTTCACAGATAATGTAGTTGAGGAACTGAGGCCTTTGATGGTGAAGACGACATCCCCTGCTTCAGCCGCAGTCACTCCCTTGATGGTCAATGTGTACTTGCGGCCCTTACTAGAGATTTGGTAGTGACCGCCGTGAGTCACGGGTTTTCCATTCACTGTCCAGGAGCATTGGTCAGTACTTTCCCGCGATAAGATACACTCAAAGCTACAGTTCTCACCCTCCTTGACCTCCACTGATTTCAGTCGTTTGGTGATGCCGATGGTCAAGTCTGCAGGTAAGCCAAGGAGAAAAATTAGTGGCCTTCAACAAGATCATCAGAGGAACAATCAACATAGACAGTTCATTGCAATGTCTGAAATATGCATTCCAATCAATTTTTAAAGGTTTTTAAGATAAGATTAACTTAATTGATCCCAGGGAGAAATTCTGGGATTTACCGAATACTTCTCGTTTTTGTGCTTCCTCTACTCAGGTTACCAAATACGTACCCTGTACCGTGACCTTCGACTTGGCCAGGTCTGTGCCAAGGTCACAGGTGTACTCCCCTGCGTCTTCCTGTGTGAGGTCATGAATTTTAAGACCCAAAGACTTTCCTGCATGCAAGAGCTCATACTTGTCACTTGCAGCCAGGACTACACCATCCTTTCTCCAGACGGGGGAGACTCGTGGCTTTGAGGCCTCACATTCCAGAGTAATCGTGCCCTGCTCCTCCCCCATCACGTCATCCAGGGACTTGAGGAACACTGCACGCTTCTCTGGGGGAATGAATAATATTGAGGGCATCATATAGTAAATCCTCAAGGAGTTGCCAACATTCTTCAATCAGTTTATGTATTGGCACCACTGCAGCAAAACTGTAGGATCCCAAATAGGGAAGCAATATATTTTCCCCGTGGCCCTTAAGATGACCCAAACAACTTGGCTTTTAACAGAACTTACATGTCCCAATAGAACCACTTATTACTCAAGTCTCAAGTGTGCTACTTTATTCCAAACTATGGCGTCATTAGTAAAGGACCAGCAGCTGGATCCATCATTGCTGATTCTCACCTTTGACCTTGAGGGAGGCAGATTCTTTGATCTCCCTGACCTTTATGGTGATGGTGCCCCCATCTTCTGGTGCCAGGTGCCTCAAGGTAAGGGTGTGTGCTTTTCCCACGTGTTGGATTTCGTTGACGTCATTGGAGCAGAGCACCCTGTCGCTGAGCAGCCACTGCAACTCCTCGTCGGCATAGTTCAACTCACAGGTGAAGGTAGCATCACCATCTTCATCCACCTGGACATCTTGCAGGTGCTTGGTGATCCTCACTTTCCTCTCTGTGGTTACAGGGGAAAGGCTATAATTTGTAGATACACTAACAGTTTTAAGTGAACCATAACAAGGAGAAAATGGAACTCCACAATGGGGGAATCCACAATGGGGGAACCTGAGATATTTAAGTTATTTTTACTTTTTTAACTTCTACTGAGACAAAATAGCGATTGACAATATGGAAAAACACCAGCTACTCTGGGTTTCAGACTTCTGACCTTCCACTGTGAGGGTTGCCTTGGTCTCTGCTGACCCAGCCTGGCAGCGGTATTCTCCAGAGTCTCCACCCACCAGGTCCATGATGATGAGTTCCACACGGGCTGCGTCTTGCCTCATCCTGTACTTCTTAGAAGTCTCCAGGAGAGTCTGGCCTTTATACCAGCAGACTTCCTTGGCTGTGGCGGAGAACTTGCAGCTAAGGGTGACAGACTCTTTCTCCTTGGCTGTGGCATTTTTCATGGGCTGTGCAACCTCCAGGGGGCGCTCTAATCAAGAAAGCACAATAAATATGCAGTTATGCATCAATGAATGTTTTTTTCTCTAATAAGTATTTGTTGCCTGTATCATCTTAATAGTTACAATTTATCAGATGGTTTTATCAAACTTGAAGTACAATTGAAAGTAGGGCCAACAGTCCCTGAAGCAGAGCAACTAAAGGTTACTGGCTTTGTTCAGGGACCCAAATACTGGTGACCTCCTGACCACAGGCATTAGTGTGTTAAGGCACTGAACCACACACACCATTCCCGAAGCACGCTTCAAAATAAAATTCATTAAGAAACTGCAACAATACTGCATGGGTACAAAGTTTCCAAAACCACAATTCAGTGCAACCTGCATGAAAATGTCTTGCAGAAAAGGTTGAAAGTTGAAAGTGAATGTTGTTTTGAGATTATTCAGTTATTTTCATTTTTAGCCAAAAATTAGGATTTCATCATTTTGCTCATTTGACTTCCTCTGCCGGCCCCTGGAGGATGGGCTCCCCCTCTGAGTCTGGATCCACCCAAGGTTTCAATCCAAGAGTTTTTCCTTGCCACTGTCACCTCTGGCTTGCTCACTGGGAGCTTTGGGCAGGGATAATGTTAAGCACGTTGAGACAACGTAACGTTGTGAAAATGCGCTATACAAATAAACCTGAATTGAATTATCTGTTTTGCTGTGAAAGACCAAAGGCTTGAGTCCAACAGTTTCCATCTGATGCCCATCTCCAATAACTTCTACCTGCTATCTGAATAAAATCCATTGGCATTGCTCTTCAAATGCATTTACTTCCTTCATCAGGAATGTCCATTGTCTTATTAGCCAGAAAGCCTCCTACCAGAGAATCCAACTGCAAACATGACAGATCCAAACACAACGACCCTCCATGATGACAAAGTACTGCCACGCTTACCTTTCACAGTAAGCTGAGCCACTGATTTGCTCTTTCCTGCTGTGAACTGCACAGGTCCCGACATTGTAGGTCTAGTCTTCCTGAAGGTAAGCCGGTGGATTCTTCCATCCTGCTCGATCTGCACGTCGCTGCCCGCCTTCAGCGGCTCTCCGCTCAGCAGCCACTTGGGCGCCTTAACTGCATCCACGCTGATCTCAACCTCAAAGCGCGCCGGCCCAGGCTCTGTCACCTCGACCGCGCTCAGCTCCCGCACGATGCTGATCGCTTGCTCTGGGAGGACCGGGCGTGGGTAGAAACCAGCGACAAACCTTAGCGTTTAATCACCATTTCAATTACACGCAAAGGCCACCAGGTGGCTTAACTGCAGGTGGCTTCATTTAATTGGTTTAAATTTAATTGGATTATTTTTATAATGATTCAGTTGTTTCAAGTTATCTGAACAAAAATGCAAAATCATATTGATTAACTGCATTTACATTTATGTCGCTATGAAAGAGAAGTCCTGATTTTCTTTGCAGGATTGCACAGTAGAATTATATTGGCAGATATTTCCAAGGTTTTTTGCTTGTATGCTCTGAATTACAGACCCATCTCAATACCGCTACTCATTACCGCTACTCATTACCTTCTACTAACAGCTTGCAAGACGTATTATCATCAACCGCATCGCAGATGTAAGTGTCCTCGTCCTCAGAGTCCACGTCGTTAATGGTGAGCTTCCGGTAGACGTTCTCGCTGACGATCTCATACTTCCTACCAGGCTGGATCTCCACCTTGTTCTTGTACCACGTAACCTCGGCATTAACTCGAGAGACGTGACATTCCAAGTGGGCGCGATGTTTGTACATGGCAATCTTATCCTTGAGTTTCTTCACAAACTTTACGGGCAGCTCTGCAATGGCAGGAAATTGCATGAACGAGTCAGTTCACACAGCTGGTACAATGAATGCAGCAAAGCTTCTAATTTCCAAACGCTATAGGAATTCTTCAAAGAACTGAGATTCTTTCCTTGATCCATTGTAATATATTCCGGTCATTCCAATGAATTCCTCGTGTCATTGACTTATCTCCCCAAGAAGATCCACAGAAAATACATAATTGCACAGGCAAATTCTGAAAGGCTAACTTCACATCTACTCCATTGAAATCATTTATTTCCCTGCGTTTGTTGTTCATTGCTTCTTGGCAAGCTAGAATTTCCCAAAAGCCCCAGGTCATGTTTGCCTATTCTTGTCTTCGTTGAACAGAATATTAGACTGGACATAATGGCAGGGCTCCACAGTAGAGTTCCACTTCATAGAGCTATAGCTGAGTCTCAGAACCTCAGTGGTATCTCAGAGCATCTCAGGGTTCAGTGTTTTGATCCATCTTCTCCTCCTGCTGCACCTAGTGATTTTGTTTTATAATCTCTCTTCCTGTGTTCTCACCGTTTTGTTGCTCCAGTGATGCGGAACCATTCTCCTATGCTCCTTGATGCAGAAGGATTTCTAAGAGCTTCCACTTCACTAGATACTATGAGCTCCAGGTTCATACTGTTAATGGTCTGACATGCTCACCAGAAAAATAACTACAGGGTCAACAACAACTACTATTTCCAGAAAAACAACTACAGATCAAAGCCTTCCATAGACTCACTCAGGAACATTGATACTTTGATCATTGACCATATACCATTATAAGCATACAACACAAACACAGTGGAATTTAAAGCTTCCGAAAATCAAAAGATTTTTTAATATTCAAAATTCATAAGACTACTGCAATAAAATGTTGTCTATCGTTAAGGGATAAACTCAAGAAAACTTTGCTCACCTTTAACTTTCAGTTTTGCTGTTGAGCAAGCTTTTTCTGCTGTGAATTTAATCTCACCTACATCCTCCGGACTCACAGACTTGAATAACAACACATAGGTTTGACCTGTGGCAATATAAAAATGAAACAAAGCTAATATTATTGCAATACTCCTTCACAGGATAAATTTGAAGGCACAAAGTTAAATTTTAAGATCAAGTTATACTTAAATGCTCCATCCAAGGTACAAGGCTTCATAAATCCTAACCAGAAGTCAGGCTTGCTGAAGTGCTCCAACTGGCTCACCCTCTTGTCTCAACTTGACATTGTCCCCAGCCTTGATCTTGGTGTCGTTTTTGAACCACTGACAATCCACCTCGTCGTGGGAGATCTCGCACATAAAGGTTGCACTCTCCTTTTCCGTTACCTCAGCGTCCTCAAGTTTCCTCACTATCTTGATATCTCGGGCTGCAGTACAAGAGGCCAATAGAAAAGAAGCCATATTGGTTAGGGTTAGTTAAGACGGGTGAGAAGAAAGCAGAGTAACACTTTACTGGTGGGAGGCACAAGTAACTTAGTAACTCAGCTACAAACCTCATGAAACACATCAACTGCTAGGATTAACGATGAAGGAACATGGGATCAGTACGTACAGTAACTAACACATAGTTTCTGGTTACATAAGAACATAAGAAATTTACAAACGAGAGGAGACCATTCGGCCCATCAAGCTTGCTTGGGGAGAACTTAACTAATAGCTCAGATAAAATCTTATCTAGCTCTGATTTAAAGGAACCCAGGGTTTTAGCTTGCAAGGTTAATCGATACATTAAAGAAGAGTGCGCTACAACATTATTTGTGCCCCCCCCCCCCCCAAGTCAAGTTTTACCAGAAACAGTAATTATAATGTTATAAAACCTTTTGCATAATATCCCAGTTGACCCTAACATGTCATCTTTGCTCTGTCTTTGGAGGCTAAGTGTGTGTGTGTGTGTGTGTGTGTGTGTGCCTTACAATGGCCTAGCATCCTACCCAGGGTGTACCCCAGCTGTCTTAGGACAGGCTCCAGGACCCCTGCAGACCCTGACTAAGATAAGTAGTTAGAAGATGGATAGATTAAGACGGTAATGTTGCAGGAAGAATGATTGTGCGAATAACACACCGTGCACAGTGAGCTTGGCTGCGGTTTTGTCATCAGTCACGTCACAAACATACAAGCCTTGGTCCTCGTAGGCACACTTGTGTATCTGGAGGCTTCTCTTGCAACCCTGTGAGATGATGCCAAACTTCTTCCCTGGCTTAAGTTCGGCAGCATCCTGAAGTTAAGAGACCTTTCCATTAGGGACCACAAGCAAATGACCCTACCAACATGCAGGACTGTTTAGTGCCTGTCCTTTCATACTTTTGCAAGGTCCTTTGCTTTCATTTCCCCTCCCAGTATAAAACCATCTCATCTCCCATCTACCAAATCAAGTCACCATTCCTTCCACCCGTTACATGATCATGATTATTGCCCAGTCCAAGTATAAAAGCGACAAATGAAAAGCAAAATTAACCAGCAGTTTCACAGCATGACTGGATTATTTTAAAAAGAATTCATACAGCATACAAGGTCCATCCAGTGGCACTAACCCACCTTGAACCATTTCACTTCTGCATTGGCTCTGGAGATCTCACACTCAAATATAACCTTCTCCTTCTCGGGAACCTTGATGTCTTGAAGTGGTTTTGTAATTTTTACCGGAGGTTCTGCAGAAACCCAAGACATCAGTGTGTCATTTTTTGAAATATAAGCTCACTCATTTAATTAGCATTCCTTCTTAAAACATTCGGTAACACTTTTCATTAAGTGCAATCTTCACAAAGCATTCATAGAACATTAATAAGCATCATGTAAGTATATCTTAACATCCTAATATCCCTTAACAGCTTTAATATACATTAATAACAAACATTGTACTGTATGATTATATGATTATAATGTTAGTTATTATCACATTTGTTATTAGTGTATGCTACAGCATGTATCATATGTTCTATGAATGCTTTATGAATGCATTATGAAGGTACACTAAATGGTCTATGAATGCATTATAATGGCATTATGAGGGTTCAGTTAATGTAAAGCATTCCCAAACATTTTCACACAAAACACACAATGTTACAATGCAAAAGATAATCTTAGAAATTTTGGCACACCTGCATACACTATAAATATGTGATACATTATCTTCCAAGGATTTAGACCAATATTACAATAAATATTTGAGAATGAATTTCACAGTAATATTACGACAGAGTAACATTAATGATGTTCATGGAGATAAATAAACAGTCTTGTGTGAATAACATATGGTTCTTTGAGGTAATACCTGTGACAGTAAGCCTGCAGGACGTGTGGGCCTCCTCGGCCTGGAAAGATACCATTCCTGCATCCTCCTTCTTGAGCTGGGACAATGTGAGCGTGTGCTTCTTGCCCAGGATGGTGAAGCGGCAGCTGGGTCCCGCTTTCACCCGCATCCCACCCTTGGTCCACGAACCCTCCACGTTGGCATGATTTAACTCCACCTCCAGCGTCACTGTCTCCTTCTCGCTGGCCTTCAGGTCCTCCAGTCCCTTCACCACCTTGATCTTCCTCACTGCAGGAGGAAGGAACGCTCATTCTCACATAGGCGGTGATGGCAGTGAAGACCAAGACCTTGTCACCTAGATGTTGCCAGGTGACTGGTACCTTTGAGACTCGACATTAAAAATTTCACAAGAAAATCCAGCTGCATCAATAAAAATGAACTTTTTTCCTAAAAAATGTAAAATTTCTGTAATTTGTAGTTTTCTTATTGTCCCTATAAATACTGTTCCTTGGAATAACCCTAATTACACAAAAGGAAATACACTTGAGGAACTCATGTGACTGTGGAAGATACTTGGGTACAGGAAGGCTGACTTACTCTCCACAGTGAGCTTAGCCTGTGTCTTGTCATCCAACGTCTCACAGGAGTAGTAGCCCCGGTCGGCCTGAGTGACCTTCTTCAGGACGAGGGTCTGCTTGTTTCCATCGACACGGATCTCCACGTTGGGCCCAGGCTGCAGAATCACACCATTCTTCATCCACTTGACCTCAGGGGACGGCCTGCTAATCTCTACCTCCAGCTTGGCTTCCTCCTCCTCCTCCACGGTGAGGTTCTCCAACTTCTTCTTGAAGGTCACCGGGATGTCTGCCCAGAGGAATCACAAATGCTAGTCTCCTGCCTGGGCACTAAAGTGGCCTTCAGTAATGACCAACATTTTAAGCCATTTTGATTATAGGTATTTCATACTACTGCGAAATAATGTGAATGATTAAGTAAAATACACAAAAGATGAGTGAATTGATGGACAAATGGACACACAAATGAATTACTGAATTTCCCGGAGGAACCTTAATTATTCCCGGATTAATATAGTTTGTTTGTTCGTTCGTTTTCTTTCTTTCTTTCTTTCTTTCTTTCTTTCTTTCTCTCTCTCTTTCTTTCTCTTTCTATCTATCTATCCAGTCCCCTCAAAGGCACACTAAGAAATACCCACGTTGCACTTGGAGGTTGGCTTTAGAGACTTTTCCCTCAGCATCTGCTGCTATCTCCCCTGCATCCTCCTTGCTTATGTTAGTGACAGTCAGGGTGTGGCTGGTCCCCTCATGCGTGATCTTGAATTTCGGCCCGGCGAGGACAGGCATTCCATCGCGGAACCACTTCACGGTGACGTCGGCAGGAGTCACGCTACATTTAAACGTGGCATCTCTGCCTTCCATCGCTGCCACATTGTTCAGCTTGGCTGTGAATCGCACCAGCTTCGGTGCTGGAGAACAACAAAAATTCTTCTTCATCGTGTATTAGATGTAATACATTTTTAGAACTAATACAATAACTGTCACCCAGAAAACTCTGCCATCGTTCCCGGTAGAAGAGCAGCATTTTTGGGTAAGCTAGTACAGTATGAATAATATGAAACAATACAGAATAAAAGCAGAGATGAAAAGTTCAGGTTCAGAAAGTACAAATCCAGACTAAGCAACCAGCTGAGTACTTTGTGACTATGACTCTTTATACTCAAGCAACCAAACTGGTTGGACAACATTTTGGTTTGGATTTGTATTTTTCTGAACCTGAACTTTTGAATAAAAGAATACAAAACCATAAACTAATATTTAAAGATTTAGTAGAGTAATTCAACAGGTCAAGAAGCTTAATCAACAAATTCTTGTGCCTTTAGAATTTTCTTGGTCTATTAATTTCCATTTATCCCCAATGTAAAAATCATAACTTCATGTGTAAGTAGCATTCCAAGCTATCCATGCCTTGTAGAGTATGACTATTGCCAAAAACGTCCAATGGTTTTAGTGCCCTGCTAACCTGTTGTGGTCATCTTAGCAGAAGTCTTGTCGTCTTTGGACTCGCAGCTATACTCGCCCTCATCTTCTTTGGCAACAGTCGTCACGGTCAGAACCCGCCTCACGCCGTCAGTGGTCATGTGCTTCTTGCTGCTTGGTTTAATCTCAACGCCATTCCGGCGCCAGACCACGTCACCTTTGGCCCGATTCAGCTCACAGGCCATGATCATGGTGCCACCGAGCTCTACGGCCATCGGTTCAAGTGGCACAACGAACTTCAACGGAGGCTCTAAAGCCACAGGGAAAAATCAATTAAGAAGAAAAGTATGATAAATTAGTGCTAAGATCCATTAAACAATGTGTACAGAATATCAACAATACAGTGCAGATTGCAGACTGTACATTTACCCAAAAGTACAAAACATTTTATGTGCAATACTCTCCTGAATTACTTGTATATAGCATTCTTGGATACAGAGTCCTATTCAAAACAGTTTGCTGCTACCATTAAAAGCCATCTAATTTACTTTCATTTTGTTTTCTCACCACAGTAATAACATATATGAATGATGCAGAGTTGTTGTAGTTAAATTTTATCTGTGAATTCAAGACTTCGATGATATTTTGTCGCCAACCACTAGACTTATCCTGTCCGCTTAGTCTATTTAACGTGACAGAGTTTAGAAAAGAAAAACTAACCTTTAACCAGAACCTTGAACTCCAGTTTATCCTCTGTTGTTTGGCAGGAGTAGGTTCCGCTGTCTTTGAGTTCGGTGGACTTCACAATAAGGGTACGAGTAAGGCCGTCCTTCTTGATCTCATACTTGATACCATCCTTCAGTTCCACACCATCCCTGAACCACCTGACACTGACATTCTCAGACATCAGCTCTGTGGTCAGAATGATATTCTCGCTCTCCTGTACCATTACTGTGTCCGTTATCACTGCCTTCTTGTGGAATTTGGCAAGAGTTGCTATTCATGAAAGAGAATAACAAAGACATGAAGGTCCACATAAAATGCTTTATGTTGCACTCCATACACCAACAACAGAAAATAATACTTTACAGTTAATGTAGAGACACCAGTTAGCCTAACTGCATGCCGGTGGATTGCGGAGGAAAATAGGTGTACCTGCAGGAACCCAGCCCAACATGGGGAGGATGTACAAACTTCACATACAAAAATCAAAAATAAGAATAAAGCATTCATTTTTGTCAAAATAGACTGAATCTCTCAACAAGAGTCCCAAAGTTTTCTATTTGTTTTCATTTTCAGCTATAAAATCAAAGAATCTGCTGTGACTTCATGAGTACTAGCTAAAAACTCAGAAAAAACTAACAAACAAGGTGAATGAAGTCAATACCTATTACATACCTGCCACCAGTATTTTGAAGGCCAGTTTCTCTCCTCCAGCTTCACACATGTATTCTCCAGCGTCAGTCTTCTCCACACTGTCCAGAACCAGCTGCCGGCTCTTGCCTTTA